AATTGTATCATTGGAAAACTAAAATTCTTGGGTTTTCGGTAATGATATGGTTCTCCCCCAATAATTATGATATGCACATAAATGTGCTCAGAACAATTCATCTACATCCATCCTGTGTTGATTCTGCTATAGCAAATCTATAAAAATAAGATTTAGATCCACCTTCTTGTTCTTTTCTAGAACTACAACTTACTTTTTAATCACTTGACTCAATATGAGATCACAAGATCCAAATAAACCATTAAAAGTATTTATTTCTATTTGTTTCAGAGTATCTTTTCTTTGCTGGCCCGGCATAGCTGGTATAATAATTGGTTCAACCGAGATATTTGAAAATTATTATCAATATGGTGTAATGGAATCAAGTGCAGCACCATATTATTTTGACGTTATATTTGGTAGTTTTGTCTTTGGAGGTACACTTTTAAGTTTAGTTCTTCTTCCAACTTGTGGAAATATAATTGTTCCAGCAGCTATAATATTTGTGGATATATCATTATTTGCAGGGTGTATTTCTTGGATTCCGTTTACTATAGGCAGAGGATTTGAAGTTCCTATGGGACTTAGGTTATCCATATCTAGTACTCTAATTTCATTTTTTATCCTTGTCTTAGATTTAGTGGGTATTGTGATTCCCATTTATAAAGAGTATGGAATTAAGGGATTATTTAATAGAAAAAAGTTCTATTATGGCGGTATGTTTGTGCAACCCTGTGTTCGAGAAACTGCTATAAAGCGTATTCTGGAAGGATGGAAAGAATATTCAAATAACAGAGTTTCTATTGCCAAAGAGAATATTGAAATTACTGATGATATCCATCTGGGAAACCAGGTGCTCGAGAATCATGGTGTATAAAGTTGTTGGTGTTTGTTGAATGGTCAATTGATATAAATCGATGATTTTACTAGCATCAATAAGATGTTTATTCAATTTTATGTTTCTGATTTAAAGACTTGATGTAGTTTGAACTCAAACTAGTTATGTAGTGATTTTTCTTAATTGGCTGATTCATTATGTTACACTTTTTTGTTCATCCAAAATTTTGTACGCAATAATGGTTAATGTTGTTGCCAATACTTACTCACTCCTAATTACAGTTATCTCTGTTGAAAGTATACTCGTTCTAGTATTGATTTAATAATACGTGATAATAATTGAACTGATAGTAGAATGTCAACTATTATTTTACATAGAAATACACTTCATGATAGATACTGCAGGATTACCCCGTTGAACAATTTTCTACGTCAGATGTCTCACCAATTTTAACTTAAATTACCACGTCTAACCCAATTAACAATCCAAACTTCCCTACTAGCCATAACTACCACAATACTTTTCCAGATCTATTAGAATCTCAAAATTTACTCTATTTGGCTGGTCATTCATTCCCCTACTACATTATAATTTTTTTTTTGTGTTCCTGAGATTCATCGTATCCGCGGTAAACTTCCTCACCATCACTCGCATTCGCATTCGCATTCGCATTCGCTTCCCTTCAACCCCACGCGGTCAGTTTTTCCATTCTCTCTCTCCCCCCCCCCCCTCCCCTTGATAAGATAAGAGTTGTAGTTATTTTTTTTTTCTTTCTTCTTCCTCGACGAACATTACTTCTTTTCATCAGCTATACTAAAATGAAATATAAATTATTGTTACTTATTACCTTAATTCCATTAGTTTCCTCACAATATATATTCCATAACCCACCATCATGTCCCATTGATCCTCCAATTTCCTGTTCTCGAGATGTACTAAACCAAAATGATGATGATATAAGTTCATGTTGTTTTGAATCACCAGCTGGTATTATTGAATTAACACAATTTTGGGATTATAATCCAGCAACTGGTCCATCTGATTTATTTACTGCTCATGGACTATGGAATATGTATTGTTCTGGACATTCATATCCTCAATCATGTGATAGATCTTTAGAAATTCCAAATAATGGAAATACATTAAAAGATATTATTGTTGATGAATTTAATGATCAAGACTTATATGATGGATTAAGTAAAGTTTGGAAAGATATTCATGGAGATGATCATCAATTTTGGGCCCATGAATGGAAATAAACATGGTACTTGTTTTAGTACTATTAAAACCTGGTTGTTATGGAGGAGGAAATTTACTTAAAGATTATAAAAAGAATCAAAATATTTATGATTTTTTCAAAACTGCTTATTATTTATTTGAAAAAGTACCTACTTTTAAATGGTTATCTGAAGCAGGTATAGTTCCATCCGAAACTAAAACATACACCAAAGAAGAAATTCAAAATGCATTTAAAGCAAAATTTGGTAAAGAAGTTTTCTTCAAATGTGATTCAAATCATGCTATAAATGAAGTATGGTATTATTTTAATGTTAAAGGATCATTACTTAAACATGATTTCTTACCTATTGATTCATTATCATATTCAAATTGTCCTTCAAAAGGTATTAGATTCCCACCAAAGGGAAGTCATTCAATTCCTAACCCAAGACGTCCAAAACGTCCACCACCACCACACGTTACTAAAACGTATGGTCCTGTACCTACCGGAGTTCCAGAAAGTTCATATATTAAAATTTCCGATAAACCTGGTTGTCTTATTTCAAATGGAAGATATTATACATCAGGTACTTGTGCAACTTATCATTTTACAACTGGATCCAATAATGATAATATTAACGTTATTTCATCTAGAGGGGTTTGTGGTGTTGATTCAGATGGTAATTTCGTATGTAATAGATCAAATGAATTGCTTAGAGATAATTTTACTATTGAAAATGATACTATAGGTTATGATGGTCTGTTTGATTGGTGTTTTGGTAAAGTATTAGGAAGTGGATCAACTGCACAAACTTTCATCAAATTAGCTGATGATTCTTGTGATTCATTTAAATTATCGATATCAGGTTGATCCTGATATAACTAAAAGTAGAGCACAAGATTGATGTTTTTTTTTTTTTTTTTATAATCGTTGAAGATCTATATTTGATAAAAATTTTTATACAACCATATAAAAAAAAAGTTAAACAAAAAGTATATAAAAGAAAATATTTATAATTTACCGGATTGTAATAAAAAAAAAAAGATAATTGTAAGAATGAAAAAAAAATTGTCATAAAAATTATTAAAGCAAAATGCAGTTGATGCAAGTCATTAAATTAAAAACAAAAAAAAGGAAATAGTAGTCACCACAGGGACATCAATTATTTCTCTATCGCATACACGCTTAGTATCTGTAGATATCAGCCTTGTATGGACCTTCTTGAGGAATACCCAAGTAATCAGCTTGGACATCAGTCAAGGTAGTCAATTTAGCACCCAAGTGGTCCAAGTGACATCTAGCAACAGTTTCATCCAAAATCTTTGGCAACAAGTGAACACCAACATCGAATGGACCGGTCTTGGCGAATTCTGGGAATTGTTCTCTGAATTCTTTGTTGTCAGCATTGAACAAAGCAATTTGAGCCAAAACTTGGTTAGAGAAAGAACAAGACATAACGAAAGAAGAGTGACCAGTGGCACAACCCAAGTTAACTAATCTACCATCAGCCAACAAGATCAAGTGTCTACCATTCTTCATCAAGTATCTGTCAACTTGTGGTTTAATGTTGACAACGGATTCAGCATTAGCCTTCAACCAAGCAACATCAATTTCGATATCAAAGTGACCAATGTTACAAACAATGGCATCTTCTGGCATTTGTTCGAAATGTTTACCAACAATAATGTCACGACAACCAGTGGTGGTAACGAAAATTTGACCAATAGAGGCAACTTCATCCATTGGAGCAACTTGGTAACCAGAAACAGCAGCTTGCAAAGCATTGATTGGATCAATTTCAGTAATGATGACTCTAGCACCCATACCTTGTAAAGCCATGGCACAACCTTTACCAACATCACCAAAACCAGCAACAACAGCAACTTTACCGGCAATCATAACATCGGTGGCTCTCTTGATACCATCAACCAAAGATTCTCTACAACCGTACAAGTTGTCGAATTTGGATTTGGTAACGGAATCGTTAACATTGATAGCTGGGACCTTCAATTTACCGTCTCTCAAAGCCTTGTACAAGTGGTGAACACCAGTGGTGGTTTCTTCAGACAAACCGAAACAATCTTCCAACATTTCTGGGTATTTTTCGTGAACCAAGGAGGTCAAATCACCACCATCATCCAAGATCAAGTTCAATTTCTTACCGTCTTTGAAGGCAAACAATTGTTGTTCAATACACCATTGGTATTCTTCTTCAGTTTCACCTTTCCAAGCGAAAACTGGAACACCAGCAGCAGCAATGGCAGCAGCAGCGTGATCTTGAGTAGAGAAAATGTTACAGGAAGACCAAGTAACTTCAGCACCCAAAGCAACCAAAGTTTCAATCAAAACAGCAGTTTGAATGGTCATGTGCAAACAACCGGCAATTCTAGCACCTTTCAATGGTTGAGATGGACCGTACTTCTTTCTGATGTACATTAAACCTGGCATTTCATTTTCAGATAATTCAATATCTTTTCTACCGAAGGCAGCTAAAGAAATATCGGCAACTTTGTAGTTAGTGGCTGGAGCAGCAGACATGATGTAATAATAGTAGTAATTGAGTTTACTGTTGAAAGAAAGAAAAAGAAAAAGGAAAGGAAAGGAAACTGAAAAAAAAATTTTTTTATCTTTCTTTTTTTGGATTTGAAAATTTTTTTTTTACTCTTTGAGATTTTTGTTTGGCAATGGGCTTTTGTGGTGTAAACCAATTGTTGAACGAGAAGACAATACACACCATAGAATTAAAGAAACGTGTGTCGTTTAAGTCACATGCATGAATCACTCTAATTGTAAAAGAAATAAATATGAAAAAAATATAGGAGTTGAAATGTATTTAACTACTTTAGTTCAAATATCCATTATCGGCCCCAACAGATGTACAACTAATTTGGTTATGTATATATATTATATATTATATGTATATTTATTATAGTTCATTACAAAAGACATTAAATAAACGATGAATTCACTAAACAATTTAAAAAAAAAACAGTGAACGAATAATCAAACAATACGATATTTGATATATTTTTAGTATTTTTTTTTTTATTTTTAAAAGAAAAGAAGGGAGACACCAAATTCATAAACCAGGTGAATTATATAACCATAATGTCCTCATTTAGGAAGGTTACATATCAAATTTTAACCAATCTAGATCTTTATAGTTGTTATTGTTATTTGCAGCATTTGTGCTTGTATTGTTTGTACCAATGGGATTATTATGAGAACTTGTAGTTGGAACTTGTCCAAATCCATTAACAAAACTCTGACTTCTATTTGGTAAAGTGTTTGGCACCATAAAGTCATCACTTTGTAGATCTGTATAGTTTTTAAAGAAATCATCATCATCCATTAATAGGTTAGTACCATCAGTAATTTCATTACCGGTACCATCGTTAGTTGTAAATGAGTTCAATGCATCCATAATAAGCATTTCATCATCAATACCTTTATGAGCAACCATTGGTGGTTTACTAGCACGATATTCTTCTAAAACTCTTTGCTGTCTGCTTGTCATATGACTCATTCGACCCATCGATGAAGGTAACAAATCTGACACATTCAATGGCGTTTCAGGTATTGAACTTGGTGTCTCATGTTGTTGAGCATACAGTGGGAAGGAATTAGTTGAATTAAATGAGCCTGGAGTATCAGCAATAGCAGTTTCAAGAATTACACTATTTGGATTCATCAAAGTTGTCGTACTATTGTGACGAGAAAGCATTGGCGATTGTTGACTATGTGCTGGAGTAGTATCAAAAAATGTTGATTGAGGCAATCTTTGATTCAAAATATTGATATTTGAAGATGTCAATGAATTTGTTGCCCCTGATGATGCAACTCCCCCCACAATACTTTTCCTTTGTTGAAGACTACCTATAGATGACTTTCTATTGGAAAATGAATTGCTACGTTTAATGGAATTTGACAATGATGAACTTGTCAATGAAGTAGACGAAGAAACACGATTACGCATGGAAAATGAAGAAGATGGAGTACGTGGACCACCATCATCAATTTCTGATTTCTTTCTTTTAAATGGTGGCGAGAATGGAGTAGTGTTCAGATTGTGGAGATTTGCAGCCGCCGATGATGATAATGGAATTGGTATAGATTTGGTTCTGACTGAAGATGGGGCTAAATTAGTTTCACTTGGTGGTTTTGGTAATATTAATACATTTTTAAATCGTTGAGATGAGTTTGGAACTGAATTTGAAATAGATGACAATGATGTAGAAGAAGGAGAAGGCGCTATTGCTATTGGAGATTGTTTCATTTTATACCCCAAATCATTCTTGAGTGATGCAGTTATAAACAGGTTAGTTGGAGTTCCTGATTTCGATGATGTGCTTGGTTTTCTTGAATTTCTCTTTTTAATGACGTCAGTTTTCAAAGACAACGGTCTTGAAGTACCGTGGAGTTTAAGAAACAAACCACACGCATTACACAAGGTATTACCCAGGGCATCTCTTCTCCAAAGCGGTGTGGCTGTTGTTTTACAATTATAGCAAGTTGTGAGTTTTTTCAGGAGGCCATTGGTTGTACTACCAGTAGTATTTATGTTACCACTCGCCGAATCTAAAGATGGTTTTTTCGCAGTAGCGGATGTAGTTGAGTCATGCGGCGAAGATGATATGTGCCTAGGCGATGGAACTTCAGAATCTGGCGATGTAGGTTTAAATGACGTATTATTTGATATTCCAGTTTGTAAAGTATTGTTACTTGGACGGATATTTGATCTAGATATTGGATGCATAGGGGATGTTGTGGTAGTAGTTGCTGTAGTTATGGTGTTATTCTTCAAATCATCAATGGAAAGTGGAGACAATAAATCAAAGACTTTATCATGATGATTACCAGTTGAAGATAGACTCAGATGATGCTGACCATGTTGTGATTGATGAGTATTTGCTGGGGAAGAATTTGAAGATGATAAAGTATGGCTAAATTCTGCTTGCATTTTGGATAATTGGGTTTTACTATTTGATTTACGTAATTGTAAGTTTTCAATTCTTGGTTGCAAGTTCAATAACTTTTTGGCTGAATGGAATAAATCAACAATGGAAGGAGCTGTTTCAAATGAAGATGCTGTTGATACTGTGTTTTTTGTATTGTTTGTCTGGTTGGTTGAAGGTAAAGAAGATGATGGCATTTGTCTTTTGTTATGGGGGGAGGAAAGGTGAGAAAATTGTGTACTGAATGAATAAATATTCTTCTTTCAAACAAAAAAAAAAAAAAAAAATCAAAATAAATTTAAAAAAAATATTTCCGTTATACACTTTCTCCCCGTTTTTTTTTTTGTTAGTTTTCTTTCTTTATTTGTATATCCTGCTGTACAAGTCCAGTTTGACGTGAATGAAAACAGTAGTGGATTATAGTCGAATGTATGAGTAGATGATATTTCTTCTTCTATCTTTTCAAGGTGAAAGAAATAAAAATAATATATTCAAAAAAAAAAAAAATAAGAAGATGAAATTCTAGTGAGTAAGCAAAGGTTAGGTAAATAAATATTCAATAAGAAAAATACTTTCTTTTACTTCCCTTTCTCTTTTTCTCCTTGCACATAATTTAAATAAATAAATAATTAAACAAAGAGAGACAGACAGAGAGACAGAGAAAAATTTTTTTTTGTTCTTCTGCACGAAGGTGAAAGAAAGACAAACAGTAATAAAAACTTAACTATGACGACATTTTTTTCTTTGTGCATTACTTTTACTATGTCCGACACTAGATGAATTGCATCTCACCGAATAAAAAACCGGTAAATCATAAAATAAAAAAACAAAGCAGACATTATCTTTTCCCGTTTTAGTCGATAATTCCGGGTGTCTGAATATGATTCATCCTTCAACTTTTTTTTTTTTTTTTTGCAGCACAAATCTAATTTACTCCCCTTCGTCCATCTGTCAAATGGGGGAAAAAAGAGTGTGTGTGTGTTGTGGTAGAAGATGATGGTGGTAGAACGTGTATGTGCCACCACTACAACAATGAAAATATCAACATCCACCATGGGGAAAGTTTAAATTATAAATTAGAAACTCATATTCTTGTAGGGATCAAGTGGTATTATGTAATAAGAAAAATTAAAATCTTGCCTACATTACAGAAATTCCTGTAACGGTCAATTGATGAAGAAAGAACAATGACTCAATTTATTCTTACAAAATAATATCAGACACTTTTTTTATTAAAAAAAAAAGAATCTCGACTCGTTCGTGTATATCGTGACAGCAGACATTTTTTTGTTTGTTTTTGTAGATGAACAGAATGTCGTTGTTTTAAAAACGTGACATTACGTTTTTTTTTTTTGCTCATTCCTTCTGTTTCGGTTTCTGTAGGTGTTTGATTGATTGTTCTCAAGGCTTAGATATCCATCTAAAAGTCCGAACACAGTAGAACTATAAAGCAATGTTGGGTGATTTTTAATATGTTCAACTAATTTTCTTGTTCTTGTTAATTGCTAGTTGTTAGTTTATACTGTAAACCCTAACTTTACTACAGGACAAGATCTTACGGGGGTAAGCAAAGCAAAGAAAAAAAATAACCCCACCATATAATAACTTTGAATATCTTGGTATTGTCTATAATATGCAAGCAACATCTACTAAATACTTGGTACAACTAACCCAACCAAAAAAAAAAACCACCTGTTTTTTTTATTCTGATGCAAATGCATTTAAAAGACCGGTTAATAAGGCGCATAGTGGATCTATTTCACGTAGATGCTGACTCTACATATTTATAGTTTAAAATTGCTATCCTCTTGATCCTCCTGCTCCTGTTCCTCTTCTTGTTCTTATTCTTGTCGCCTTTTTAATTTTTTTTTTTTTTTTTCAGGGCGTGTATAAATACCACAGTTTAAATTTGTTTGTGCTTCCCCCTGGTTTGAGATTCATTCTTTAATTAAATTTGGTTTGTCTCGATTAGCCGCGGTGTTCACATAATGTTGTCGAAGTATTATTTTGTTTTTTCTTACAACCATTTACTACTTTTACAACCATAACATTACATAACCAATACTACCACCAATCCATCTCGTATGAATATCACAGATGGTTTTAATATCCATCATGTTACATGTAGTAAAAAGCGGGGAGGGGAAAGATAGAGAGAGAGAATTACATACATTGTTTAAAGAATTTGACGACATGAAGTTTATTAAAGTTATGATCCCTTTACAAATAGTCAATTGAAAATTTCTTTGTTTTTAATAAAATATTCTTTTCTATTCTATTGTCAATTCAGACAAACGAATAACAACAAAAAAGTTTATTGAATATGGTTATAATCCCTGATGGTGTTAACTTCAAACATGTTTGCATTACACTACAATTATCATTCTACTCTTTGTGCATTAAATCCTCCCGTCTCTACTATGATGACATACTGCCTCGTGATTTAAAGAATGATTGACGATCCATTGTATCAGTATAATTATTGGTGTACTTTTGACTTCTTCTATTCTAGATGTGATATTTGATCTACCTATCTAGAATTCTGATAAGCAATCTACAACACTACGCCTCTGATAACCTAATATTTGAATCAACTTTCGTACTTGTTGACATCAGAAAGAAATAACCGAAAAAGATAAGAAAAAAGTAATAAAAAAAAAAAGATAATTCAAAACCCTATTCATATATATACATATGTGTATATCCGTTTAATCTGTTCTGATATGTGATGAGTTACTAAATTTACTAAACCTTTTATGACTTCCACCAGTATTATGATATCCATTACCCCCAATGTTACTACCAGTAATATCATTACCACCACCAACTTTTTCTCGTTCTCTTTCGTTATCTGCATGGATTCTATATTCAAAACTAACTCCATGCACTCTTTCATTGGATCCACTATCAATAGTTTCAACGCAATCACTACCTTGAATAATTAAATCACATTCACGTATAACTCTTAATATGGAATCACATAATATTCTTCTAGCTTGGAATGATGTCAATTTCTTACCTTCTTTCTTACCAAAGAAATTCAAATTTGAATTCCACAAACTAATGATATCTTCATCTTTTCTTAAACTTAACACTAACCCCGGAAATATCGTTTAATAATAAATCCTGAATTTCTTCAGAATTCGATCCTTGAGGAATTAATGATCCCAGTTAAAGTTTTAATCAATAATCTTTCCCAAATTAAACTAGTTCTCTTTCTTAATTTCTCTTGTTTTTCAAAATCATCATCGATTAGTTTTCTATTAAATCGAAATACCCATCTTCCACCTTTTGAATTTATTGGATCTTCCCATACTGGATTAACCCCAGCCTTGAATATTAAAAACTCAGTACCGATATTCAAATCAAATGTTTTCTTAATCGATGACAAACTACTCCATAATTGTTCTAATGATGCAATGTGTTGAATTTTGTTTCCTGTAGTTGGATCCCAAAAGGATAATTCATTGGTTGTTTGCAAGTACAAATCAACTCCTGGGTTTTGTTGTTGCTGTTGCTGTTGTTGCTCTTCTGGTGATTCACCCTCTTCTTGATTCATTGATGGTTGATTCTTTTTAGCTCTGGAATGATACCATATTGTCCAACAATAAGGTAATGTGTGATGATTTAATGGTACGGTAGCTAATGCATCATGAGTCAATTTATCAATATCCAATTTAGGAATCTTAGTAGGAACAGTATATTTCTTTGGAATTATATTACTTGTCACATTACTAGTTGTTGATCCGGAAAAATTTGGTCCTGATGTAATTGAGGATAGATTTAATTGAGTACTTGAGGTTACTGGTGTAATTGATGATGTCCCTGTTGAACTTTGAGAATTTAATGATATAGATGAATCATGAGTTCCAGGATTCATAATTCTATTAAACAATGATTCTGCTCTTTTTAAATTTTCTGACATGACTGATTGATAGATGGATGGAGCTATATTGCGTGATGAATTTATAAATGACTGACAATTAAGTATTAATATAAAACGAAAAATAAAAACTAACAAACTAATAATACAAAAAAAAATTAATGAATTTGATATATGCAAAAGTATTAAATGATTGTATCAAAAAAAGAAAACAACAATTTAAAAATAAAATATTACGATGTAAGTAATAAAGAAAGGGGATTTAGGAAAAGAATGAAAGAAAAATTTTTGGTGATAATTTTTTTTTTTTTTTTTTTTCAATGAGAAGAAGAAGATGAACAACAAAGAGAGAAGGAGAAAAAAAAAGTTCGCTCATCACTTGAGTTGAAATTTTGTACTGCCTGTTAGCTTGTTGGGTTCTGGTGCGCAGAGCAAGAAGGAGGGGCCGGGCAGAGGGGCCGTGGCAGCAACACGAGATGTGGACGTAGAGACCTGGCCAGATGCCCGCACGGCGATAGAAACAGATTAAACTCTCATGGCATTAATATTAAATAAAAAACTATTTAAGCTTTAGCATAATAATGTAAGTAACTACCCAAAGTTTTACAACCGTTGATATAGTTACTGACATCCAATTTTTCATTAATAGAATGGGCACCGTCATCACCTCTACCCATTGGCAAAAGTAAAACATCAACACCCAATTCTTTTTCAAAAGTTAAAGTGATTGGAATAGATCCACCTTCTCTGGTGAAATCTGGAACAACACCCCAAACATCTTGGGTGGCTTTAGATGCAGCTGTGAAACTTTCATTGAATGGATCAGAAACCCAGTAGTTACCATCATGGATCAATTCAACTTTGAATTTGTTTGGTGAGTTCAATTTTTCAAATTCGGCAGTAATGTATTTGAAAACCAATTGATCTAATTTACCAGAATCGATATCTGGGACAGTTCTAATCGAGAATTTACCAACAACTTTAGCTGGAATGACAGTCTTGGCACCAGCACCAGAAAAGGCACCTTCGATACCGTGCAAAGATAAAGATGGGAATCTCCATCTGTGTTTCAAAATATCTTGTTTGTTGTCATGCAATGAAGTTTCTGAACCACTGGCAGCATTTAATTCTTCAACAGAAAAGTCAATAGCATCGTACAATTCATTTTCTTTATCAGTTAATGGAGCAACCATATCATAAACTCCAGGAATCAAAATCTTACCTTTAGAATCAACCAAATTAGACATAACTTTGATTAAATCAGTCATTGGTTCAGCAATGATACCACCAAAGATACCACTGTGTAAATCAGCTCCAGGACCTTCAATGATAATTTGGTAATAGTTACATCCTCTTAAACCATAAGTTAAAACTGGTTTCTTAGTACCCAACCAGTAGTTATCAGAAATTGTAACTTGGTCAACTCCTTTGAAATATTCATTGGCTTCTTTAGCAACCAATTCATCCAATCCTAAGGACCCACTTTCTTCCATACCTTCGAAACAAACAATCAAGTTAACTGGCAATTCCCAGCCTAATTTATTGTGAGCTTCAATAACATTCAACCAACCAACAACTGGACCTTTATCATCAGTAACACCTCTACCATATAAAATATCTTTAGCTTTATCTTGATACAATTCAAATGGTTCACTAGTCCAACCATCTTCTTTCAAAGCAGGTTGAACATCATAATGTCCATAAACTAAAACATTTTTCTTTTTTGGATCTTGACCAAATCTGCCTAAAACAATAGGTGGTAATTTTAAATTTGGATCAGAAACAGGTGGTGGTTGAATACCTAATTCCTTTAATTGAATATCTTCAAATCCTAATTGTTTCATTTCATCAACCAAGAAATGTGCCATTTCAACAACTTTTGGACGTAAAGTTTCATCTGATGAAACTGATGGAATTGAAACAGCCTTAGTGATTCTTTCAATGAATTTTGGTTTCAATTCTTCAATTGCTTCAAAGAATGGTTCTAATGGTAATTTTTCATATGATGACATCTTGGATATGTAATGGTTAATGTGTAATTGGTTAAAGTAATGTAAAAGAAAAAAAAAAAGTATATCAAGAGATAAAGAAAATACTATGTGAGGAGGACTGGATGACAGAGTGGGATTTGAAACTTTTGTCTGTTGGGGGTACACGACATTGAAGCCACACGTCGAACTGGTGCCTTCTTCTTTTTTTTATTTTTTCAATCCACTTTGGTTCTGGGACATGAAAATTGCCTTACGCTAAGAAATTATCACATAATATCATATTTGTGTTCTTCACTGGAAACACATTTTAATGCCGTTAATCAACGTTGCTTCTTGTTTAAGACCCGTTGATTACCGAATTACACAAACTTAAGAGGGGAGTTTGTCCTTCCATATCGTGACCACTTGCACGTGATGTTATTACGCGAGACACAAATCTGTAATTTTTTTTTTTCTTAATTATCTTAGAAAAAAAGAATCGCGATTGGTATACGCGATGGTGAGAATAACTTATTATCACCGTGGGGGAAATCATGACGCCTATAGTGGATAAAGAAGTGATTGAAATTCTATCATCATCATCATCATCAGATTCATCAGATAATGAAGATTTTGATATATTTGGACTTAATAATATAAAACCAAACCATCAAACCTACCAAGATCAAAGACGTTCAAATCGAATCAGTTACAGACAACAAATACAAGAGGAAAATAATAAAAAGAGGAAACAAGTTGCAACTAAGGGGATCTTTGATATTGAAGTACCTGCAATTTTTCAAACTAAAGGAGCTAGATTACATGATATAAACAAGAGATATAAATCAATAAACCATGATATTCAAAAAGATGAAGAAAATTTAAAATTTCAATATGAAAAACTTCAACAACAAAAATCTAAAATAATCATGGAATTAAATGATAATGGATCAAAAGGGTTTCAAAAATATGATCAAAAAGAAGATTTTGAATTGATTGATAATTTAATTAATCAACAATTAAATGGATCAGGAATTGACCGACATTTTTATTTCTTACGTGATGTTGATGGGATTGATTTAGGTGATTTTCAAAAAATACCTCATTCTTTGTTATTTTTAATTAAACGAGATCCTTCTTCTGGATATAATGCTGTTAAATCACAATTAAAGAATTTTATAATGAATTCATTGGACAGTATCGTGAATCCTACCCATTTACAATCAATTATTGATATGATTCTACATTTTGGTGTGACTACGAATAAAGAAGTGATTTTCACATCTAGAGAATTGGTTGAATTGATAGATACTTGTGGCGGGAATACAAAATTGATTAATGAAACAAAATTACCCATTAAGATAGGACAATTTAACAATCATTTAAGGATTCAATTAATGAGAATAGCTTTGATATTGATTTGTTATTTAATTGGAGATTCGGTGGATTGGGATATTTTTTTTAAATTATTCATTATGATTATATGTGATCACAATACTAATACAAGAGAGTTTGAGACAATGTTTTATTTAATGGATTCGGTTTGGAAAGTTATTAGTTTCAAGTATCAGTATGACGATTTCATAGATGCATTGGATAGACAAGTTAGAAGTTTATCTACGTATACTTATGGAGAGTATGATCAACAGAAAGATGATGATGATGACGATATCCCGTCCCATATGTTCACAATTAAAACTAAAGGGGATTATGATTTAATAGCACAAGTGATCAACAAGTTGGATCTATCTGCATCTATAGAAAAAGATCTACGCCAAGTTGAGTTAAAAGAAGATATGTCAAATTTATATGACTTTAGTTTAAAAGTTAAATTGCTAATTATCGAATATGGTCCAATGACAGAAGTGAATATTAAAGAATTGAGAAAATCCAGAAACATTATTCTTGAATTGAAAAAGAAAGTGTATCAATACATGAGTAAAATCACCAGTCCTGATTATAAAAATGAATCACGTATGCATAGAGAAGAAATGGTTGCATTGATCACAGAAGCTTATCAGAGTTTAGAATACTTGGGTGATATTCTACTGAAGAAATGTGATTACTTAGATGGTGATATTTTTTATAAGGACATAGATGATGAGATATAGGAATTACGTAATACACTCGTGGGTAACCGCGGCACGAGATTAAAAGAAACGTGCGCGAATATTCTATTGTTATTTTATTTTATTTTTTCCGATTGTTCATGTGTGTGATATCATCGACTTTTTTATTCCTTTGACTCATATCCATAATCAATTACTTCTTTCTTTTGTTTCTGTATAAATTCAACTAAATTTATTCAATCTTTTTACTACTTGTAACTTTCATTAATTATTATCACTAATATTTCAGCAATCATGACAGTATCTAGTGAATCAGTAAGCTATGTTAATCCTGAATTAACTGAAATTGAAAATGCTAAACCCGGAAGACACGTTAACTTACCATTTGGTTATGGACCTATACCTGAAAATCTTGCTAATAAAAAGATATTTTTCTTTGATATAGATAATTGTTTATATCCACCATCTATGAAAATCAATGATATGATGCAAGTTAAAATTCATGATTATTTTAAACAAAATTTACAATTAAATGATGAAGAAGCACATAATTTACATATGAATTACTATAAAACTTATGGTTTAGCTATTGAAGGACTTGTTAGAAATCATCAAGTTGATGCGTTAGATTATAATTCTAAAGTTGATGATGCTTTAGATTTACATGCTGTTTTAAGATATGATAAATCTTTAAGAGATATTTTAATTACTATTAAAGAAAGTCATAAATTTGATTTATTTTGGTTAATAACAAATGCTTATAAAAATCATGCATTAAGAGTTGTGTCATTCTTAGGTATTGGTGATTTATTTGATGGTTTGACATTTTGTGATTATTCAAAATATCCAATTGTTTGTAAACCAATGAAGGAATATTTTTATAATTGTTTTAATTTAACAAGAATTGATTATCATGATGAAAATGTTATGAAAAATCAATATTTCATAGATGATAGTGAATTAAATGTTAAAGCTGCTCATAATTTAGGTATGGGTCATGTTTATCAATATGTTGAATCTTCAAAAGATGTTGAAAAACTTAAACTAAAACCAGATTTCAAAGAGTACTATAATATTCCTGATGGTGAACATGATTCTTCAAAGATTACTATCGTTACAAAATTTTCCGATTTACCAAAGATATTAGGCTGTTCATAGATTATATTGATATTTTATAAAATACTAAATACAAAGTTTATATATTAGGTTCCCGTTGTATGTGTTCGATTGGTACTTCTAGCGGTGATATCACACAGATCTATTGAATGCGAAATCTGATCCGGTTCAACCATTTCATAACTGGATATTTTGGACAATTTATTGATCATCATTCCCTCGTGAATAGTAACCTGGGAGTACTTTCCGAATAATACCCCTCTAGTGCCAGTATCATTAAATTATTTGTTTTTTCTTTGATACTTTAGTGAAGAAAGTAAGAAATACCGTTTCTAGCAACTCAAAGAATCACCAAATTCAATGAGAAATAACTTTGACCAGAAGTTATTGATAACATACTTACTGTTAGATATAACTCTTTTCTTCGTGAACATTACCGGGATAATTTATTCCATGGCAGTGTTCAGCTAGATCCCTCTAAATTTTCCAATATAAAAATGAGTAGCACACAGTGAACATGCCGAATTAGATACTGGTTTTTTAGCAAGTGGTTGTTTTACTAAAGAAAATCTTCTTGTAAAAATTTACTACGTGGGTGATGTCACTGATTCCAGAATCTGTGAGAAATTCTTGTACCACCTAGTAATTCACTCAACTCAAAAAGTTTATTCCCAGTGAGTTACTAAAGTCTAGGATATATCTGCCACTATTAAAAAAGTCAATATATTTGCTGTGGATATTGTCAACGTTTAGAAGTAGTGTGCAACTCATTTCAACTATCATTTGGTAGCAACACACACGAAATCTATACCCAAATTGAGAAGTTCTAATGGATGAGTATACATGTATTAATCACATATCTACGTATTTATTAAAATCACTTTCAAGTCTATCGAGTTTTCTTAATCTACCATCATATGTAGTGGCCGGTTTTATATGAACATCAGGTTTCAACACCTGAAAATTTGGTAGAGTAGGCACTATCCGTTGTAAAGCAGCATAATCTGAATCGATAATATGGCATGGAATAATATCAACAAGTCTAATACTATCATCGAAAACCTTCTCATCATTCTCTTCAGCATCTAAGAAAATTTCTTCGGGACAATTCAAATTAAAGTGAAGGATTTCAAGTTTGTCAAATGTTGAAAAATTACCAATGAGTGAAGAAACTATATTACCTTGTAACTCCATCAGTATTAATGATATTGGAAAATAATTAACATAGATTGTGAAGAAATTGTTAAATTCTAAATGCAAATGTTTTAAATTTGAATTTTTCAAGCATAGTAACCTTTCAAACCAATTTCCCACTGGAATAGTTTTTTTAAAGATCAAACTGGAATGACAAATCAAGTATTTCTAATCCTACGGGAAATTCAAAAATTCTTGTCGACTCGTAAAACAAATTCAGTCTAGTATTTAACACTCTCAAACATAATGTAAGATTTTCGGTATCTTTGAGAAAATTCATTGATACATCTAATTTTTCTAGCTGCTCTGGAAATCTGACTGATATCTTTTTCAATTTTATTTTTACATAAGTTTAATTCACGTATACTATCTGACATGATGAAGTCTTTTCCGTTAAAATATTTAATTTGTTACTTTCAAGGTTCAAGATTTCAATATTTGGAGCTGAAATTCTAATATTATGGATGCTACAGCCCAAGATTGACAATTCTCAAAAGTAACTAGAAAATTTGCTCTCAAAGCAGGATTGCAGACAGCCAGAACAAATATAAACCCTAGTAAGATATTTTAATTCCGTCAATTGATTTAGTTGAAAATTGTTCAAGAATAATAATTGCAAGTCCGTCAATGACTTTGGTAACTTTCCTCGCAAGGTAGTGTCTTTGGGCACCAACCACTGTAAAATTTTCAAGACCCAGGAGATCGCTCTTATCCATAACAAAATTTGTAAACGATTTCACATGAGGATCTATTGCCAAATATAACTATTTCATTCTTTTTGGTAGGTTCAATATGGATCTTTTATCCCCTTTAGAATTTCTTGCCCATTCTGTTTTGTCATCTTCCACAAATATACCGGGTATTTTCAAACTGTGTAATTTCGGTGGAAATCCTAGTTGATTTATTAAATTTCCTAAGGGAATACATTGCTAATTTTTAATCTTGAGATCGACAAGTTTTGGACACATTTTCAGAACTATTATATCCTTCATTTCAATATACTGAAGATATAACAACTCTAGGTTCTCAGGGAGATTCCAGAGTGCAAACTGTGAAGATGATGGAGTTCTAAGATCAAACTTTCTGAGTTTAGTCAAATGGGAAATATCCACAAACATAAGTATAGTATATGTAGCGACGTGGTTAGAAATACCTAATTCTACCAAACCAGTAGGAAATTCCAATTTTATCAGATCATGAAAAGGTTGTAAAACACATGCTAACTTTTTCAAAGTTCGTGTAAGGTGTTTAACCCGTCTCACGATTCTTCCCCCATTTCCATACATGTTACATTTCTAAATAACTCAGTCATAAAAGGATGTAGACCAATTCCCAAGGTATTTCTTATTGATTATAACTTCAAAAGTGAATGATAATCATCAACCTTGGGGATCTTATGTGAGGGAGCTTTTAATACAATTAAGTCAACTGGGAAACGATCCATCTTATACAATTGAATAAACAATGCTTTGCTTTCAAAATCAGATTCTTGTATCAGGAGAACAATTTTAGCTATCTTTTGTGAATGGTCACAATTGAGAGCATACTTTTTCTGCTTGTATTACATTTTTGAAGATTCATTTCTTGGGTCAAATGAATGGTTTCAGTTTTTGCAAATTTATAAATTCAGAAGAAAGCACAATAGGAGCATCTTCGTGAGGTCGTGTTGGAAATGATGTAGAACTGTCAATAATTATAACCGGATACGTTTCAGTTTCAACAATTCTGCTAATAGTGGGGTACTTTTTAAGTGACCAAAATAAGTCATAAGGAAAATATCCAAGAACAACCTCAATTATTTCATCTGAAAGATCATTAAATGTTGCCACTTTGATTGAAGCACGGTGTGTTGTCTAGAAAGTGTACCAAATAATCCAATACTATTGAAATTCGATAAATAAATAAATACACAAATCTTGTTTAACGAACGCTTCAATTGAATAAAGCGTGTCTAGGAAAACAAATTGGTTGATAGTACACGAAGAAAATCTAGAATTTGTTTCTACTCTTTCATTGTCAACTGAAAGTTAGAATACTAGTTCAACTAGTTAAGCCGGAATGACTATTTAAGTGACTTGTGATCCGTGTTTACCATGTAATATACTGATAGATTATTATTGCGTAGTTTATCGAAGAGAAGAAATCGCATACTATGTATCACGTGTTAGGCACACGACGTACTACTCTAATCAAAAAAGTATATATATATGAATATGGATGATTCAATACCACCAGTTGTATTGAACATGAAAGTCTCGTCCCGTACATCCGGTGACTCGCTACCGTGGTGATAATGCAGTTTGGTCTATTGTTCCTAGTCGCAATACTTTGTCTATTATGTTGGTTCAGACTGCCTAAGATCTTCAGAATACTCATTTGTACCATAATATAAATCACAATATTTCCAATACAACAATATTACCGGAGTCATCTCGTAAAACAGATTTTTTGCTCCAATAGCAAATTCACATGGTTCTCTCACGTAAACTAAATCTAATCTAAAAAATCAGTAATGGAATTGCAAGTTGCATAGTACAAAACCTATCAGGCAGTAGGCCGTTTGTTTTGTGCTCATGAACAATTTATAACCTTTCGGTAATGGAAATGACTTCTTATGTTCTCCGTGTGTGTTACAAAAATATGGGGTATATTATCCCCACTGGCAGTTTTACATGTTGTGTATCATATTGCAGACAATATTCCGATCATCTATTGGCTCAGAATAACTTGCTTTCCAAAAACAATGAGACATACATATTATGCAAAAAATGACTCACCCGGATATCTCCCTAGGTTAATCCCCCAAAAGTGCCGAAAGTCTGCAATTTGTGTTTGTCACTTTTGTTACCCCTACTCTGTTTTAAATTAAGTAAAACATTTTAGCTCTTCTTTCTACATTTTCTAAATCTAAAACTTCCAGGAATACGAGGTTCTTGAATGAATGGACCTGTTTAAGGGATATCAATTCAATTAAACATTAGTAAATCTTTATCAAGTCTGTGATCTACAAACAATATCAGCTGATTCGTTTTCCCATTCATACATCACATTGCAATGGATGAAACCATAACCAATACAATACAATCCGGCAATAAAACACGATTTTAAAGCCACTGAAATCAATTAAGCCTAATTTTAAATTACGAGTAGTATTACCTCACATAATTCCCCTTTTGCCCGCCTTGATTTTAACCCCCAACGCCCAATTTAGTATATTATTAGTCCAATTGTTGATTGGCTCATATGCAACGAACATTACGGTGATTCATTTGATTGGTGGAATTTTGAGCATTGGAGGGGTGGCTTTTTTTGAAAGATTTATGCAAGGCATAATTTGCGTTGATTTTGAGTGAAAGATTTTCCATTGTTCAAATTCATTTTAAAATTCCTGTAATTTAACTACTAGAAGTGTAGATTGCGGTTAGGAAACATAACTGCCAAGGCGTGCCAATTTGTCTCAAAAAAAAAAAAAAGGTACCAATAGTGAATAAGTTAATAAATACGACCCACACTTGGCGAGCCAAGAATCCGTCATTAGACAACTGATTCCTGTTGATTTATATTGACAGCTCGTAAGAAAATTAAAAGCCAATGTCAGGAACCAGGATGTTCAACAAGAGTCAAATATAATACTGAATTATACAATCACAACAAATAACCGAAAGTCGAATTTCACATTCTTTGTTGAACCACTGATCGTTGAGATAAAAATTTTTTTCCTGATTGTTAGCAAAAAAAGAAAAACAACTCTTTGTGCATATACTGCAGAGGTATTGTTTTGTGCTGCAAAAAGTATCCTTTGCCTCAATTAAACAAGTCTGTTGAAAACAATGAAATTAAAAACACAATAGAATTACCAATATGAACAAAATTGCCCTTTCATTAAAATTAAAAAAAAAAAAAATCCCCCGTTGCACGATTGGTTAGAAGAAGCTTATCATATGCTAGCGTGTGAGAAGCTGTTTTGGCAAGTATATAAACTGTGAAAGAAATCCTTATGTAAATCACAAAATTTGTTAATCTTCTTCTAATTGCCTCTTCTTCCAACAAAGCAACAATCGAGCAAGAATGGTTATTTCAACGGTTTTATTAGTTATATCCTATTTATCATTGGCTTTTGCTCATAATGAAAAATACGAAAGATATGGTTCTGCTATAATTTTATATTCTTGTAACTATGAAACTTACAGTTCTGCTTCTTTCTGTGATAAAACAGCAGCATATTATGAATGTTTATGTGGAAATAAAAATGCCCGTGCAACAATTGTTGGTTGTATGATGTCTCAAAACAAAAGCACTTCCCAAGCTATCAAACTCGCTGAGGAGAACTGTCAGGAATATGGTAATGTCACTCTTTCTGAAGGTTGGTTCGACGAATCATATCAATACTATCTTGATAATGCAATGACAACTGATGAAATTCCAAATTTCAACATTACAGTCCCTATTGATGTCCCACTTAAGTTTAACGAAACTCAAATGCTGGTATACTATAATTCATATGTTCAGTTTTTGGGCAACTATGACGATTCTTTGTATTATGGTGCTGGTGCGTTGGGATACTGGCTCTTAGTGATGCTCATTGAAGGGTTGGTTAACTGGTCAATGTTCATGTTCCCTGGTTTCATCAAAACATTGACCGGTGGTCCTATTGGCTGGTGGAGAGAATACGTATCTATGCCAGCTACATTCAAGAAGAGAAAGACACAAGAGTTGCCAATTTTGAAAATATTCGATTGTTTGATTCCATCCAGATACGAGTCGCTTGTTATCCTTGGTTTCTATGCTTACACACTCATTGTCAACGCAGTTAAGATAGCAAACACAACGGGTGCTCCAATTTTTGACAGTGGCTATGAGTTTCAATTGCGTCTTGTTGCCGATAGAACGGGTATAGTAGCTACTATCATGATGCCATTGGTTTTCCTCTTTGCTGGTAGAAATAATTTTTTGCAATGGTTAACCGGTATTAATTACGCTACATTTATGGTTTATCACAGACATATTGCCAGAGTGATGTTCATGCTAGTTGTAATTCACTCTGTTAATTATACCATCATCGAGGGGGAGTATTATTCTGAAGCAGTCAAAGAAAAGTACTTCTGGAATGGTATTCTTGCAACAACAGCAGGTGGTATTCTTTGGATTCAAGCTATGCTTTTCTTCAGAAGACGTTGGTACGAAATATTCTTGTTGATCCATATTATCATGGCAGCCATCTTTGTTGGTGCCACTTGGGTTCATGTAGATGACCTTGGTTATGTATGGTTTGTTTACCCTTCTGTTGCTGTTTGGTGCTTTGACAGGGCTGTCAGAATTGGAAGATTGATTGTTTTTGGCTTTCCTAAAGCTGAGGTTACTTTGTTGGCCAATGATACTTTGAAAGTTGTTGTTCCTAAACCAAGCTACTGGAAATCCATCCCTGGTGGACATGCTTTCATCCATTTTGTTAAACCAACTTATTTCTGGCAATCCCATCCTTTTACATTCGTCGATACTCCAGATGACAAGAACATTGTTTTGTACTGTAAGGTCAAGGGTGGTGTTACTCATAGTTTGTACAAGTTGTTGGCCAAACAACCAGACCAGACCACAAGAATGACTGTTGCTGTTGAAGGTCCATATGGAGAGCCAACTCCGGCCAGATATGCCGACACTGCCGTTTTCATTGCTGGTGGTAATGGTATTCCTGGTATTTACTCTGAAGTGATGGACATGGCCAGAAGATTACCTGCAGAAACCAACAGGGTTATGAAATTGATCTGGGTTATCAGAGATTACTCGTCGTTGGAATGGTTCCAGGAAGAGCTTGAATATTTGAAGAACACCAGTATTCGTACAACGATCTATGTGACCAGACCAAGTTTGAGTTTGAGTACCGATGAGGATAAGAAGTTGGAGGATAAAGATTCTTGTGAAGACGACAAAAGTTCCATCAAATCCAGATTGAACCATATTGAGTTCAAAGAAGGAAGACCCTGTATTGAAACAATTGTTGCTGACGAAATTGAAGAATGTTCTCGTTCTGTTGCGTTTGTCACTTGTGGTCACCCTGTAATGGTTGATGAAATACGTTATTTTGCAGCACATAATATCAGAAACTCAGACAAAAAAAGAGTTGATTTCTTTGAACAATTACAAGTCTGGGCTTGAGTTTGGGTGATGTATGTATATAGGATTGTTTTTTTTTTTCTTTTAAATTGTTGTTTTTAGATCTCTTTAATATATTCTTCTGTATAGAACTAAACTTGTCAATCACTTCCCAGATCGAACTCTAAAGATTTTGTTGTCTCATTTTGCAGCACGATCGGACATTAAAGCCGAGAATGAAATTTTATTTCGAAATTTTTTTTTCTTTTATTTTTTTCTGGTTTCCTTTTGTTCTTTTTCCGTTTCGTGTTTTTATTCTTTTGCCAACCACATCATTTACACTTTACACCACCCATGATTTGGAATAGATTATTAGCACTTATTTCGTTGTTGGTCTTGGTCACTTCCAGAGCCCAAGGAGATGAATATGCAAATGATGACAACATTTTTGAATTAACCCCTTCGAATTTTGACAAAGTTGTTCACAAGTCAAATTATACCACCATTGTCAAATTTTATGCTCCATGGTGTGGTTACTGTCAACAGTTAAAGCCAACCTACAAAAAGTTGGGTAAATATATCCACGAGAATGCCAAGTATGCTGTTAATGTTGCCAGTGTTAATTGTGATAAAGAATACAATAAACCATTATGTTCACAATATCAAATACGTGGTTTCCCAACCTTAATGGTCTTTAGACCTCCAAAGTATCAAAGTGGTAAGCCAACTAGAAAACAAAACCATGCAAGTGAAGTCTATCAAGGTGAGAGAAATGTCAAGGCTATGACAAAGTTTTTAACTTCAAGATTAAAGAACTATGTTACCAAATTCCACAATGTCAACTCAAATGGTATTGCCGAATGGTTACAGGAAGAAAAGCCAAATGTCTTGCTCATCACCAATACCAACCTGATTAGTCCATTGCTAAAATCTATTGCCATTGATTTCCTTGATAGAGTCAATATTGGTATAATTACAAAACTTAACTCAGAGCCACGCACTATTGAAGTTGATGGGAATGAAGTAGAAATTCCAGCCGCAACTAAATCAACATTGCTCTACTTTGACAAGGATAACAAGAAGTTTGTTACATATGATAAGTCTGACAAATTAAATGATAAGGAAGTCATTTCCGAATGGATAATCAAACAAACTAAACAACAGCCTATAGAAGGTCCATTGTCAAAGAAAGAGAAGAAATACTACTACAAGTACAGAACAGGAAAGAAAAAGATTGAACATGATGAATTATAATCCAGAAATAGTAGTAATTTAAAAGTTCTATAGATAATATTATATAAATTTGTATTATACACACTTAAGCTTTACCAAAATTATCCATCATCTCCAACAAAGAATCTATATCATCCTTTTTCTCTTCAGCCTTTGGCTTTGACTCTTCTTTATTTTCCAAATTAACTTGGATCCAATTTGTAACTTGATCGACGTATAATTTAGAATTAGGAACGAAATGACCACCTGGATGTTTCAAAAGTTCTGAGGATGATTTAGTCAAGTCGTACAATGTATAAGCTCTTGCTTCTTCCACCACTGTATCTAATTCTCCATAAACATGAAGATATTTAAAATGGCTATTGACAACTTCTTCTTCAGTTTGTGGATAATGAGAATCGTATTTATTGTTTCCTGCCTTTTTAGATGTGTCTAATTTAAATCCCGAATATAAAACAACAAATTTCAAAGGTTCAGTTTCAAATAATTCATGGAACTTATGAGCAATCAACCCTCCAAATGCAGCACCTTGTGAAAAACCAATTATTCCAACAATAGGTAATTTTCTTTCTTCCTCTGTTTCTGGTTCCATTTTCATATCCTCATCTGGAATGATCTCTCCGTTGTTGATATATTTCTTAATGGTTTCAATAGAGTCATCAACATCAATATTATCATTGGTTGCATCTTTTTTAACCCACCAAGCACGGTAAGTCATTTCATCTGTCTTTGTAGAAGATCCAAATTTTGATAATGAATCAGTTGATGGTAAATCTGCTGGTGTTAAAACGTAGGGTCCATTCAAATATACGCATTTATACCCAAGTTTCATTAATTTCTTTCTTAATGCTGATGTTTTAGCATAGAATAATGATGCTGATTGAGTGTATCCATGAAGAAATAAGATCTTTCCTTTGTAGTTTGCTGGTTTCTTTGTAGTCATTATTGAGTTGATGATGAATAAGAAGGAAAAAGAAAATGAAAAAAAAAAAAAAAATTGCAGATAAGATTGTTAACGTTTTTTATATTTTTTTTTTTTTTTTCACTGTGGATGCATTTTGTACCTTACTTTCATTAGGAACGAGCTCAACAGTATTGCCAACAAGTCGAGTTTACGATTCTTGTAAAGGCATTTTGGTTAGTTGGTTTGTTGTTACAAGCGATAATAGGTAGTTAATAAAAATACTGATTACTAAGATTAGTATAGTTAGAGTACTCTACGAGAAACAAAATCTTCTACATTAAATACTACCGTGCAATTTCGACCCGGCATTGCTATGCAAGTCCCTTTCAATTATCTCTTTCTTACCTGTTTGTCAAATCAGTAATATCCTATATATATTCGTTCCAGTTATTTTAAACTTCTATAATACTTCACCATCTCTCATCCTTGAACCTCTTGTAAATACAGTGTGATTAGATGTATACTCCCACAAAATTACAAACATAAACAGCACTTAATCCAACTGCTATTGAAGCAATTATAGCATTAAGCAAATATACAATTGGGCTCTTCTTTTTGACATCACCTAATAAAGCCATGACAAGGGATCCAAAAGAAATCAATAATAGTAATGCTGTAAAAATTGTAGTAGCCGATGTTATTGAGCTCAATTGAACAGGACTTGAATTGATATCAAATAATTTAGCATATTCGTTGTATGGAGCTCCAGTTGATGCAGATGAAAAAGACATTATATTGTTTGATTGTTATAACTTGATGGATGTAGAAACGGATACTATGATAGACGTTGTTGATGTTGACAGATTTTTTTTTTTACGTGTTAAAAGGTGCTCGCTGGATGATAGATACAGGAACAAAGTTCGCATTGAATCTGTAGTGAAAAATTTTCACAAGTAGAAAATAGTTAAAGTAAACTATATAGATGGATTTCCATTAAGTCAAAATATATAAACGAACATACACAGTAATATCGTATATATATACTTCATTAGTCGGGGAATAGGACTTAGATAACAATTATCGAATCCTAGAAAAGAACTTGTTTACTTAGGCCTTCAGTAATATTTACAAAGGTAGTATCACTTTTAACGACTTCCGAGTACCATTCGCAGTTGCATAGCGAACAAAAGGCAGTGAAAAAAATCGAGTCCTAAAAAAATGTCACAAAATACACGACATTTAACTATAGAAACTATAATTACTACTTAAAATTGAGAGAACCAATGAGCTTGATCAAGCAAAGTTTTCTCTTTAGCATATTTAATCAAAGAATTTGAAATATCACCTTTAACTGCATAACCGTGAGTTGCTCCCTGGAAAATGTCAACTTGGAATCTGGTGTCCTTTTTTGACAACGTCTCAACGGTTTTAGTTCTCAATTCTGGTTCAAAAGCAGCATCGTTGTCACCTGTAGATATCAAAATTGGGTTAGCGATGGTATCAATATCTTCAACTGTAAGCAAAGATGGATGGGCAACAGCACCAACATCAAATAATCCATCATTTCCTAAATGTTCAACTACAAATTTAGCACCAAAGCAATAACCAATACCAAACACCTTCTTAGGATTCTTTTCATTTCTCAACTTAGTTAAAAACTCTGTAACAATAGGAGAAGTAATACCAGGATGATGTTTACCAAACCATTCTTCTCTGTTGAAAAGACCAGCGGGGTCAACAGGGTCATTTTGCAAGATATCGGGAATAATAACCTGAAAAGATGTCAATTCATTCAAATCATCAGCGATTAATCTAATATTGTTCAATTTATAGCCAAATACATCAGTAATTATGACAATCATGTGATCACTTGATTCACCAATAACATATGAATCAAGACCAGCGATTTCTTGGTACTCACCTTTGAAATCACCCTCGTGGTGGAAAGCCTTGAAGCAGCAATCTTTTAATGTGGTCATCGCAAACCTAATATTTAATGAAGCTCACCAATTTTCGTCAGTAATGCAATGGCGAAGTTGGTCCAACATTTTATATTAATACCCTTGATTTGGGTCTTTTGGTGTGTCTTGAGGAAACTCCGTTGGAGATATCACTTCGGCCGAGTAATTGAACGGAGAAATCTTCACTGGGCGGATTGTGTGTGGCTTAGGTGCGGTTACAACGATAATTTTTGAGCCGGTCCGCCTTTTGATAGCCATTGACGTTTGCCAGATGAGAGATTATATTATAAACTCAAAAATACATTAAATAGGGCACCTACAAAAAAATGCACAACCTATTCTCTTCATAATCCACTACTTAGTCTTCGCTTCTGAAAGAAATAGAACTGACACCACGTTCTGTAATTTCACTTTGTTCATCTAGACTTGAATCACCCAAAACTCTACTTATGTACTCCAACTCATCGATCTTCCCATCAATAAAATCCATTTCAATATGTTGAATCTCTTGTTGGTAACTTTTATGTAGTTCTTGATGTCGAGTAATCATTCTCTCAATAACCAAATAAATATCATCAAATAAAGCCATTTTCTTTGAATTAAACTCTTTTCTAATTTCTTGTTTAAATACAGATAAATTCATTCTTGTTTGAGGTAGTCCCAGTCGTGGATCTAGTTGCAAATCCCTTAGGAATTCTTTATCTATTTGTTCAACTTTATCACTAAACTCTTCTATCTTATGATCAAAATAATCAGCATGTTGGTCTATTGGTATATTCATTGCTTCTATCATAGATGACTGACGGAAATATTCCTCCGCTTCTTGAAGTGCTTTAATCCGTTGGTTAAACTTGTAAATATAATCCAAAAATAACCTGCTTCTGTAAAGTTCCTTTTTTGATTCCATAATGAATAGGTGCTTAGTGATGAAGTATTTGAACAACGATGACCTTTGATTATAAAAAAAAGTTATCGGAAAGATTTTTTTGATTTTTTCTTTTTCTTTTTTAGTTTTTTTTTTTTTTTTTTCTTTTTAATTGTTTCATTTAGTTGAAGAAGTATATTGCATTGTTGGGCGGGTTGGCTTGATGACGAAGTTTAATAGAAGAATGTACGAGACGTCCCCGTATCAATGAATTAATAATAATAAGGGCGAGAAATTTGCCTTAATTCTCCGAAGTATTAATTAGCAACTCCTTTCAATATGCATTAGTCAATGAAGTACATCAAGCCCATCAGTGTAATTCGGTAAAACTTCCCACGGCCACAAAGAATTTGTCCCTATTAAAAGGAGAAATGAAAGTGAAATATTTATTTTTGTGACATAAAGAAGATTTTCAAGGGGTGGCAGTGACAAAATTAATAGGACGAAGAAGAAAAAAAAGGAGATGAGAGGGGTCTGTTTCAGAATTCGGGCAAGCCTATTAATTGTCTGTTTCAGGTTAATTAAGTACTCGTCAGAACTGTAAAGTAGACGATACGATTGAAGATTTACCTCTTTTTCCACCCATCATTGAGTTAAATTGTTATTGAAAGATTTTAGACGATGCAAAAAATTTAAGATTTTTAGGAATTACAAAATCTAATTGTCGCAAATTAACGATCATCAGATTGAGGTCTATTTTTTTTTTTTTTTTGGAGTGGACACAATTAAAGTTTTTTAACGTGCATAATTGTACCTTACCAGGAACATGATAAATATGGGAACAGGAGGACAGTAGTAGTTTACAAAACGATATAAAGAAAACTTTTTTTTATTTACCTTTCCATTATGATATTAACAGTTGTTGAAAAAAAAATACTCAATGTAGTGTATCCTTGCACAATAAATTAATTCACACACAGGGTTTTCTTTCTTGCACAGTTACAAAACGTACATTTTATACAAAAATATACCCACACAGAAAAATCACCACTTCTTTAGACACAACAAATCTTTAAATTGTACTATATCACTATGATATATAAATCCACCGGAAATGACTGTTTGAGAACTAGGACGTTTATACTGGAAAAGCTATCAAAAGTGCATATTGGTTTACAAGTTTATTCCGAGTTTGATGCAAAAAATGATCTCAAATACACACAAATAGAAACGATTGATTTATTGATTTACATGATTCAGAAATACAAATTGCAACCACCATCGGAGATAATGTTTAACAGAGTTAGTCAGTTTTATGAATGTATCGAGAAATGTGGTGAAGTTTTACAATCATCTTCGATTTCCATGTGTTTAAAATATGGGTGTCAATACAACACACAACAAGAAATTGAACTGTTTTTCAGTCCCGTGAGCACAAGCAAGTACAATGATTATTTATTTAAGGATATAAGAATTGAAGGAGATGGTGTTACTGATATTAAAATTCGCCTGATTCCGAGAAGTGTGGAAAATTTACAATTGGACTTAGTACGTGTTGATTCGGTGTTATTGACAACTACATTTGAATTAAAAAGCCTCCATTTTGTAGCAATTGGTGGTGGACAAGACAATATTGAAGTATTCTGCAACTTGTTACCAAACTCAATTAGAAACCTATACTTGGATTTAAGTTATTGTCTAACTGATGAGCTTCTTATTGACTTTCCTATAAATGTTGAACAGTTGTCTTTTAAACTAAATCATGAAATAGCATTTCCATATTTTGATGTATCCACATTGAAAAATCTTCATTGTTTGTCTTTAGAAAATATTGATATTGCCGATATTTCCTATTTGAAGTTTCCCAAATCATTAACAAGATTATTTTTAAAGAATGCAAATATGGATGAATTCACACGAATTGATGAGTTGAAATATATTGAAGAGTTGTCAATTAAAGAAGGCTACTTGAATGGTGGTTTCTTATTTCGGGTGGAGAAGTTAAAAAACTTGAGAGAATTTCAGTATAAGGAGGTTAAACTGGATTTAAGCTCCACGAAAACAATAAGGAATGATGCATCCATCTACATACCACCAAAATTGGAATTTTTGGAATTGAAAAGTCATCATTTGCATATTGAAAGTCTTGATTTTCATGATTCTTTAAAATTCTTAACCCTTGAAGATGTTTCCATTGAAAAATCAAAATTATCTCTAGTCAATGCACCAAATTTGATTGAAGCACTGATTGAAAACACAAATATTAAACATATTCAAGGGTTTGAAAATTGTACACAATTGGAGTTTTTGAAATTTAATGGAGTTCCAGTATTTCTTTATAGAGATATATCTAACTTGGAAACTAACAAGAAAGATTATCTCCGGATGGTTAACAGAAGTCTTGAACTACTTCAATTAAGTGGCATTAATTAAATAACAATAAACGTGTTCAATTATAACTGAAAAGTGCCCCCTTTTATGCTACGCCCATTTTCAATTCTAATTGTAATTCTCCCCTTATCATTTGTAAATTGACCTGAAAATTTCAACACGTTTTTTTTATTGTTATTCCAACGGATGGCCGATTGCTGCTTCTTTGTGTTGCAAGTGTTTATTGTTGCAATTTGTGCCGTTCATCAACGAGGAAACGTGGTTGCCCTTATTCAATCCATTTGGCAGCATTCAATACACTTCACTAGACAAACCAGATAGGGGTAGATTGTTGGGGGTGTTAACATAGTGACCATTAATTCTCATGTCCTATTCGCAACAAAATACTATACAGACTCTCCACATGCTATGGGAAATAAAATTACCTTGGAATCAGGTCGGAAATCTTAACATGTATTGTCTTGTTTTGTAACTTTGCTTTCATTGTTTTCTTTCAATCCCACATGTTCAACGATAAGAATGAAATTGTGTTGCACACGATTCTGTCAATCATCAAACCTATTTAAATGCAACAATTCATCATGGATATTCTATTCATCATTTTTTTTTCATATATACTACAATAACCAACAAACCAACCATGAAATATATCTTATTTTTGATTGCTTTATTTATCACTAGAGTTTGTGGTGATGATCTTACAAATTCCTGTCCTGCTGACTCTCCACTTTCTTGTTCTACTTCTGGTGATACTTCCAATAGTTGTTGTTTTGAATCTCCTGCTGGTGTTATTGAATTAACCCAATTTTGGGATTATGATCCTGCTACTGGTCCTGCTAATGTTTTCACCATGCATGGTTTATGGAACATGTATTGTACTGGTACTTCATATCCACAATCATGTGATTCTTCATTAACTATTGATAATTCCGGAAGTACACTTCAAGACATCATTGTTGATCAATTTAATGATCAAGAATTATATGATAACTTATCTAAATATTGGAAAGATATCAATGGTGATGATCATCAATTCTGGGCACATGAATGGAATAAACATGGTACTTGTTTTAGTACTATCAAACCATCATGTTATTCAAATTTTAAAACAAATGAAAATATTTATGATTTTATTAAAGTTCTTTATAATTTATGGTCTCTGGTTCCAACTTATAATTGGTTGGAATCTGCTGGAATAACCCCATCTAATACTGCAACTTATACTTCCTCTCAAATTCAAAATGCATTGAAAGGGAAATTCGGTAAGAATGTTTATTTCAAATGTGATTCAAATAATGCTATTAATGAAGTTTGGTATTATTATAATGTTAAAGGTTCATTATTGGGAGAAAGTTTTGTTCCTATTGATGCTGTATCCAGTACCAATTGTCCAAATACTGGAATCAAATTCCCACCAAAGGGAAGCTCTGGTAGTCAAACCACTCTTAAAACCTCTACCACCACCAGCAGCACTATTACTTCTGGTTCCACATCAACTGGTGTTCCGTCTACTTCTTACATTAATTTAAGTGGTAAATCCGGTTGTCTTATTTCAAATGGTAAGTATTATACCTCAGGTACTTGTGCTACTTACCATTTTTCAGGATCACCAAATAGTGTTCAAATTTCATCATCAAAGGGATCTTGTGGTATTGATTCAAGTAATAACTTTATTTGTAGTTCATCTACTACTGCTGGAAATTTCCAACTCAGTGGTGGCCAAGTTGGGTACAATGGAAATTTTGATTGGTGTTTGGGAGATGTTACTGGGTCTGGATCAACTGCTCAAACTAATGTTAAATTATCCGATGGATCTTGTGATTCTTTTAAATTGACACTTTCTAGTTAGATTTGATATATATATATATATATAGCTATTTAAGACAATAGATCATTTTAAATGCAACAATTCTTTAATTTCTGAAATGACTTCATATTTTTGATGTTCGAAATCTCTTTTAATTCCATCAATAACCAACTCTTTAACTATTTCATTAGCATTCTCTTTTTTAATTAATTCAGATACAAAAATCACATTGATTTGATCGATAAATGAATCTAATTCCTGAACTTTATTAGAAATAAAACTTGCAATTTCATCAGGATTTGTGATTTCATGACCTTGTTCAATAGATAAATTAATCCAATTTTCAGCTTTTAATAGATTATCAAAGATTAATTCATTATTTAAGTGATTGAAATTTTGATAGATATCTTCCATAGAAATATAATTCATTGTTAATGATTTTAAAGAAGAAGAAAAAGTGTGGTGAAAATAATAATAATAAAAAAAAAAAAGAAAACGAACAATTGAATTGACAGCAGTTTATATTACTTTGTATTCAAAGATATGAACAAAACTATATCATTAAGAACCAAACTCTTTTTCAAACTTCTCTTTAACATTTTGTATAATTACAGATCTTCTAATTTGCATATAGGTAATATATTCCGTAGTTGATTTTCTAATCAATTCTTCAACAATTTCATCATTTAATCTTAATTTAATACACTCTTGAAGAATTGAATTCATTTTATCATCCAACTCATTAATATGGGTATTCAAATATTGACAAATATCAGTAGGTGATAGTTTATTATCAGATTTTAGTTGAAACAACAATTTCAATAACCAAGTAGCAGTAGCTTCACTTAGTTTATTTTTCAAATCCAATTGAAAATCAATAAACAATTGACTATTTGGATTTAAAGATTCTAAATAGTTTGTAATTGGTGGTGAAGACATGGTTGTAAAATGGTTGCAAGATTAGATAAAAGAACAAGTAGAAGAAGAAGAAAAAAGGTAATACAATAAAAAACACATCAATTTAAAAGAAACAAACAAAATAACTAAACGAAAACAAAAAGACAACCAAGTGTGTATAACTAACGACAAGACAAATAATAAAACAAGAATTGAAATCATCAAAAACAACTCGAATCACTCCTCATTCTTCTAAAATGCTTCACCTTTTGCACGATGAATTGAAAAAATATGGGATTGAACAGCATCACCTCTAGCAAATGACTTTCCACAATATTCACATCGAAATGGTTTCTCTCCAGTATGAATTCTAGTATGAGTAGTTAATCTATATCTTTGATTAAAACTAGCATGACAATATGAACATACATATGGTCTTTCTCCAGTATGAATTCTTGTATGTCTTGTTAAATCAGATACTTTGGCAAATGATTTACCACATCCTTCTTTGGTACAATGATGTATTTTTGGAAGTGGTTCTTTTGGTTTTTCCTTTTTACTTTCCTTTTTAAGTGGTCGAACAGTTCCTGGATGTTCGACTTCAATATGATTCATCAACTTATCGTATGAAATAAACCCTTTACCACATTGTAATGCATTACAATGGAAAACTCTCACTTCTTTCAAATCTACTGGTGGTTTCATTTGATTGTTTAAATTACTTCCATTATCACTTTCATTGCTACTACCAATGTTAGAACCATTTTGTTCAGCAAACATATTTGAACTACCTTCTTGAACTTGAGCAAGAGTAGCATCATTCATTTCTTCTTCATTATCTAAAATCAAATCATGATGAACATGAGTTTTATGAATTTCTAAATTAGCCTTTTGACTAAATCGTTTACCACATATATCACATTCAAATCTTTTTGGTTGTGAATGAGTTCGACGATGATTTCTTTTATCTATAACATTCTTAAAAATCATTCCACAATGTTCACATATACTTGAATTAGGATTATCAATTTTCTTAAACATGGTTCTTTTCTGTGGTGATACTTTAGTTGGATCATTCAGTCTTTGTCTTTTAGGATATAATTCATCATCATGAATTTGTTCAAATGATTGCTCCCCTTCTGAAGCACTTCTTTTAAGATTAATTCCTTCAGGAGAAACTTGTGTAGCACTAGCTAAATAAGCAGTTGCAGCTGCTTGTATATTTCTATTAAATTCATTAACTTCATTTGGTTCATAATGGGTATAATCAATTCCAATTTTATTGTGAATCAGTTTGGTAGCATTTTGAGTGGTAGTGTTATTCGGATTATTCTCACTAAATTGATTGTTGTTATGATGCAAGTCACGAAATTCATCCTCAAGGTTTCGATTCACCACGTTTTCTTCACCTTCATCTTCTTCTTCTTCATGAATTTGAGCTTGATGTAGGTTTTCTCTAATTGAAGCCCTCAACTCTTTTCTTCTAGAAGACAATGTCATTATCTTATAATTGGTGTAATTAAAATAAAAATTGAAAAAAAAAAAGGAGAAAACAAACAAACAAAAAAATATGTGATAGTGTGAGATAATTGTGTGTATGTGAGTGTGTGAGTGTGTGGTAATTGGTAGTTCAACAAAGTTTTCCAATTTTTTTTTTTTGCTTTTTCTTTTTTCTTTGCTGTGACGTTTTCCACAACACATAATCTTTAAATTATTTGGTTAAAAGTACACGTACTTTCGGTAATTTTGAACCACCCACACGCACAACCAATTTCACATTTAAATTTCCAGAAACTACCATCTCAATTGCCTTCTTAAATATCCCCAACCAAGGGTTTATTCTTCTTCATACGTGGACAACTAAAATGATATCTACAAAGACAATTCCTGTTTTTAGATTTAGAAATGTCTCTTACAGGACATTAAAAACATCGAGTAATCTACTTCTTCCAAGGTATACTTCGGGACCTAATGGATTCAATACCAATAGAACTAGAATCACCAAAGAAATAACACCTGAAGAAGTACAACGATTTAAAGAAGCCCAAGAACGTGCAAGACAACAAGGACAACAGGAATTTTCACGAAATCCATATACTCATCAATTTAATACTGATCCATATTATTCAATTCATATTCCAAATAATACCAATGGAATAATTACTCCACATGATCCAATTTATGAAATTTTAAAAGAACCAACATTAGTTATTGAACGTAAAATTGAATTCATGAATTTGTTTATTGGATTTGAACAAGCTAATAAATATGTTATTATGAATTCATCAGGGCAACAAATTGGTTATATGGAAGAAAAAGATGTTGGAATTGGTAAAATGTTGGGAAGACAATTTTTTAGATTACATCGACCTTTTGATATTGATGTTTATAATTCTAGAGGTGAATTAGCATTAAGTATAAAAAGACCATTTTCATGGATAAATTCTCATATTAAAGCATTATTACCTGGTTATGATAATTATAATGAAATTATGTATGAAGTTATTGGTGAATCGGTTCAATCTTGGCATTTATGGAGAAGAAAATATAATTTATTTAAATTAGAAGATGAAACTACTGATGAATATGATCAATTTGGTGCTGTTGATGCTCCATTTTTATCATTTGATTTCCCAATTAAGAATAGAGAAGGTGATGTTATAGCTAGTATTGATAGAAATTGGGTCGGTTTGGGAAGAGAAATGTTTACCGATACTGGGGTTTATATCTTGAGATTTGATCCTAGAAGTTTTGAAGGTTTAGAAGGTCAATATGGTACTATTTCCAAAGATGGGGTTACATTAGATCAAAGAGCAGTCATATTGTCTTGTTTTACAAGTATTGATTTTGATTATTTCTCAAGACATAGTAGAAGTGGCGGATTATTTGGATTTGGTGGATCCTACGATGATGTATAAACTACCCTCTGTTATTTATTAAAAATAGTCATGTACATTTTATAATTATTACCATTATTTATCTATTTATTTATTGATTGATTGGGCAATCATTTGTTTAGTTTTATCTCTTCCTTTTTTCAAGAATTGTTCCCATTGTTCATCATTCATATCTTTACTTATATTTTTCAATAATTGAACAATCAACCCTGTGTAATCATGTTTTCTTAATTCATTTTCTGATTTCCACATTTCACGTTTATATAATTGATTAGAAACTTCAAATTCATCACCTATACTTCTTGCTTGTTCTAATTTATTATTTGTAATAGCCAACAATGAAAATCTAACTTCATCTCCATATTTAGCAATTCTCTCTTGAAGAACTTGAGGTAATTTCTCAACAAACTCTTCTTGATTAGCACAATCACCATGCATAATAGGATATTGTTTTAATCCATCTAATTCATAAATTTTCCCATTTTTGAAAACATACCCAGCAAAATGAAACAACCCATCATCTTTATCATCATTATTACTTGGAGGTTGTTTATCTTCATCAACAAATGGATGAGGAGTCAGGAATGAATTATGTACCGATCTAATTAAATCACTATTTGAAATAGTTTCACCAATCATCATACTATCAAATCCAGTAACAAATGATCTAAAATTATTCAATTCATCACCTAATTTGACATCATCTAAATTGAACAAAACATTTAGTACTGCTTGAGTAGCACAAGCATCTTGAATAGTTTGATTGGCAAAAAAAATCCCATTATCTAAATATTCAGGATCATAAGTACCAGTGATTGGTTGATTTTTATTAAGATATTCTCTGTATAATTTATTATATTTGAAAAGAAAAATTACTCCATAAATAGGTTGTACTTGTTTAAGTGAATCTGAATCTATCGAAAATAAATCATTGATTTCAATGTTTTCAACACCTAGTTTTTCCACAAGTTCAGTGAATAAACCAGCATCTGAATCAATTCTATTCCATCCACTTTCAGACATTGTTAGTTTGTTGTTGTTGTTGCTCTTTATCGCAATACTGAAGAAGTTCTCATTTTTTTTTTCGGTCTTTAACTTTTCGTTTGTTTGTTTGTTTGCTGATTCTTCTGATGGCGATACTGCCACTGGGCCGAGGGAGACGGACAACGGCGGTGTGGGGCATTAATGCGCGTCGTTCTAACAGATAAAGAAGAGTGACAAATAAAACTAAAAATTTCAAATAAATACTTTTTGTTCATTGCTTTGAGTGTATACAAATATATTGACCTAATATACCTAAGCGTTCTTGGCTTGAGAAACTGATGGATCACTAGTCAAGTAATGTTTAACAGCTTCATAAACAGTAAAGACAACAGCTTGACCTGGAGCAACTCTCATAATTCTTGGGGTAATACCTTTATACAAAGCAGCAATACCTTCTTCTTTAATCAATTGCTTACCAATCTTGATGATTCTGACCAAACCATTTTCTTTGGTGGTGAATTTACTCTTTTGTAATCTGGTTTTAATAGTATCTAATGGAGCATTAGTTAATGGACCAACGGCACCAGAAATCAAACCAATCAAAGAAGTTTGCCAAGATGGTAACAATTCAGTATTTTGTTCTTTTTGCAAGTAAGCTTTAATGGTGGAATAAGTAGCAAAGTTGGCACCTTGGTTAGTGGCTTGTCTAGCACAAGTCAATGAGACACCACGGTATAAAGTAGCAAAACCTTCTTCTTTAACAATCAAATAAGCAGCATGTGGGGCATTTCTATATTTTGGAACATCCAATGGGTCTTTCATAGAATGGTGTTGAGCTTGCAATCTGATTTTAACAACTTCCATAGGATTAACAACCATGACAGATTCAGTGATACCAGCACCAACACCAGCAATGAAAGTTTGACCGGTGGTAATTTTACCTTCCTTGTCTAAAAAGAAAGAACGGTAAAATTCATAAGAACTGAAACGAATAGCCATTTTTGGAACAATACCAATGACAACGGCACCTAAACCTTTATATAAAGAAAGGAAACCTTCTTTTTGAACGATATTAACCCCAGTTTTAATGAAACCTGGAGGTTTTTGACCGGATTTTTTGTACAATTGCATTCGAACCTTGATGGTATCTAATGGATGACAACATAAGGCTTCACATAAACCTGCAACACCACCAGCAAAGAAATCAATTGGTCCTTTGGTTTGCTTCTTTTGAGTTGTGGAAGATGACATTTTGTATGTATAAATGAATAGATATGAATTAATAAATGAATAAATAAATAAAAGGAAAAAAGAAAAATAAGAATTATAGAATACAAATGAAGAATAAACTTGGAATTAATAAATGAATTACTTGTCAATGTAATAATACTAAAAAGTCCTTTTATTTCTTCTTGAATGAAATATTAGAATAGATATTAAAAGTAAGAAGAAAAAGAAGAAGAAAAATCGTAAAACTAAAAATTATAAAAAAAAAAATTCCGGGATGAAAGATATTTCAGTGTTTAAATAGGTTTTTTTTTTTAGTTAGTTTGATAATTTATATATTTGGTTGAATCAATTCGGGTTAATTTATCGTCCTATGGGGCACATGAAAAACAAAATTGCGTGTGCATGGGTAGTGTCGTGTACCACAGGCTAAGAATTATTTTTTGTACTCTTTAATTTTCTGGGGTAAATCACACACACTCACTCACACACACACATACACAAAATACACTCCTATACTCACACAATTAATCTGAGAGTCAACGTAAACAGAGAAAGAAAAGAAAAATTTTTTTTTCAATTTCCCCCTTCATCCGAATCATTCAATTTTAAATCATAATCATCATAATCATCATCAATTGTTGAGTGTATAACTAAAAATTTCTGTTTAATATGTGTAGCACTCGTAAGACCAGAAAGTTCTCTATCATTTTCTGTCATGTTTTTGAGTAAATCACCAACCAACCCCACGTTACACTTGACTCATGATGACTCGTTTTCTCTTTACTAATCTCACCCAATCAATTCCTTGACGATTTTTATTTTTATTTTGTGTGACGAAACAGAGATATCCTCGGGAATATACCTCAATTACAAAACTACTAGTAGTAAACCACAATATCCTGAAACTAAGGTTACGTACTACTATAACAATAACAACGACAACAAAAAGAAATGAAATATTAGATTCTAATTGGACAAACCAGTTGTTATTTTTTCTTACAAAAAGCGATATTTCTCCGGTTTAGTTTTGTAGTGTAGTGTATATTACGTAATTCTAATTTTTTATTTTTCTTTAATAAACTAATTCAAACTCCGGGGTAACGGGACCACACAAAACTAAACAAAACAAAGAATATTTTGTAATTGTTTCGTGTTTCTTATCACCATTACCATCTAAACCATTGGGTACTCCGAGCATGCAGACTTTTCAAGATGACTCAACAAAAAAAAAAAAATACAGTTGACTGTCTGGATATAACTCACAACAACAATGTTTGATGATTAGAAACTCCGATATTGTGACTCGTGTCTCTCATACCATATATAAATTAACATTAAAATTATAATAATATTCATTATTTAATATTCCTTCTAAATATAATTCACCAAAATATATCAAGGCATTAATATGATCACCTAATACATATGGAATACAGATGACAGAATCACTGCTACCATGTCCTTCATGAAAATATCTTATATTATGATTCGGTCTAATGATTTTGAAAAACTCAAGATATTTACGTAACATAATATCAATAGTTGAATCATAAGGTACTTTTGTACAAACATACAGTTCACGTGACATCGATGAAACAACAGATAATTCACGATAATTCAAGAAATACTTTTTCAATTTACAATGACTAAAAAAAAAAAATCCAAGTATGTTAGTTTAAGGATTCCTTGTGGTGACTTATGTGCATTGATACATACATATCAATAATTGTATTGATATCTAATATTTCATATTTGAAAATCTCATCTAGCAAACAAATTCGGATATATACTTCATGACCCAAGAAATATTGTCGATGATTTAAATCTTTAAATATCATATTTCTGATCTTTAAAATTCGTCTGTTATTGTTGTTACTATCATGATTCATGGTTTCATCGAATTTGGAAGCAAAAGAAATAATAGAAGATCTTGAATGACAATATAGCATTTTTGATGAATTGTTAGTACAAGATGTTGTTATTCCTAGCATTTCTTTTAAAATTTGAAATAGATGTTGATTATATGTAAAACCACTTCTTTTTTTTCGTATTATTTCCTTAGGTTATACTAGATGTGTCATTTTTTTTTTTATTATGGGAATACCTATGAGGAACATTGCACAAAAGTACAATCCTTTTTAAAAGTGTTCATAATCACACATAAATTTGCACCCAAATGTGAGTAAAAAAAAAAAAAAAGAAAAATAAACTCAAATCTTATATATATATATATATATTCAAGGGAACTAATAAAAACAACAACAAACTATATAGCAAAGCATCCTATTTCATTTGAGGCATTGGAGCAAATTGTGGAACCGATTCACCTGGTGAAAATTCACTAGATTTAGTAGGTTCAGTGTTATTTTCACTATCTTTTTCTTCCAAACTCTTCTTCTTAATATTTGCCAATCTAACAGCTTCTTGATGGACTTGGTTCACATCTTTAACAAAACTAGTGTAATATTCATGAATTTTCAAACCCAATGACAGTTTGGAGGCATCTTCAAAGTATTTTCTCAATTTGAGATCAAGACCACTCTTGGCATAACTTTCTTGAGCCTTTTGAACTTGCTGATTGAATTTACTATCTGGATCATCAGAATGAACATATTTCTTGTCCAAACTAGTAATAAAATCATTGAACTTTTGAGAAATACCATTCTTTTTATCGAATTCAATCCCTTTGTTGATAACTTGATCAGATACAACATAACCATCAGCTAACAATTGAGCGAAAATGGCATATTTTGGTTTTTCTTCTTGTTCAACATCATCATAATTCTTGTCACCAGTTACAATGGCATCATTTTCTTGTGATAATTTATTATCGACACCAGCACCACCTTGTTGTGGAGCAACACCAGTGGCACCATCAGTGATTTCTGGAACTTCTTCAACTTTAATAAAAGTATTATCCAATTCAGCATCACTTAATAATAAAGCAGTAGAAACAGCTTTTGGAGAAGCAAAAACAACTTCATATTTCTTAAATTTGCCATCATCTTCAATTTGGTTTAAAGAATCAATCTTCCCACAAAATGAAAAAAATTCTCTGATTTTTTCTGGGGTAACGTTAGATGGAATATGGGATGCAATAACTGAGGACATTTCTTAGGAGGTAGGAGTAGGTAATAACTATCAATTGAGTTTAAATAAAAGCAAAAAATAAAGAATATATAAATTTTAACAAAAAAAAAAAAATCAAACGAACAGCAAGGTTAATAATTGCTCTTTTTATATTAATTTATTTTCGAATTTTTAAATTGCCCCTCGAAACTCCTCAAACCAAATTAAATGATACAGCAAGAAAACAACTAAAAAAAAAAATCATCCACGTGATTTCGTGCCGCATTTTCTCTCAAGGAGGCTTATGTAATTCAATTGCTGTGACCCCAAATAGAATGAAAGAATATTATGGAACGATATTATATGAAACACAAAGCAATCTAAACGATACGTCAAGCTTTGCAGTTCTACAAAGGTATTGATTTTTGTGGAGTGGAAACATCTGGTATATATTTTCTACAGGGTATATACACTTTTTAATTTCAATTTACAAACCTTGTTGTTGAGGAGCTTTACCAACTTGGCCATCAGTTAATTCAGGAACCTCATCAACTCTAATGGCAATACCATCAATATAAGAGTCACTCAAATCCAAAGCGGCTTTAACTGAGGTTTTGTCCTTGAACAAAATTTCATATTTCTTGACTTTACCGTCATCACCCAAAGGAATTAAATCTGAAACTTCGCCTGCTTGTTTACTGAAATATTCTCTAACTTCAGCAGGTGTAGTTTTTGATGGAATGTTTGAAGCTATAACAGAAGACATATCTAATTTGAATTATTAGTTTAGTTGTATAATTAAAAAAAATATAAAGAAGGAGGAGGTGAACAGAGTTGGATTTAAGGGATTTTTATAGTCGTCTTGAATGAAGGGGATGGGTTATTCTTCACTCCTGAATGGCTGCAAAGTGAGTTATCGAAATTTCTACTCTCTTCTGTAGTTATATTAGCAATTTTACTAAAAAAGAGATTCTTCTTTGAAGTTCTAGTTTATTCTTTATTATTAACATATATTTATTTTTAATCTATTACAGTAAATCCCCCCCTATAATAGCGTTTGACCCAAGGCACATCTACCAATGGCACAGGCCGCGCTAACTGTATCTAATACATGTTCTTCAGTTTCAGCCAACATTGGGTTAGTTTCAACGATATCTAATCCACCCAAAAGACCAGATTGAGCAATTTCTTCAGCGATAAATAAACCTTCTCTTAAACTCAATCCACCTTCAACTCTAGTACCAGTAGCAGGAACAAAGCTTGGATCAATAGCATCAACATCATAAGATAAATGGATTGGGCAATCTCTATTTGGATTAACTTTATCTAAAGCCATTTCAACAACTTTACCAATACCATATTTATCAACATGATACATTGAAAAAGCAGGGATGTTATATTTACGTAAAATTGCCTTTTCACCATCATCAACATCTCTTAATCCAATGTATACGATTTTATTAGCTTTTAACAATTGTGGAACCCAATCAAATTCAGGTGGATAACTTTCTCTATCAATACCCATGACAAAACTTACTGGACAACCGTGTAAATTACCAGAGTCTGTAGTCTTTGGTGTGTTGATATCAGCATGAGCATCAACCCAAACAATACAAGTGTCTGGATTATTAGCTAAACTAGCACTAATAGTAGCAGTACCAATAGAATGATCACCACCAATAGTGATAGGTAATTTGTTTTCTTTTAATGATTTTTTAACAGATTCATGGATTTTCTTACAACAATCATTAACAATTTTAGTGTTTTTAATTCCAAAGGAATCTTTTTCATTAGATTTTAATTTCTCATAATCGGTACCTTCCAAAGGACTATCGATTTCACTGGCCCAGCCTAGAGATTCAATTTGTTTTTGGAAACCAGCTTTAAGAATATATTCAGGACCTAATTCAACACCGCCTTTTGGTTGACCACCAGAAAATGGAGCTGTTATTATAGTAGCCTTTTTAGTTGGATAATATTTATATGGAATAGTTGATGACATTATTATTATTTGTTTGTTTGGGTAGATTAATTAAAAGTAGATAAGATAATATAGAAACAAAATCTTCTTGAAAAAAACTTGGGGGAAAAGAAATGGAAAGATCAGCTTCTATTTATAATAATCCTAAAATCAAAATGAAAATAGTCTTTATCTATGTTCGTTCATGAAAAAGATGAAAAAGTAAGGAAAAACTCCAACATCGATGATAAAGAAATTTTGCAGATGCGGATTATCTACTCCATAAGGAAATCAACTGCGATCAAACACACGTTGGAAAATTAATATTTTTTTTTGTTCCCTTTGTTGGTTGCATCTCCGTCGCTTGCCTTTCGCAGTTAGATTCTTTTAATCCTATCAACAAGAATTGTATGAAGATATTTGCCTCATGGTTATACAACCTCAATGGTCGGACTTGCCATTAGGGGCATCTAGTCCTCTTTAGTTTTACCCCAAATCAATCAGACCCCCGCTCAAGTTTGTAGATACATACGTCATTCATTCTCAAAGAAACCAGGATGTCACATTTTTTTTTTTTTTTGATTTCGTTCTCTTACTGATGACTATTTTTAAATATTTTTCTTTGGTCGACTGGGAAGGGCAATCCAGCACGAAATCCCACCGCCACAAAAGATACTTCCGTAATTAGTAACAAAGTATACCCAAAGTCAACTGGCCAATAATACCAAACGAAACGTGACTATTCCCGATTTGTAATCAAACAAACCTCGGATTTCGTTTTTAAGTTTAGTTTAAAAAAGCAAGATGGTCGAATTTCTCTTTTATGTCATGTAAGGTTTGTGAATCCTGCATTTTTTTTTTTTTGATCTATTCAACGTTTGCAATTTTTACATGTCAAATAAATAGAATGCTATTGTTTAATTTTAAACAAACTAGAGTGTTGTCGCGAAGTAACAAAGTATCGCGTCAATATGTCGGATTTAGTTTGTTTTCGAACAAGTGAATTGTGCAGTAATGGAAATTGATTTATGCAATATACTGCAAATTGGAAAGTTTTGTTTATTATTGATTGAAATATTATTTGTTATGAAATCGTTTGATTTTCATTAGTTTGGTTTAAAGTATTATCGATCCACTTGGACGAATAGTCATTGGATTAAATATAAATGAGAGAAAAGTAGTAAATGTTTTATTTGTTATAATTATATAGTATCGATGTTTAAGTGAATATAAGGAACTAATTGAAAGAAGAAATAGACTTAAACTAAGTTGCTCCCAGAAACCTGGTTATCTTTAGATCACTCGCTGTATTTTAATAAGATAAGTATTGAGTTCATTAGTGGCGTATTCACTGCTGCGTTATACTCTAGAAATTAATTCATTTGAGTTAAATTAGTTTCAGAGTCGTCCGAGGTTTTAGTGCGAAGTAATTTCACTCACCGACAAGTGTTTCTTATTCTTACTCTACATGGATTTTGCAGTTTGCATTCTATGGGCGGAGAATTAGTGAAAACTTTATCTGACCCCAAGTACAAAATATATTCATGCTAGCAAGACCAATTTCAATTAACCCAACACCCCCACTCCCATCTCCAATACATCGTCAAGTCTTTTTCCCCAACGATATGTTTTATAAACATGTTTCAGTCGGTTAGGCAAAAGGACAAAAAAATAAAAATAAAAAATAAAAATCTCTCTCATAGTAAAAATTACAACGGGAAGATAGAAAAAAACTTTGTGTATCGTTCAGCGGTGGTGGTGGTGGACATAACCCCAGTTCCTCATCGAAACGACCCACGTTTTACTCTAATATATCATCAACAAAATTTCCTAACTTATCTACACAACAAAAATTTTAGATACCTATTTACTTTATAAATATCACTAGTCTTCCTTCTATTGACTCGTTCATTCTACCCAACTTTCCTCGTCTAATTCCCAACAATGAAGTTTGGTAAGACATATGTCACGCATCAAATCCCGGAATGGTCGATTTATTATATGAATTATAAACATTTGAAGAAAATCATCAAATCTATTGATTCAGTTAAAAATTCCCCTGAAATTGATGAATCAAACCATCCTGAAATCATTTCTGATACATTAAGTACTTTTTTCTATGAATTAGATAGAGATCTTGAAAAAGTGGATTCATTTTATAGTACAAAATTCAAAGAATATAATCGAAGATTAATCAAAATTGTACAAGTTTTAGGTTATCAAGATGGTCAAATCACTCATAATACTGAGGATTTTGAAGAAGTTGATGAAATTATAAATATCCTTATTGAATTAAGAAGTTTATTTAGAAATTTAAAATGGTTTGGAGAATTGAATCATAAAGGTTTTGTTAAAATTTTGAAAAAATTAGATAAGAAATTAACAACTATTTTAAATGAAAGTGTCAACAACAATCAAGAAGTGGATTATTCTAATCATAATAAAGAAGATTATTTGGGTAGTAGAATTGATGCATTACCTTTTGCTAATGGTTTAGAACCTACTAATGCCCTTGATATCATACATAATCTTCTCATTCAATTGGGTCAATCCCATGATGTTGCTCTGAATAATACCAGTGGTTCAAGTTCTAATAAATCAGCAACCCCAACAATAGATTCAGTTGATGGATCATTAACTTTAATTCTTCAGAATGATGATGTGGAAGCTCTCAAAAAACAAGTTGATTTTAAAAAAGCCACCAATAAAACATTAATCTCCATTTTAAACAAAGCCACATTGCTTAATTCTTTCAAATGTGTTGATTATACTTGGAATAATCTTGATTTGTTGTATGACGATGCGGATTTCAATGGTAGAAATTTTTTCCATCAACATGTAATAAGTTTGGGTAAATCCCAACTTGTCAAGGAAGAACAGAGATTAAGTGTTGCAGGTGAATCGCCTTCTAATTGGTTGTTGGGTGGTAGAGATGGTGCTGTTTCTAATGGGGATTCTGCATCCACAGATAATGATAAATCTACAACAGGGTTGTTGTACATTTTCAGCAAGTTGAAACATAAGAGATTGATATTCTCAGAAGATCATTATCATCGTACTCCTTTACATTATGCAGCACAATATGGTTTAGTCGATGTCACGAAATATTTAATTGAATATGGTATCAAATGGGGATTGGTAAACACTAGTATTTCAATTGATGATGTCAGTATTTGGGGAGATCAAGAAGGTTTAACTCCATTGCATTTATCTATTATCAAGAAACATCCAAAAACTACCAAAGTCTTACTTAGTTTTAATAAATCACAAACTTTGACATGTCCTGATTTGTTACTATTAGCAGTGAGATTAAATTCTCGTCAAATTTTGAACTCCTTAATTGTTGAAGGACATATTGATGTTAACTATACCGATGCTGAACATCGTGATGAATCGGCTTTGTATATTGCGGCAAAGTTAAACTACGTTGAATTGGTTGAGTTTTTATTAGAAGAATTAGATGCTAGTACAGAAATCTGTGAGAATGTTTTTGGCTGGACTCCAATATTTATAGCTGCTGCTGAGGGGTATGTATCAATTGTGAAAATTTTAAAATCCTTCGGTGCAAATTATGATATTGTTGACGATTCGGGTTGGTTACCTATTGAACATGCATGTTTAAGAGGTCATTTAGAAGTGGCTGATTTATTGGTACCAAAAAATGAAAAACTTTTAGCTTATGACATGTATCATCCTGAAAATAATAGTCCTAGACTTCCAAGTAATGGTGGTCTCGCTTCTGGCACCATGAGTCCAACTTTAATGTCAATTGCTGAATCTACCTCAAGTGTGGATAAATTACCAGAATCACATAAGAATGCCGTTAACCAATTCTACAAGACATTGAAAAACAATTCTGCTAGCAACGTATCAACGAGGTCAATTTCACCAAAAAGGAAGAATAGATACAAACCTGTTAAATCATTTGGTCATCGTTACTTAAATGAAGATGAATCATTGGTTTTGATTACTTTGGGAACTACTGATTTAAGAGACAATAGTCCACCAATTGAATTGAATAAGATTTCATTAGCTAAAAGTTTTGCTACAGAATTAGATACTGCTTTGTCTTTATCAATTACATGCATTAATAGAGTTACTAATGAACAAATTGAACCCCCAGTTGTTGTCGACTTACCATTGGAAGATTTCCATGGAAGTGCCACCGATCCAATATCATTCAAATTAAGCAATAACTTGACTGTTAATGATGTTATTATAACATTTGACATTATTCCTACTTATCAAGTCAACAAGAAAGTCATTGGTAGAGCAATTGCATTACTTCAAAATGCCTATACCAAAGTTGGTAATAACTTGAGATCTTTATATAATAATATCACCCTTCCAATTATGGAATCAAACAATCTTGATATTTTAGGATCAATCAGATTTGAATTTTTACAAGTTTTACCATTTAAACATGATTCAATGAGTATTGCTAGAAGCGACACCTATTGGAAACAATTAGTTTCCACTAGAGTTATTGGACATCGTGGGTTGGGTCAAAACAAAAACGACAAGAGGTCATTACAATTGGGTGAAAATACTGTTGAATCATTTATTGCCGCTGCTTCGTTGGGTGCAGCCTATGTTGAGTTTGATGTTCAATTGACAAAAGATTATGTTCCCGTTGTGTATCATGATTTCACAGTTGCCGAATCTGGGGTTGATATTCCAATGCATTCATTAACATTAGAACAATTTATGGGATTGAATAAAACTGTTCAAAGACCAACAACTACTGTTGATGATGAGGTATTAGTCAGAAATAAACCACGTGCTAAATCCCATTATAATTTAGGTTCTAATCTTAAAGAGAATAGAGATTTTGATAATATTGAAAAAGAACTTGAAAATGCCCATCATGAAAGAATGAAATTAACTAAAACTTGGAAAAGTAAAGGTTACAAAGGTAATGCAAGAGGAACATCTGTTGCATCGAATTTTGTCACGTTTAAAGAATTATTCCGTAAAGTTCCTTCAAATGTCGGTTTTAATATCGAAGTCAAGTATCCTATGTTGGATGAAGCTCAATTTGAAGATATGGGTGAAATTGCCATTGATCTTAATTTCTATGTTGATACTATATTGAAAGTCATTTATGATGAAAACACAACTGGTAGAGATATAGTATTTTCATCTTTCCATCCAGATGTTTGTCTATTGTTAAGTTTAAAACAACCAACCATGCCTGTATTATTCTTGACTGAAGCAGGAACTATGCCAATGTATGATATAAGAGCTTCATCATTACAGAATGCAGTTAGATTTGCCAAAAAATGGAACTTACTTGGTATTGTATCTAATAGTTTAACTTTGGTGAAAACTCCTAGATTAGCTCAAGTTGTCAAATCAATGGGGTTGGTATGTGTTACATATGGTGTGGAGAATAATCAACCTGAATTGGCCAAATTACAAATGCAAGCAGGTGTAGATGCCGTTATTGTGGATAGTGTCTTGGCAGTTAGAGAAGGTTTAAGAGAACATAATGATGTGTTGAATAAATATGAAGATAGTGAGTAGATGATTAACGTTTTATGTATGTCTATGTATGTCCTTTCCTGTTTTTTACATATTTATATTTATATTATTATAGATTAGAGATTTATTATTGTTTTGTGCATGGTTGATTTAATGCGATCTCGGGTCGGTGATATCTCGCAATTTGCGTCCAAAGAATCGTGCCAGAAATCGAACAAGAAGAAATCAAGAGAAAAGCAAACCAAAAAAAAAAAAAATACTAAAACCAAAACCATAAACGAACGTTGATAATTTATAAATATTACGATTTCCGATATATCTCATTAAACAGGACATTGAAATTTAAAGAATGGCAGATCATCAGAAAGATAAAAGTGAGAAACAACAACAAGAACAACCAAACAATGATAAACCATCTAGTGTGTTTGTTATTCCTTCTACACGTAGAGGTATAAATGCAGTACATGTGAATGCCGCTCGGGAAATGGTTAAATTGCATACTCAAGGTAGAAATCCACCAACTTCATCATCATCAATGGGTAGACAATCATTACCAAGTATGATTTCCACAAGTGGAGCTGCTCATAATTCAAAATTTCCAATTTCACGTCCTACAGGAGCATCATCATCATCTTCTTCTTCATCATCGTCGACATTTCCATCTAGAAGTGAATTACCATCTACATCAAGTAGTTTCCCAAAAGTTTCAATTCCATTACATCATGATGAAACAGAATGTAAAAATCCTCAATGTCAACATTGTGGACAAATCATTATACCTTCCCCACAATCTTCATTTCCTATACAAGACAAACCTTCAATTAGTATAAATTCATGGAGTATTTACACCACAAAGAAACCTATTTTAAATTCCGTTGAACTTGATAATCTTACTACTAGATTTGAATTCCCATTACCGGAGATGATATTTGGGAATAGTAGTGTAAGAATAGTTAATGATAAAACCAATGGAATTATTGAATTTAATGCATTAGATGCATTGGATACATTAGAAGATGATTGTGAATTCAAAGTAAGTTATCATGAAGAATGGATTAAATCAAGACGATCTAAACAAAGTGCCATTAAACAAGAACAAGGAGTTAAAAAAGATTTAACTGAATTTACTGATAATTTAGATGGATTAAAACCTTATGATTGGACATATTCACCAAATTATAAAGGAAATATTAAAAATATTGATCTTATACAAAATAATTCAAAAGAAATTCCAATTGAGAAATTAACTAGACCTGATCCAATTTTATTTTATGATGAAAGTGTATTATTTGAAGATGAATTGGCTGATAATGGAATATCAATTTATAGTTATAAAATTAGAGTTATGCCTACTTGTTTACTATTATTATCTAGATTTTTCCTTAGAATTGATAATGTGACATTTAGAATCAGAGATACAAGAATTTTCATTGATTTTGAAACTAATGAATTAATAAGAGAACATAAAGTTCAACAAGATGATTATAATAATGTATTGAAAAAGATTGGTACCAACAAAAATGAAAAAGATCCTAAAAAATTACTTAGAGATCCTAACTGGGTAAGTATGAATCTTCCAGTTATAAGTAGAGAAGTAGATATATTAAACCATTGATCTAGGTTTTTCGTGTTAGAAATTGATGTTTAGGAGCTACCAATTGTGGTTCTTTTTTTTTCGTTTGTTCTTCTATGTAATCCATACAAAATGATTTGTGTAGGAACACACGCACTTCTTTCAAAGTTTGTCTTTAAGAGACAAGAGTAAAAAAAAAAAAAGAAAATTTTTCAGAGTTCTTTTCATCAAAACTTATAAACCAACATCCACAAACTAATACAACAAGGAGGAAAATGTTTAGTCGAGGAATTATAAGACCATTGTCAAGAAGATCTATTCATACTGTTCCAAAACTTCCAACCCATAAAGTCTGGCAAGAAAAAGGTATACCAGGATTATTATCTGCAGAAGGATATCAAACTGCTTGGACCGATTATCAAAATTATTTATTAACTAATTTAACATTATTAACTAATGGAACATCACTGGAATTAAAATCACCATATGAAACATTATTACATACTGCTAAACAAACCACTCTGCAACATATTTTCCATTATTCATCAATGGCTCATAATAATCATTTTTTCTTTGAACAATTGAGTGATAAAGAAATTGCATCAAAGACTAAACCATCAAGATTTTTAATGGAAAAATTAATGCATGAAGATGTATTAGATATGGATCAATTTAGAAATAAAATATTAAAAATGGCTGAAGAATCTTATGGTCAAGGTTGGATTTTTTTAATTGAAACTCAAGATAAAAATTTGAAATTTATAAATTGTCATAATGATGGAACTCCTTATTATTATGCTAAATCTCAATTATTGGATTTAAATGGTGGATTAAATGAAAATGATTTTAATTATTTACAAGATTTAAAAGAAAAAGCAGCTAATGGTGAAAAAGATTTCAATTTACCTTTATTGGCTATAAATTATTGGGATTATATGTATATTAAAGATTATGGTGTTTCTGGTAAAGCTGAATATTTGAGTAACTTGTGGGAACACATCAACTGGGATGTCATCAACAAGAGATTATTCCAAATCTGATCGCATTCACAAAAGAGCTAGAATAGATATATTTATATATATATATATATAGTTTCCTTCCTGTACATATACATCACAACTAACCTCATTCAGGAAATTCTAGAGCTAGTAGTTCTGTTGTGGTAAACATACTCACTGTATCTTTATTGGCAATCAGGAGATACTTATTTAGTTTGATCTGTATTTGATCAACTTGTTCCATAATTGAAAGTAACTCTGGATCGTCATACCAATTTACTGGTAATTCAAGAATTCTTTCTGGTATTTCTAAACACATTTGTTGCAACTTTTCCCATTTATTCACCAATTCATAAAACTCTTTCCTTTTATCTCCTTGGTTCGAGATGGTTTCCCTTACTATATTTTCCTTATTCTGAACATACTTTCTATTTGATTCCTTCAATGTTTTGTTCAATTCTGTCGATTCCTCGATTAATGGTTTGATTACTTTTGTAATGGTATTGTAAGCTTCCCTGTCAAATTCTTTCTCCTTGTAATTAGTTATTAAACCCTTTTCGTCATCATACAATTCAGTCAACATGGAATGTATATTCTGTTCCGAAGTATTCAACTGTGATTGATGGATACTTTTCAATATAGGCTTAGTCATTAATAAGTAACTCAACAATAATCGATCTGTTTTGATTTCAGAATTTTGTAATTTCAAGAAATCCAATAACTCTTCACTATCTGTTATTCCCATATTGTGTTTGATTATTTCAACTTGTTGTTTGATTTGTTCGTCAGGTAATGATTCCACTTCTTGTATTTTATTAAGGTACATGAGTTTATTTAGTTTATGATTTAGGGACTTATACATGGTGAAATATTTCTGTTCGAGCTCTTTGATATTTGATGATGTTTGATTTGGTTCAACTTCGGGTATCCCATACTTGTGATTTAAAATTGACGTCGATTTAAGCAATCTCTCTGCTTCTCGAGCTAATTCGTCTGACATTGGTGATGTTGGCAATAGTAATGGCTAGATGATTATCGGTTTGTTTTGATTTTGTTTTTGTTTTTTTTACAACCAATTCCACAAGACAACCCAAAAAGAAAAATATACATCACGGAGCTAAACACGAACAACAGGGAGAGACAGAGGAGAGAAGCAAAAAAAAAAAAAATTTCAACAACCACGATTGCCCACAGACGGACAACCAATTCAAACACTGAAACACGCATACACACACATTTTATAATAAATCAGTATGACATCGACTTTAGATCCTGCTTTACTTAAGAAGAAACTATTATTACTTGCATCTAGTGGTTCATTTACCAATTATACTCCACGTCAATTACATGATGCTTATGAAGAATTGCAAGATTTCTTGATTATTTATCAAGACAAGGTATTAGATTCCATTGAATTATTCAATTTATTTGAGTTACAATTCTATTTATCCCTATTGACTTTACATGACACTGAAGCGAAGAATGCATTAGATAGAATTACTGATCAATTTAGTATAATTAAAGTTGATAAAGAACTTACATCACAAAGAATTACCATCTTGAAAAGTATTTATGAAGAACTGCAAGGAGATATCAAACAAGCCTCTAAATTATTAAGTGAAGATCCAGATGAATTGAAATTATCAAGAAGATTAACTACTTTAAGTAGACATGATGGAGGTGATCCAAGTAAATATATTAACAATCTCATATATTATCTTAATTTACAACCTAGTGATAAACAAACTTGGAATGAATTAGCAGAACAATACAAGATCCTGGGCCATTATGATAAAGCTATTTATTGCTTAAAAGAAATAGTATTGCAAGATCCTCAAGCTTATCCTATCTTTTATAAAATTGGGTTGTTGTATTATTATCTGTTCTTGCAACTTGAAGTTAATTTAAAAACAGAAAAGAAAGACAAATTGCTTGAATTGATGAAGATATTGACCAATTCTAGAGATAATTATTTGTATTCAATTGAAATCAATGACAAATATAAGAAAAATTGGGTGGGGTTGAAAGTTCTTGTTGAATTAAGTTTCAATGATAAGTTGAAAAAGATAAGTGAAAGCTCAAAGGAGATTAAAGAATATTTAAGTTATAATGATAAATTGAAAGTTATCGTAGATAAGAAAATTAAAGAATTGAATATAGAGATATAGATAATCTACAATAGATTCTGATTTCACCAAATAAATGTGTTATATTCAAAAATAATCATAATAATAAAAAAAAACACGCTATACAATAATAAGAAAAAACAAAATAATATTGATAGCTTCAACTGATGATGAAAAAAACAAACCAGCTACTTCAATGATAGGAATTCAATTTCTATTCAATAGTTAACATGAACCTTTAATTACCATCAGCAGCAGGAAAGTGGATCGATTCATTGATTGATTTATTTATTTCTTAGATCCACATTTACATTCACTTTCACTGGCACATTTACAGTCAGCACCACAGTCACAACCGGCACAAACAACTAATTCGCATTTAGACATTGTAGATAATAAGAATTGATTTGATAGTAGATATTAAATAATTGTTATAATTATTTGATGATGAAAGAAAAGAAAAGGAATAACAAGATCAAAAAAAAAAATGGGGGAAAATCCCATCTCTATTTATATTATTTCTTTCCCCTGGCAAATTCTAGTAAAAGGAGACTTCACTGAATCATACTATACAAAACAATAAGGTCATACGAAAAAAAAAAATAATAATAATTATACTGGTAGTGCAATTACCAAGAATAGCGATAATTCCTCACACAATAATAATTTTGTCCTTATCGATCAAAGCAATATTAACGCAATGTAACACCTAGGTCACAATGTTGATATCCATTTGTCCTGTCTAAAGTTTATAAACTTCAGGAGGCTTATGATCCAGATCAAACTTACAACGTGTTGATATATCAACAAGCAAAGTCAATTCACTAACAAGATCATCTCAAATCAAAAAAAACCTATGTTTCTTCCAGAAAGGTGAACAAAGATCTTGATACAATCATTGGCGAGAAAGTTAGTAAAAAATGTAGGACCCCTGATCAGATCAATTCATAGTATTAGCAATCTAGTTATGAACCGTAATTCAGTTTTTTTAATTGGTTTTTGTTTTCCTCCCAATTTTCTGGAACATGAAGACAAGGGGATGGCGTTTGAGCTAATTCCGCGGCAAGTCTCCTCTGTTCTAATCATCCCTTAAACAATACAGAATCAAATATTGTTTGCTTCCTTCCTGCTATTGTTCACTTTGTGATTCTTGTCTTTTATTTAACTATCTCAATTGGAATTCGGGTATAAGAAATCTGCTGTTAATTCATTTTGTATAGTACAAATCAAATTATCACCAGTTAATATTACCTCATTATACTGAATATTGTGCCGTGTCTACATTAAACTTCGCCGATGATCTTTCTGGTACAAGGCTGATGTTTTTTTTCTCTCTTACTTGGTAACAATCACTTACAAATTTAAGGTACGATGATGATACTTGATTCTCGATTCTAAATGTTCTCCATTTTTTTTTTTTTTTTTTTGGTAGCATAATTCTCTCATCGGTGATCATCATTGAAATCAAGCTAAATTATCGCAAATGTGTATGTACAATTACATAACCCTTGGATACTCTTTCTCTCAATGCTAGATAAAGTATACATAGAAAGGCATATACATATTACTTCTCAATAAGTGGAGACCGTAACAGTTTACTCCTCTGGATTCTTATTCTTGAAAAAAAAAAAACTGGCTTAATTTGCGGCTCTTTCAATATTAAAAGTTTAATTAGGTCAGATCACTATAAACTCAATAGAAGTATAAATTAACTTTTGATCCTCCAACTTCCACGTTTCGCCACCTTGTTGATCTTTACATTACCAGTGTTAGCTAATATTTTAATATTATTACTATGACGACTACTTTACAACTAATATATCTTCTATACAACCATTCTTTTCTTCTCCTATTATTCTATTTTTTATTTCTTTGTTTTAGACTTTTTCTTCTTTTTTTTTTTGTTCTGTATGCTCTTACATGGATTTGTAGAATCTAAAATTCTCCCTTGTAGTTCAAATCATCACTTTCCAAAATAGAATCCAATGTACCACTAGCAGCAGCAACCAAACCAAGGAATGGTCTTGATGGATCTAAAACTTTAGACAAGTATTCTGGATGATATTGAGTACCAACAAAGAATTTATGGTTATCTTTCAATTCAATCATTTCCATTCTTTTACCGGTTTCATCTTTACCAATGAATTTCAACCCTTTTTCTTCAATTGAATCAATCAATAATGGGTTAACTTCATATCTATGTCTGTGTCTTTCATATACAGCATCAGCACCACCGTATAATTTCTTCAAGTTGGACCATTCAGAATCTTCAACGAATTTGGTTTCGTGAATACCCAATCTCATGGTACCTCCCAATTTAACTTGATCAACATCTGGCATGTAAACAACAGAAGCTTCACTTTCTGGAATAGAATCATCAAATTCCATAGAAGTGGAGTTTTTGATACCCAAAACATTTCTGACAAATTCAATAACAGCAATTTGTAAACCTAAACAGACACCCAAGTATGGAACATCGTTTTCTCTGGCATATTTACAAGCAGCAACCATACCTTCAATACCTCTAGAACCAAAACCACCTGGAACTAAAATACCGTCTGCTTGACAAACATGGTGCCATGCTTTGTGGTATTCGGACAAGTTTTCCTTTTTGGTTTCTTCTTCCAAGTTGGTAGATTCAACCCAGTCAATCTTTAATCTTCTGTGACATCTCATAGAAGCATGTTCTAATGATTTAATAACTGACAAGTAAGAATCATGTAAATGGGTGTATTTACCAACCAAGGCAATAGTGACGGTTTCAAAAGATCTATCGTGGCTGGTAGTTAAATGTCTCCATTTAGTCAATAATTCTTCACCTCTGGTAATGGATGCTTTATCGATTTCACCAATAGCTAATCTCTTAGTTAAATATTTCATAACTTTTTGTTCTTTCAACAACAATGGAACGTGATAAGTGGAGTTAACATCATGAACAGCAATGACTTGTTCTGGACCAACATGACAGAACATACCAATCTTTTCAATGGTAGCAACCTCTAATTCTTCTTGACATCTACAAGCAATCATATCTGGAGTCAAACCCAAAGATCTTAAATCTTTAATAGCAGCTTGAGTTGGTTTGGTTTTTTGTTCACCGTGAATAACAGGAACCAAAGAAACATGAATCAATGCAAAGTTTTCACTTCCAACTCTAAATTGGAATTGTCTTAAAGCTTCAACGAATGGAGCACTTTCAATATCACCGACAGTACCACCCAATTCAATGATACAAACTTCTGGTTCCAAACCAGTATCATCAACTGGAATACGTGAAACTCTTTCAATCCATTCTTGGATAGCAGTGGTAATATGAGGAACAACTTGAACAGTTTTACCCAAATAATCACCATTTCTTTCCTTTTCAATAACATGAGAATAAATCTTACCAGTAGTAATGTTATGGTTTCTAGTCAAAGTAATATTTAAATAACGTTCATAATTACCTAAATCCAAATCAACTTCACCACCATCGTTTAAAACAAAACATTCACCATGTTCTAATGGAGACATGGTACCGGCATCGATGTTCATATATGGATCGATTTTAATTGAGGTAACTCTTAAACCTAAAGTTTTGAATAACAAACCAGTAGATGAGGCTAAAACACCTTTACCGATACCAGAAATAACACCACCAGAAACAACAACGTACTTCATGATTTTAAATAAATAATATTAGAGATTAAAAAGGGGAGGAGGCAAATGGGAAAGGGAATTTATGAAATAATTTTTCTGAAAAAAAAAAAAAAAACACGTCTATGTGAAAAAAATCAATAGGTAAAACACGTCAATAAATATGATTCAAATGAATGCTGGATAATAATGCAGTTGTTAATCTTCAAAATAATGAATCTTTTGCAACTTTGCCCTCTTAAATAATGGGATTTAAGCGGGAAGAAAGAAAAGAAAATCAAGAAGAAGAAAGGAAAAATACATCCAAGAGGAAGGAAAAAAAATTTCGATGGTGTCTGAGAATGAGATGATGAGGATGAGATTTCACGAAAAAAAAAAAAAAAAAAAAAGAAAGAGAAATTCAGAATCGTGGACTTCCTATTTGGGTAATATATGTTAATTACTTGCATGTTTGCTAGAATATACACCTAAAACTTTACTCTTGATGATAGATAAAATAAGATCAAATAAAAAGAAATAGGTACCTAGAACTAGCATATTATCATTAATATATGCCTCTTATAAGTCTTTCAACTCCCATGATTTAATCATGAATTGTAGAAAGCAACGGCAAATCTTGAACTACGATGTTGTTGTAAGTGCATAAATAAAATCTATATTTGATCATACAATTTTGACCCCACCAATTTCATTATTTTCATCAAGTAATAATTGCGCTTTACCTTGTTTAATTAAATAATCTTTAACAATTCTAATCAAAAATGCTTCGTCTAAATTAATTAATCCATCTGGTATAGATGTAACACCTTCATCATTCTTTGTTAATTCATAAATAGTCATTACTGTACCCTTTTGACCCAGCTCATCTATATAATTATATAATTCATTCCCCCATTCAACTAATGACTTCCATAAGATAAATATACCGAATTGAGGTTTTTTGGGATTGATAAAGATTGCTTTTTTTAAATGAATTAAATGATTGATTATTTTCTTTTGGAATTCAGGACTAACCAGTCGATTTATTGATTTATTATTAAATAGATTAGGAAGCTCAGAAATGGTAATTTGTTCATATTGTGAGTGCTTGGGTGTTAGATCTAAAGTTAAAGTGGTGATTTTATAATATTGACAAAATTGTAAGATTATAGAAGTCCATGAATCCAATTGTTGTGATTGAATTGTAGTATTTGGTTGTTCAGTATATAAAGGTGGGAAAGAATATATCTTTGGAAATTCAAATGGTGGTAGTGTTGCACTGTTATCTGTCATCTTGATTGTATTGAAATTGGTGATATAATGATCGAATATGGAGAGAACAAACTATTTTCTTTTTTTGATTATCGCCATTATAATTTTTCGTTTTCTGCCTGAACTCAACTGTCAAGACTTAAGCGACCGAAATTTCCAAATATGTAATTACAAGACACTCTTTACAATCTACAATCCACAATCAAAAACTAAAGATAAAAAAAAAACAAATTAGATATATCCTGTCATTAAAAAATATTGCTCTTATTTTTACTTATTATATATATATATTTATTCTCGTAAGAATTTCTTAAAAGAAACTAAAAATACAAAAACTTAAAACAAATTTAAGCTTCAGCCATATCTCTCAAACGACGAATAGTAGATCTAACAGTAGCAGCGGCAGCAGTAGAAACAGTGTAAGCACCACCAGCAACGGTTTTCTTACAAGATTTACAGCTCCAGATACCAGCAGCACCTCTCTTAACGGTTTTCTTACCACAGAAAGAACAATCGTATTTGGCGTGTTGTTGAACTTCTAATTTCTTGGTTTGTCTTCTCAATGAGGAACCATATCTGACACCATATTTACCAGTGATACCGACCTTCTTAGTTCTTTTAGTCCTATAGTAAAAAACAAATTGTTAGTATTACTTATTCATTGCATTTTCTGGTTATAGATGATTTATGAGAATAATCCTGCTATTCCAAATAATTCAATATCCTTGATTACCATACTACTTTTATTCAAATGAAACACATTCCCAACCTCTGTTTAGGCATTTCAATACTAATCTATCCTTATTTGGAAATTTTTCAATATTTTTCAAATCCATTTCTCAATTTATGACTTTATTTAAACACATCTTGTTAACCCATTAAATTGATAATCGTTTTTTTTTTTTCTAAATCCATTAACATATTCTCATTTAATAATATAATCATCATAATCATCTATTATCATCAATATTATCCACATACATTTTGCTATAGTTGTGATAGTATATTAACAAAAAAGAAAAAATCTATAAGGGAAAAATCTTTTTTCAGTAACTTTTGTTAATACTGCGCAAGTGCTGCCCACAACCCGCGAAATTTGGTTTACTATGGCAAGAATTTTTTCTTTCCCTTTCCCTTACACTATATTCTGAAAATGTCTATATGCAGGTTTTGAGACTACTCATAGAAAAACAAAAATATTTGTTCCCTTAACTATGGCTTCCATAGTACAACAATATTGAACTATTCGCACAAATTTCTGCTTGTAAAGAACTGGAAAAAAAGAAAACTAAATTTTATCATATCACGTGCAATTAATTGCTCATTAGGGTTATAGACCTCATGTACAAAAGTGTCGCAAATATTTACGAAACCTTAAACTTTACTTTTCTTTGTTTTGTTTTGTAGTAAAGCCAAAAGATAGATAATATTTATTGTATAGAAAATAATTATAAACTAGCTATAGATGTTGTATTTCCAAATCAATATTCATTTATACATAAACTCTTGAAAATTTTCTTCTTTTTTTAAAAAAAAAACACCATAACAGTGAAAACTCCCCCATTGAAATCATGTATTTCTAGGGAAAAGATCTGCTGCTTCCATTTCAATATCTTCATCTTCATTAAGCACTACGGGTAGATTATTGATGTTATTATTATTATTTGTATTATCATTTGGGAAAACAGCAGGTTGTTCAATTTGAGGAGCATTCTGTGGGTTTTGTTGTTGTTGTTGCTGTGGCTGTGGCTGTTGCTGTTGTGTTGTTGTTGGAAGAACAGCCATTCTCTGATTTAATCTGTTTTGGGATTCTAACAATCGTTGTTGATGATGGTTTCTAATTAATCTTTGGAAATGCTCTCTCATTTCCTCAGGACCCATATTTCCTTCGTTCAATTCTCTGAATATTTCTCGATTAATTTCTGCCATGTCAGGATGTGTTAAATCTGGTGTTATTACTGTGCCTGTCCCACCTGTTGCGCCTGTTGTTGTTGCTGCTGCTGCCCCAATACCTCTGATACCTGCAGCGGCTCCTGCTCCAGCTGCCGCAGCTCCTGGTGTAACCATTCGTCTTCTTTCCCAAATATTCAACTCTTCGTCATCCATATCAAAATCACCGTTTAAGAACCTTCTTCTACGTTCATTGAATATCGTGTGAATATCACCTTGGTATGTTCGTTCTTCGACAACTTGGTTCAAGTAATTACGTAACTGATTGACCCCGTGTCCACTGAAAACACAGAATAAAGATTTTTGATGTTCATTAAAATCTGGTGGTGGATCACGACAATATTGAGTAATCTCTCTTCTTAAAAAGGATGATATACCAGTTAATGATAAATGCGTTAATTTTGGACAATTTTTCAATAACAAATAAATTGGACCGATTGTCAAGTTGGTACAGTATGACAAATGAACTCTTTCAAGGCAGTCTTGTTCGCCTCGTCTTCTGACCAATTCTAATATTCCTGAATCTGTAATCATGGAGCATTTTACCAACCCTATTCTTCGTAATTTGGGTAAGTTGGCCAACTCAACGAGTGTCCAATCAGTCAATTGTGAACAACATGCTAAATCAATATATTGAATACGATGACAATATCTCACCAACGCCGCAACACCGTAATCTGTGATTAGTCCACAATGACCCAAGTGGATATAATGCAAACTTCTGCCCAATTGACTTAAAGCACGCAATGATGCATCGGTTATTTGCAAACATTTGGATAATACTACGTTTCTTAATCTTGGAGCACATGATACTAATTTTTCAACCAATTTATCGGATATTGCGTTACAACCAGTTATATCTATTATTCTCAACTTCTCCAATATATGTCCTTCTGGAATTAGTTCAAATAGTTTGTCAGTGATTCCTGGTGCATTACTAATTCTAAACTCCCTCAATTGTGCCAAATCCAAGAATATCTGTTTAAGGTATTTATCAGTGACATTTTCACAGCCATGCAAATCGATTTCAACCAAAGATTTACAATTTTCATACATAACCAATATACTTTCATCAGTAATATTAGTACTTGCATTAAACTTGACTCGCTTCAACATAGGACACGATTTTAGTAAATTTATTATGGCTGCTTCTGAGACGTTACCGCAACCGGGCGCGTATAATCCTTGTAAACGAGGGCAATTATCGGCCAATGCATTTATTATATCATCATGAATATCAGTGACACCAGTCAAATCAATAGACTGTAATCTTTCACATCCTTGTAAAACCTTTGTGATTGGACTTCTGGTTAGTTTGGCACAGTTCACCAATGTTAATCTTTCCAAACGAGGACATCCAATGAACAAATTCAATAAATCGTCGTCGACCAATTTGGTCATGAAAGATAAATTCAATCGTTTAATGAACTGGCGGTAATCCCAGTGGGTTTGGGATTTGGGGATTTCCATAACTTCTTTTATCTTTTTGAAAGCAGAATCGTTTTGCATATGAGGGCGAAACCATAACATCTCAATAATCAAGTCCGCAATCTCTGAACACGTAGATAACAAGGAATACCAATCTCTTCTTTCCAAATAATGAAATATTTGTAGTAAAATTTCCGTTGGTAGTCTTAAAATTGAACGCTTATCGATTTCTTCCTGAAATTCGACATCTTGGCGTCTGACACTTGATAATCTTCGTTTGTTCACTAATGCTTTTCGTAATTCTTCATAATCATTATATTCATTATCCATTACAAAATCACTGTCATAAAATCGTAACTGATGATTCAGTGGGTTGATGCTGATATTACTATTATTTGTATTCTTGCCTATTTCTCCGTGAACATTGGTGTTGCTATCTGGTGATTCCTGTTTTGATTCATGGGAGTTTGAATCGGGAATAATGGCCATATCCTCTAGACTGGTCGGAGAACTCATTCTTTATTTATCGATATAATTGAATGAACAAGAAATCAAGCTATTGGCAAATGATCAAGATGTACCAAGTCAACTAATAATTTTTTTTTTTTTGTATTTTAATTTGTGTTGTTGGGAAGGTGTTTGAGAAATAGGGAGAGGAATTTTTAATCTTTTTCTCCTACTCGATTACTTTTTAGGTAAACAATTTTCTCTCTTGTTTGTGTGTGTGTACTATTTTTTTTTCTCAGTATTGCTGTTGGCTAAAGAAAAAAAATCACTATGCTCCAAAAGGTTACAATTTGATAACAAACCCTGATTGATATTAAAATGGGTATATTCTTCCTTTAATTGAAAAATGACAACAATGTAGAAAGATCTAGTTTGGTTTAAATGGTGATAGCGTATAATGGGGAACTACCTTGATTTAATGTAATGAGTGATAGTTTGCAGTTTCTAATCAGTAATCAGCTCGTTGCAAGGAAAAAAATAAAAAGAAATCGTAATCTCTTCCGAATTTGAATCAGACAAAAACAAACAGGACAACGAAAACAAAAAATGATGGATGAATGGATGGATGGGTGAATCAATGATTTGATTCTTTCCAAGATTAGGTATAAAGAAAAGTAGTTGGATAAACTGTTGGTCAAGAGATAAATTCTACTGTGAAAATGAATGAATAAATTAAATTCCTGTGTTAACCATACAATTTTGATTTGAAATTCTTTTTTTTTTTTCTTTCTTTTTTTTTTAGTTGTCTCCCTCGCCACTTGCTTGATTTGTTATTTTTGGAATTTCAACCTACGTCACCAAGTTGATCCTCGAATCCGCTATACACACATTACCCTGATACAAAATTTACTGTTTGTAGTACATTTCGATGATCTCCTTGGTTGCTATTCTGTTGCCATGAGAAAGTTAATGGAGAACATGCAGAACTATTCTCTGTTTTGGATGTTCAACTGTAGACTCTTCCGACGTCAAAACTTTAAATACAGTGCGTACAGAAATGTTGCCAGCATTTTATCATGGGATGGACAATACATTCCACCGGTGATCCTTTTTTTTTATTTATTTACTTCCTTTATTAATCAATTAGATTAGTATTATTTAAAAATATACATTAATGGGATTGACTTGACCTATTAGTACAGTAGTTTAGGTATTTTCATAAACGACGTTATTAAGAACTAGACAACATTATTAGTTTTTTTTTTTTTTAATTTTTGTTTGAAATTTGCAAAAGTTTTACTGCAAAATTTTTACTCAAGGATATCTATTTCAATATCAAGTAATTGATGCAACCATAATACATTTAAAAAAAAAGACGCTACAATATGACTCTATTTCAATTTTAACAACAACACTCTGGACCAGCTATACTTACACACATTTATGTTCAAACTCCTGTACCCCTCTCTCGCCGTGTGATCAATTCATTTCAGTATCAGCACAATCGCACCTTGTCCATTATGGAGTCACGTGATCTGATTTCTTGTTTATAATCAAGAGTTATACCATTGAATTCCTTGTAGTTCTTTGAGAAGGAATATCAATTGTTGATTTGCATGGCCATGGCAACTGGTATCCATAATCAAACTAATATTGGAAAGATATAGGGCTAGTGTTTTTTTGCTTGCACGACCAATATGTGGTTTTACAACACCGTAGATATTTTTTTTTTTCTCTTTCTTTCTTTCTCTCCATCAAATGTAGTGAAAACTTGGAATATTAATCCATCAAGAAGAGAACATCGAAGCATACATCTTGGATAACACTTCTTTAAATGCAACAAAATATGAGTGAATTAATTGATTATATTGCACTTTTTGCCAATGCATTAGAAAAACAAAATCCTGTTGAATTCCAAAAATGTATTACCATCAATCCTCCATTATCAGTTGCCAACATTAGAAAAGAATTTCCTGAACCAACAGAAATTGATTTATATCATATACCTGAAAAATTCAGGCCTGTTTTGATATGCCATTTAAAGCTTATAAAGGCTGTTTATACCGAGAAATCCCTTGATTCTGCATTTGATGCATTAGAAGAAATGATTAAAAATTTGATTAGGGCTAGTTCAACACAACCAAACTGGATCAATGGACCATTAATTCAATGTTATAAAGATTTGATTGCTGTTTATAATACAAAAGAAGCAAAAAATCCTGAAAATCTTGAAGATTTTATTCAAGATGAAAGTGGATTACCTTGGGGACAAGCACCTAGAAAGAGCCATTTACATAGATTGGTGGATATTTGTAAAGATGGATTTTCATTATCATTTGGGGATAAAAATGAGAATGCTGAGTTGAGTAAAAAGAAGGATATTTATTTCTTTTTATCCAATTTGATTAAATTTTCTATTAAGCTTGGAAATTTCAATTTTGCTGAATCATGTTTGACAGCCGTTAAACAACAAGCAAACACCTTACCCAAACTAGATGCATCGATTAGTAACAAGAAGTATGGGGTTGCATATTTGTATTACCAAGGATTGATGGCATTGGATAATGGGAAGTTTTCCGAAAGTGAAAAATACCTTGATGAAGCAATTGAGTTGATGGCAGATTATCAAGATACAAAAAGTAAACAACTTGAACAAATTTTGTTGATTTTAATTCCATTGAAATTACATAACAAAGGACAGATGCCACTGAAGAAAGTCTGGCTTAAATATCCTTCATTAAGAGTGCTATATCGTGATAATTTTTTAAAAGCCATTAGACAAGGTGATATTGCCAAGTTTGATGAATCAATGGAAAAGTTTAGGGTTGTTTTGTTGAAAAGACACTTGTATATGTTGGTCGAGTTATTAAGAGAAATTGTCTACGTACAATTATTCCGTACTACATTCAAGATCTGTTCTAGTCTTAATCAAGGGGATAAGGCACATATTGTTGCTCTTAATGCATTCCAATTGGCACTTGAATATTCTACCTTTCACAATAGTCAAAAAGGAGATTTCAATTTCTCCACAGATCATCTTTATCAAGTGACATTAAGTGATGTAGAATATATCTTTGGTAATTTAGTGATGAAAGGTAAAGTTAAAGGATATATTCATCATCAACTGAAACGTATTGTGTTTGCCAAAGGAGACCCATTTGTAACAACAAAGAAGGGACCACCATCCCAGCAACAAGCTCGAACTAATTCACCAACTCCAGTGTCATCTACAGCACAAGCCAAAGCCTGGGGTTAGTTTATAAATAGAAGTAGTGAATTTTTTATTGTAAAATGAATACATCTAATAGAAATGTGTACATATTCTAATGAGTACAATGTCGGTGTACAGTAGAATGGACAAATCAAATGAGTCTAGAACTTTTTCTTTTCTTTTCTTTTGACCAAGCCTGACAGGCCGACCGACTAACCAATGGACCGACAGGGGGGCGAAGAGGACAAAGACGACGAACGACGAACAAGTAACAGATAAAAAGAAAGAAAGTGATGTCGCACCAGAGTAAGATTGATTTTGTGCCTTCAACGGGATTACAGGAATTCGGTAATGTTGGCTGAATTTCATTCCATTTTACCCAAATGCATAAATGGACTACAATCGACCAGAACTGTACAGTTGGGTGTATCGAACTTAAACCTAAATTATTAACCCAACATTGGACGCGTTATTATTCACAATGTAATTATAGTACAAAAAAGAGAAAAAGAAAAATCATTAACCTTTTGATTTGACTAACTGGGAAGATATCGTTGTGAGTTATTATATTCACATGAGTCAGTCCAATTAGTTGACAATTACGTCGTAGTGATAAGCTCAATAACTTTATAGTTTCTTAGTTTCTTGGTTCATCATAACGGTATTTTCTTGGAAGTAATTATAGATTATGAAAAAGAGCCCTTAAATATTATGTGGAGATGTAGGAATACCAGAATTTAATCTGTTAAGTATACTGTTAAACAAATATTCCTGTATTTTGACAGTTGTCAGGGGTTAATCTCGCTCCTTTTTTTGGTTCTAATTGTCGGTTAAGACAGTTAACGGACATTAATTGCAAGACAATAGCACCATAGTGCAACTGATTATATAATAAGTGAATGCTTTTTTGCTGTTCTTTCATATTTATTTTGTATAAAATTGCTACATTGTAAGTTTTAACAATAAAGGACTGCTGCCCCTATTTTTTTTTTTTTTTGCATTCCATTTCTTTCTTTCTCAGTGCACGACTTTTCTGACGTAATATACGAGACGACATTTATCTTGGTGGTAAAGGTGAAAAATTAAGTGTGCACATCGTACATAAAAATTAAAATTGATCATTTACACGAACGCGACATTTGAGGTTTTTTTTTTTTTTCCAACGTAAACAACAACAACACCACTAACACTAATTAACACACACACAAAATAACCGTGACAGTGAGACTGGGAGAGAGAGAAAAATATTCACTTCATACATTTTTCTTTCCATTCAGTGTTTCCCCCTATTTTTACTTCTTTTATTTTTCATTTCAATTTAAATTTCTATTTATTCTTGTTTATTTATTATCAAGCGATTTAATAACTACTACTACTCCATTCCATTTCATTCCATCCTTCTGTTGTTTCTTGTCTTTGTCAGATATTCAACGTCACTCCTACCTATAGACTGTCAAACAACTTGCTCCACTTCCGTTCGTCATGAATACTGGTAGTACTCCCAACAGTATAAATGACATCACAATTGGACATTTAACAACACCTCAGACTAGAGTCAGGTCAGGGTCATTGTTTTCCAATAATTCGATTTGGAATGATGATGTCAACAGCACCCATAGTGCCAACAGTAACAGCAATTCAAATAGTAACAAGAGTAATGGGAGTCCAATTCAACAAGATTTTTATTCATCTTCTGCCATGAGAAGTAGATCCTATACGACCACAGCAGCAATTCCAAGTATAACTGATTTTTTACAACCAGCTCAATCTAATAATACTAATACCACCAACAATCTTTCAACTTCTCCTTTACAAATTACATTGGATCCACCCCCTCAACCTCAACCAAGATTGAGATCACAAACTATTTCGACCCCAGTTACTATGGAACAGCAACAACAACACAATTTTTCTCAACCACAATTTACTAGTAATAACAACAATAGCAATAATAATACCCAATTTCATTATAATATCCACCTTCAACAACAGCAACTTCAGAATTTGAATCTTCATCACCAACAACAACCTGCTTTGTATGATAATAGTGATTTTAGAACATTAAATCTCACAACCACGTTCCAAAATCCAAATTTGGGTCCAACCAAATTTTTATTATTTGACAATTTACCATTCTATATTGATGCACAGAAATTGCATTCCATTGTTTCAAATTCCATGAATCAAAGATCTGTTGGTAGTATCACTTGTATTAAAATCACCACTACCACAACTTCGAAGCTTGCATTGATTGAATGTTCCAATATTGAGACAGCAATGACTTTAAAGGCAAATTTCAACCATTTAGAACTTGCTCCAGGTAGTACATTGTATGTTGCATTTGCCAAAATCGAGGACTCACCACAACAACAGCCACGTAGCCGTCACTCGCCACTTCAATTGCCAGCACAACAAGTCCAACCTGTTCCACAAATTCAAACGACTCAACAGTCTCAATCACAATCACAAAACAAACTGCAACAATTCATACAACGTAGTTTATCTGATAAATCTGACAAACCAACACCAACGGATATTTTGACCATTCAGAAAAATCTCATAGAAATCATTAGCAAGTTGTCAACTACCGTTGATATTAACAAGATCCAATCAATCATTGACAAATCTGTCTCATACCCAAAGAAACAATACCAAACAGATTTTGGACCATTACCTGACCCAATTCCATTGAGACAATTTGATTCGCCAACTTTGCGTGAATTGAGAAAAACTTTAGAGAATAATGAAGCGCAATTAATTGGTCAAAAAGTATCCGAAGGGGGTGAAACTATGACTGAGTTTGAATTGGAAGAATTATGTTTAGCCATGTTGGATGAATTACCAGAATTATGTTATGATTATTTGGGAAATACCATTGTACAAAAATTATTCACTTTGGTTGATTCTCCGTTGATTAAATTGATGATGGTTAAAGAAATTGCTCCATTTTTAACTCAATTGGGTATCCATAAAAATGGTACCTGGGCTATCCAGAAGATCATCAACTTGTGTCATTCAGATTACCAACAAATGTATTTAATTGGGGCTAGTCTTAAACCTTATGCTGTTAAGTTGTTTAATGATCAATTCGGTAACTATGTCATCCAGGGATGTATCAAATTTGGATCTCCATTCAATGACTTTGTCTTTGAAGCAATGTTGGATAATTTCTTGGAAATTAGTATTGGCAGATTTGGTGCACGTTGTATTAGAACGATATTAGAAAGTTGCCATGATTCTTCAGCATCATCTCCAGTTACCAATGAACAAGTTTTATTAGTCGCTGGTTTAATTGTTGAATATGCTAACGAGTTGGTTGTCAATTCAAATGGTTCATTGTTGATCACTTGGTATTTGGATACATTTAATGATTCTGATTCCAAGATTGAATTATTAATGTCCAAGTTTTTGCCAAATTTGAAGTCACTTTGTGTCCATAAATTGGCTAATTTGACAATCTTGAAGATTTTAAATAATAGAGTTGATCAAAAGTCAAGAAACATCACCATGGAAGCAATATTTAACAACCAAGATGCATTAGAATATATTTTACAAGAGAGTGATAATAGCACTACTGCTGCTGGTCCATTGTTTATTTACAAGATTTTAAGCAACCCAATTTTGGCTGATTTGGCCAGTCAACATATCCCAACTATTCGTAAGATTTTAATGGAATTGAATATTGTTAATTTCCAAAATTACAAGAAATTAATGGATGAAGTTGGCATTTCAAGTACTAGAATTGGTAGAAACGGTAGTTCCAAGAGAAATGGCAATGCTTCTTCTCATGGTAACAATAACAACAATAGAAGAGGTCATAATGGTAGTATCAGAGGAGGTAATAAACATGATGGATATAATTCTCTCCATCAAAACGCATACTATCAATCCAACATGGGCCCATCATTGTCACCACAGCATACTTCAGTTCCTTTAGTTCAACAACTGCAAACATCTTATGGAAATCAATTTATTTCTATGAAGCCACCAATTTCACAACAATTTCCAGTGTTGACTCCACAAATGTACATGAAACAAATGTATAGTCAACAACAACAGCAACAACCATATTTCAATCAATCACAACCATTTCAGTTACAACAGCCTCAACCACAACAACAATATCTGCCACAAGATTTGGCAGTAATGCAACAATTAGAGCAATTATCCTTAAGTTCTGCTGCATTGGGTTATAATTCAAATCCAGGTACACCAACTTTACAAAGAAATCTGTTCACTTAAGGAATTAATGATTTTACAATTCAGTTTCACGATCAACAAAAGTACATTTGTTTAAAATTTTTTTTTTATTTTATATTATATTTAACCATTCATGATGTTTCTTTTTATTATTCTTATTAATAGTATGGTTTCCGTCATAAGTTGAAAGAGAGCAAAAAGATAGAGATTAGTATTTTTTTTTGATAAGTTTAGTTTTATTTTTTATATAATTATTATTGGTTTATTTCAGTTTTTTCTTTTTTATTATTGTGGTTATTAGTTTTTTTTTGAAATGATAAAAATTTCTACAAGTTTATACATATTTAGTTTCCTTTTTTTTTCATATAATGTTTAATAAATAATCAATTACTTTTATCTTATTTCATGATGTGTATGTTAGTCAATTTTGTATATGACATGTCTCTATTTGATACACTTATTCCAAATATTATTTCATACAGATTCTTAGATGAAAAATTTCCCTTGTTATAGCATATTCAATCCAATCGTCTCATTTTCCTTTGTCTGGAATCAGCTTCTTTTAATAATGGTGGGATTAATTCTTCCTCAACATCTAATCTTTCGAATTTATCCTTTTTTGATATTTCAGTAAATAACCCAATAATATCATGTCTAGTTAAACGGTTACATATAACATCAATGGTTCGGATATTTTCCCCAAAAACATCTTCTTTATTCTCTCTCTTGTTTGAAAAATATCCTTGTAGTTTATTAAGCAGCAAGTTTATCGAATTTAGATTCTTCAATTTTTGAAACAGATTGGTCAAAGAAGCAATCCGATTTTTTGATAAATTCAATTCCACTAAACTATCTGATAAACAGCTAGGATCAAATACAGTTAATTTGTTTCTTGCTAGAAATAGATTTTTCAATCCAGTTAGTTCTATCAAGTTAATTGTGGAAATCCAGTTATCATCAATTTTGTTAGCACTAAAATCAAGTCGTGTTAAACTATCTGGGAGGTTTGATTTTGTTAACACACTTCCTAATTCATTATCACGACATTCTAATGTTTTCAAATGCATAGGTACTTGTTTGATGAATTTGATTTTATTTTTGTTTAATTTCAAAACACTCAATTTAGGTGGAAGATTCATCGCAACTCCATCAATTTTATTATTGGATAAATCTAACTCTTTTAATCCTTGAGGGATGATTAATGTTTCATCGTTCAAGGTTCTAAAATCATTCCTCTCCAAATTCAAATATTCAAGTCCACTTGCACCTATGTTTGCCTTTTCAATACCACTAGTAGTTAATATCAACCTTTTTAAAGAATCGGGAAAAGACATTGAAAATGCTTTACCGATCATGAGATCTGATAACGATAGTTGAACTAAATTTATTGCAAATGAAAATGGTAATAATTCATTTATGCCAACTGACTCTAACTTTGCCCTTACCACAGAGCTTGGTATAGTTCCCAAGTAGTTCAAATCGTGTACACCCAAAAGTTGTATTTCCTTGAGCCTTTTTAATCTGTTAGACTCGAAATCTAGAAACGCATGCATCGATGGACTTTTGTATCCAGGGTATAAAATCAATGTTTCCAATGATGATGGTAAAGAAAACAAATTCCTATTTGGGTGCAGACTTTGAAATCGTTTTATAAGCTTTGAACGCTTGCCATAATCAGATATTAAGCTAGTAGGCATTTCCAAATGTATCAACCTTTGAGTATTAATTATATCAAATACCTCTTTCTTCAGTACTTGACTAAACAGTAAGTTGTCCCAATCACGTCCAACTGATCTAATGTAAAATTTAACCAAATTTGGACAAATTTCGTTCCACGACTTCCTCAAGCTTTGAAGGGGATTTATATGTAAGAATTTAAGGCTGGCAGGAAGAACCCAAGTTGGAAGATTCGTCTCGCAATCTTTTTCGATCGATTGGTAAAGTTCTAAAGTATGGAGCTTACTAAGCAGTGAAATGTCAATTTTTGGAAAACAATTCACTACAAGCAGAATTCTATAAGTGAAAAACAAACTTTCTAGATTCAAAAGATTATCAAATTTGGGCAACTGTTCATTACTACCTTCACAAAAGCACGTCAACTTTTTTAATTGCCTTGGAAAAAGTCTCACATTCTCTGTTTTCATGGTACAATAAATGCTAAGAGACGTTAATGACTTTATATTGTTAAAGACTTCATAACACTTATCTGTGTCAATGAAGGATGTCACGTTTTTTATTAGTTCCCATAATACAGGATTATCATAATCGAGTTCCCCAAAGTTCCCGGGAGCATTGGAAATTGTGTCAACGATAAACGGATTCAACTTGAACTCTTCAATAAATCTTTCAAGTTTCTTTTCTTGGTCAAAACCCCAAATTTGGAGATGAATTTTGGCACTCTTTAAATACTGAGGGCATTGGTTAGCTAAAGTCAACGCGTCATACGGTTCTTCAAATTTGATTTTTTTGGGAAAGAAACCGTAACTTTTAGCAATGGCCACTAATTCCTTAGGGGAAATAATCACCGGGATATAATCATCAACAAACACCTCTGTTGGTCTAGTATATTTGACATCAGGATCAATTACAACTGATGAAAATATAGACCTATTAGCATAATTTGCAAGGAATGGAACAGTAGTAAGAAATTTTAAAGCTTCACGTGGAATGAAACTAAATATCATTTCCACCAACTCATTTGGTAACTCTAGAAGCTTCTCCATGATATAAGACTCGTTCTTGATTAATAATAGCAATTTGGTGTAATTCAAAAATAATGAAAAAGTGTAACTTTTAAATATCAATTAAAATTTATGCACTTTCCTTTTTATATTCGACTTGTTTCAACTGTCCACACCAATTAGATTTACAATACAAAGCTTAAATGACTTGTTGAAAAAAATATTCATTACCAAATTTAGTAAAGATTTGACCAACCGCAAATCTGAAATATATAAACTGAATATCCAAGATTCAGCTCAAGTTGTCTTTATATTACACAGATCATAAAATGCACAATTAAGCAAAAGGAAAAAGAGGGTCTTCTCCATATAGCCACAAAAAAAGAAATGCATCATGGAATACGTGCGAGAACCAATTGCATTACACGTGCACGGATGTATTTGTCCTTGCAAGAGAAAAATCTCGCCCTCAATGATGCGACAGAAACCAAAAAGCCAAATCCAAACCAAAAAAAAAAAAAAATTTTTCGTTCTGAGATTGAAAAATTGTAATATCAAGTTATATCAAGAAGTTTTTTTTTATTTATATACTATCGATTAACCAATCATCTTAACTTCCAATCATGTCATTTATAAATATTTGCCGTGATAACACGGATCCTTTCTACCGTTATAAAATGCCTCCTATCCAGTCCAAGACTGAAGGTAGAGGTAACGGTATCAAAACTGCCATTGTTAACTTGGCTGAAGTTGCCAGAGCTTTGAATCGTCCACCAGCTTATTTGATCAAATTTTTTGGTTATGAATTAGGTGCTCAAACTCAAATTCAAAATGATAGATATTTAGTTAGTGGTGCTCATGATTCCAATGAATTACAAGATTCATTAGATGGATTTATTAATAAATTTGTCCTTTGTGGAAGTTGTAAGAATCCAGAAACTGAAATCTTATTGAAAGGTAAAGATTCTTTAGAAAGAGATTGTAAAGCTTGTGGTAAGATTACTATGATTGATCCAAAACATAAATTATACAGTTTTATTGTTAAGAACCCACCAGATACCAAGAAAAGTAAGAAATCTGCTACTGCTACTGCTAATGTTGTTGGTGGTGGTAAATCTATTTCTGATATTGCTGCCGGTCATGCTAATGCTGATGATTCATCTGCTGCTATTGATGGCCAAGATGGTGAATTTGATGAAGATGATGATTTGTTAGCTAAGAAGATTAACGCTGAAGTTGCTCAATTAAAAGAAGTTGAAGCCAAAGATGATGATTGGGCTGTTGATATGTCTCAAGAAGCTATTGCTGCAAGAGCTAGAGAATTGGAAGGTTTGACTTTACAAAACAATCAATTTGATGAATTTGGTGAATGGTTATTAAAAGAATCTAAAGATTCTAAAGATGATTTACCAAGTGATGTTGAAATCTATAAAAGAATTGTTGAATTGGATATTGCTGATCGTCCAGAAACTTTACAAGTTTTGGGTCAAGTTTTATTCGATGAAGATATAATAAATCAAATTGAACCTCATGTTGGTTTATTAGCTAAATTGATTAATAATGATGAAGAATTTGAAAAGAGTTTGTTGGGTGGTTTAGAAAGATTCTTTGGTTTGGAAAAACCAAAATTGATCCCACAAGTTCCAAAAATTTTACATGCTTTCTATGATAAAGATTTATTAAGTGAAGAAGTTTTGATTCACTGGGGTACTAAAGTTTCAAAGAAATACGTTCCAAAAGATGTTTCCAAGAAAGTTAGAAAAGCTGCTAAACCATTCGTTAAATGGTTACAAGAAGCTGAAGAAGAAAGTGACGACGAAGAATAAATTCCCATCTAAGTTCATGTTTTATATTTTCTAATGTATAGTAAAGTTAAATAATAATACAAACTATAAAAAATCGAATAAAAAAAAGAGCATTATTAAAATTACATATATAACCATATACCTATTTGTTCTACACTAGCTATGTAAACCTCATTTTTGACTAGGATTTGGTGGCATGTTATAAGGTTGTGGGAATTGACCATTAAATCCTGGTGGAGGCATTGGCATACCCATTGGAGGCATAGGCATATTTGCCATAAATCCAGGAGGTGGCATTGGCATATTAGCCATAAATCCAGGTGGAGGAGGAGGCATAGTATTATTATTTGAAGATTGTTTTCCATCATTATTTTCTCCAGTACCTTTCATTATATTTTCCATAACTTTTGAAGGATTAAATTCTCCACGTAATTTATCTTGTTTATGACAATAATAAATCCATGTAAATTCATCAAATCCAAAATTAAAATAATCTGAAACATCAACCCCTGGAGCTCTCCAAGGTTTTAATTTTAATAATTCAATATCAAGTTGTGTTAATGGTTTATCTTGATATTCTGGAATTTTATCAACATCAATATTTGATGATGTTACTGTTGTACGTTGTTGGGATGGTTTTTTATCATTTGTACCTTCTGTATCATTAAGCTCTGATAATGTATCACTTGGAATTGTTGTCGTCGATGTTGATGTTGTAGATTTTGAAGTTGGTTGACTATCTCCTATTATAATATCAATATCATCATCTGAATCAGATTCTTCTTCTTCATCATCATCATCATCCTCTTCTTCATCTTCATCGTCTTCTTCTATATCATCATCTTGTTTTGTACTTTCTGGTGACAGTTGTTTTTCACTGACTTGTACTTCATCAGCAAATTTCACTTTTTTTGTTACTGGTTGTTGTACTTTTTCATCTTCTTCTTCATTATCTGATCCATAAAGGAAAGCATCTTCATCATCTGAATTGGCCATTGTGTATATGTATTAGCGTTATTTAGGTTCTATTAGTAATTGATAATATACTTGACCTCTCTTATGCCAGTTGATGGGTTTTTTTTTCTCTCTCTCTCTCTCTTTTGCTTTTGCTTTTGTCTTTTCTGCAAAGTGGATATTTTTGTGTTTCGCACTACCAACTGAACCCAATTATTAATTCAAATATTATACTATTATTACTGTTATTATTATATTACAATTACTTTTTTTTAAATATCCTATATAATTGATATTACACGTGATTTGAATTTTCTTGAATCATTAATTTAACCCAAGGTTGACGTCTGAATCTGTTTCTGTAAACAATCAGTTCTAAGATGTCGATCCATTGTTTCATTTCTTTTTTATTTGGAGCACAGAAATCAATTAATTCACCATTAGCAAATTTAATTTTAAATGAATGTTCAACTAATAAAACATCACTGAAATTTCTATACTTTGAACGATTGATATTTTCTTTATCAACATAGATTATATCAACAACTTTGCTTAAATTAATCTTAGCTCTTGTCTTGTGTGACATTTCACTATGAGCTAATAATGAAGTGCCTTGTAATTTAAAGAATCTTCTCTTGAAAATTGGACAATCTCCACCTTCTTGATGTAAATAACCTTCATGAGTAGTATTAAATTCTTGATTTAATTCATCAATACTTTCATAAGCTGTTCTTATACTTGTAGGTAAAACTTCTTTTGGATCGGATCTTGGTACAAACAACATTTTAACTTCCAATTGTCCAATAGTGTATGGTTTAAGACGATTAATTCCATGATCATTTGGATTAGAAACCCTGGTCTCCCACTCATTAAAACAATTCAAATCAAATTGTAATGCTTTACCGGTAATTTTGTCTTCAAATTGTTGTAAATCAATATAACATCTAGCAAAAGAACCATCTTGTGCAAATTTGTTAGCCCATGTATCTTTAACTTCAGTTGGAACAAATTTAGTAGTGGTGATTATATCTTTAGATCCAAATAATCTACTCAATCTATGTTTAGATTTAACAACTTTTCTTTCAGTAACTTCAACTAATTTACCCTTTGGTTTTTCATAACTCATCTTCATGGTTAAAATGAATTCCAAAGTATCAGTAACTGTCAATTCAAATTCTTTACCAATTGGAACTTTGTGACCATCCAAATTATAAGATGGAGTAGTAACACTATGAACACCATTATCTAAAGTCAATGAGAATTTACCATTATGGATTCCAATATCTGGCAAGTTGATATTCTTGAAACCCAAGACACGGAAGAACAATTTACCACGTTCTTCAAAACCAATATCAGGTGATTCATCATCAACAACAGGAAGTTCTGAGCCAACTTGATTCTTGTGATGATGATCGTGGTGGTGATGGTGATGGTGATAAGAATGGTGATTCTTTTTTGGTTCTTCAGATTTGACATCTTGTAAATCTTCAGGATTAGAAACAGCATCGGTGTACTCAGATGGTACTGTAACAGTACTTGGAATATGTTGATCATTTTCCTTTTCAAATAATGGTGATGTTGGACCATCTCTTAATTTGTTGTTCATGATTTCATTACCTTCAAATGATTTAGTAGCTCTATGAGTTTTAAGAATTGGTTCCATACCAGTAATAGATCCATTCTTCTTGACCAATTTCATTGGAGATCCAATCTTAATTGGTGATTTTCTTGGAGATTTAGGAGAGAGGACACTTTTTTGTGGTGACATCTCTTGGATTGGAGTAGCTGGTTCTTCAATTGGTGGATCATTAGTTGAAACTTCATCTTTGATATCATTTTTAATAGTTGAAGGTGATAAATCATCTAATGTTGGTAGATGTTGTTCTGACCCTTTTTCTGAAAGATTGAGACCATCATGGGTAGTATCAGAACCAAGTCTTAGAGGGCTGGTTTGAAGAGTCTCTGGCAGAGTGGATTTTGAAGTGCATTTCTCTGGAGAATTAATTAATTCGAAATCTGGTTCAGGAAGAACAGAAGAATTAGCAGATGGACGGAACAAAACAGAACTAGTTCTTGATGGGTATGCATCATGTTCATTAAAGATTTGATTAGCAGATAACAAAGCCATTGGAGATTTCTTTAATTCATCAGTAAGGTATGGCAAAATCTCATTATCATTAGTACCCACATTATTGGAAATTTGTCTTGACGGACTTGATTCAAAAGTAGCATTATGGATTGATGCAGTTTGTTGTAAATCATCATATCTTGTGTCAGAATTGGTAACAACTGATTTTCTTGGTTGTTCCTGATCAATTAATTTAGCATTGATATATTCCTCTTGAGTGATTCCCTTCTTAGCACTCAAAATTCTCTTGACATCATCCTTATCCATACTTGGCAATGTCCTCATTCCATCTGCTTTGATAGTTGGTGGACCCTTCATTGCGGCAGTGGACCTACCAAAATCATCAAATATATCATTGTACATGTCTCTTGGAGACAAAGCAGAGCTAGTTCTCTTGATTTCAAATGTTGGAACTCTAAATCTAGAAGTTCTCTTGGTTGAATAATCAGAAGCTGGAGCATATTGTTGTGGATGGTGAGGTTCGTTGTGGACGTAACTATGTTGATTTTCAGCCAATTGATTTGAGGAGAGCCTTCTGGCACGTTTAATTTCAGAATATGATTTTGGTTCAGGTGGTTCAATGACATTAGGATCATTATCAATGTTAGACAACACATTCTTGGTACTTAAAGGAGTGAAACTTCTTCTTCTGCTACTGGTATAATTGGCAAAATTCAAATTATTGAAACCAGAATCTTCAGATAATTCAGGCAAGAATTCAGAAACTTGTAAATCATACATATCTGGACTAACAACTCTTCTAGACATAACATTAACTTCTTTGAATTTTCTTGTTTGTAAATTACTTGGAATTCTAACATGATCAGTAGACATTCTACGTTCATCTTCCTTTTGTTTGAGTTCTTGACAATCAGCAATAATTTGTTGTGTAGGAATTTTGTGCATTTGTGACTTCTTTTGTTTTTCTTGTTTGTGCCAGATGGATATGAAACTAACTGGTTTGGTATCAACATCATTTTCTGCAGATAATGATTCTTCAAATGATGAATAGGTATTCATATTCTTTGTAATTTCATTAAATGAAGAATAGTCATTTTGTTCAACCAATGGCAAGGTGATTTCTTCAGGTGGTGCAATATTGGAAGAATTTGCAATAATTTGACTGTTATCTTCTTCTGCTTGTTCTGTAGCGTCGACCTGTTGTTGTGGTGTTGGTTTGACTGTTTCTTCACTTGTGTCACGTCTTGGTGTTGGAGTACCTGGAATACTTCCTCTTGTAGGTGTTCTTGGAGGTGCCAAAGTCTTTTGCAAAATCAATTCACTTGATGCATCTCTGTAATCAGCTGTATCAGTTGAAGAATTTGATACATCACCCAAGACTTGAGAATTTTCCATACGACTCATTTCATCGTTATCTTCTCTATCTCCATCATTACTATCCTCTAATCTCCACTCATTCTCAACGTTGAATTGTATAGACATTCTGCTTGCAGAGCTTTCTGATACCATTGATTCATCAGCTTCTTTAGATATTGGTATATTGTGTTCAGATTTATATTGGTTGATTTCTTCTTGAGGCGTGAGTCCAGTGATTTCTGAAACATGAGGTGGGATTTCACGTTTAAGCAAGCATGGTGTAGAATATTCCTGTTTAATATTTGGATCAGATACTCGTTGTTGTTCACGTTCTTCTTCTGCTTCGTATGTGCCAGGTTCTTTTTTCAACCTTACAGGTTCAGTAACTTCATTAGAAACAAGTCTCTTTGTTTTAAGTTCAAGACCTGGTTCAAGTTTAAGTTTAACTGGTTCTTCTTGTTGTTGTGGTGGTGGTGGTGGCACATCTGCATCTTCCATCTGGTTGATTCCCCCTTGTGGTTCGTCTTCTCTTTCCTGTTCTTCTTCTGATGGTAATTGCTTTTCTTGTAATTCATCGTTACCTGCTTCAAGTTTATTCAAGGAAAGTTGGGAATGGGAACCACTATTCAAAAGGTTTAGGATAGATTCTTCAGTCTTATTATAAGATCTATCAAAGGAATCTAATTGATCGTCTGAAGATAAAGTACGTCTGTGTACAGAAATTGTTCTCATATTCAACATTTCTTCAGATTCGTCACGAGGAAGTAAAGATTCAACAACGTCATCAGATAATCCTTTTATACCATCATTTAATGACAACCCACGATTTGACTTTGTTGGAGATCCAGGGACTGATTCCAATGTTCTATTGTTGTCCCTCAAAGATTGTAATGAGGATTGGGATGATCCAGAAGATCTTAATTGTACATCTGGGCTGGCTAATGAATTCAATGGATTTTCAATTTCAGTTTTAGGAGTTTGTAAAGAAAAGGATAATTGATGAATACTTTCTTGAGTTTTATTCTTTGAAGCTTCTTGTAATTCTTGTAAATGAGTATCCAAATCAGATACATTCTTGTGGTTATTATTACTATCGTTATCAAGATATAAATTGACTTTTTCATCAAGAGACAAATTACTATAATTGTCTTGTTCCAAATTTAAATGAGTCAAAGTTGGTTCATCACTTGAAGCTGTTGATTCTTGAGTTGAGTTTCTATTCAATAATTCGGCAAATGTTGGTTTGCTTGTATGTGGAGGTGGAGTTGGAGGTACGGATCCATTGGTATCATCGTCGGAATAATTAAACTCTGGAGCTTTCCACAGATGTTGAATAGTTGGAAGTAAAATTGGGACTGGTTGCTCATCGGATTCGAGTCTGTTATCAGGATAATGATGAACTTCTGGAATAGTTGAAGTGAAGGCGACCTTTTTGGGTGAAGCTGTCGGTGTTTTCTTCATGATAGATTTACTTGGTGAAGTGTTTATATAAGTTGGTCTTTGGTTGTCATTGGTATTCTCATCGTTATTAAGTAAGTCTACTGTAGATGTCATTGGTGTTTGGAATGAAAATTCATCAATTATGTTGCCAAAAGTTGTAGTGCTTTCTGTCGTAGGGGTATTGTCTTGGTTGATTGTTTGTTGTAAATCAATGGAATTATCTATATCAAAGTTTCTATCAAAAGAAGATTGTGGATTTTCTTGCTGTTGTTCTTGTTGTTCCTCTTGTGGTTGATGTTGTTCTTGTTGTTGTTGTTTTGGTAATTTTGTTTCTTCTTGATCGCTTGTATAAGTGTCGGAGCTTGAATTCGGATCAAGTAACGGTTTGGAATTTGTTCTAGGAAAGTTCAACGGTTTCGTGGGAGAATTGAAAATTGACGATAATTCGTGTTGCATGTTTGGATTTTCCACAAGTTTATCAGGATCTAGATTCATTTCTTTAAGTAACAAGTCTACTGATTCTAATTAATAGTTAGTATTGATTTTTCTTTCTAGTTTGCTAATTTTGCAGTAATGGATATTCAATTGTCTATTTATGTAACCAATTAATGATGGGATATGTTTGATTCTTTAGATGATGATGCTGATGGGTTTAGATGACAAAGTAATAAAGCTAAAATTCTCACTGGTTCTGTTACTGTTTCTTATTTCTTATTCTTATCCTTCTTCTTCGCCTTCTATTCACTGTCGGTGAGTTGCATAATGATCTCTCTGTCTGCCTGTCAGTTCGTCAATCTGCTTGTGGAATTGCTTTGTATTTTGCTGTTTCTAGTAATAGTAATAGGTAAAGTAGACGACGACAATCCCATCTGTTGGTTGTTTTCGGTCAAAATAAAAACAATCGGGAACCAAAAATTAAAAAAAAAAAAAAATAATAAAGGGAAACATACCATTTCTCGTGTTTGAACAAATCTTGTGTTGTTGTACTTGTGGAAGGTGAGATTAAGTTTCGGGATTCTTCCGCTAAGCTGTAGTTTGACATTATTGTAGTTGACTAACTAATTAATTAATTAAAAAAAAAATGATGTCCACAGGTTGTAAAAATATATCACTAATAAGAAGAAAAGAAAGATGATGAAGATGATGATGATGATGATTGTGAAGAAAGATATTATATTTTTTTTTTTAGTTGATAATACTGTTACCGTTGTTGTGATTCATTTATTTCAGTTCATAGTGAAAAACAAAAAAAAAATTGATTTTCAGGTTTCATTTTTGGGCAATCACTCCGCCAAATTTGGGAATAATTTTTTGTTTTGATTTGTTTATATTTCTTCCCAATGCAGTAGGGCGTATTTTCAATTTACCCGTTTTAGGAAAGTGGGTTTTGCGTAATTTAATTTTGTGTTTTTCATAAAACAAGAAGAAGAAGAAGAAGATGTTTCGCATCAAATCAAAGTCAAAGTCAAAGTCAAAATCAAAATGAACGCCAAGGCCAATATTCTAATAAATAATAAATCATCATCAACTGTATTATACGGCAATTGATTGGGAGGTCAAGAAACTGTTGCATTTCTTGTTGTTTCTGACAATAAGATGAGATGACAAAATAGTTCCTTCTCTTGCGTATTCAAAGAGGATTACGATGTGGATAATGTCTACAAAGAAAGTATAAGCATAAAAAGTGGTGAATTCATCTCCACTAGAAAAACATTGTTATTGTTGCTCTGGTTGTCTTACAAACTTTAATACTCTTAATTGGAGGTACGATATCTGCAATAGTAACGTAAATATAATATACTGAATTACATGTTTCATCTAATTACAATACAGTTGTGGCTTCCTATTGGTCATTTGTTTTCCTAGATTAGATCCTTAATCATTTTCTTATCCCTTCATTCATTGATGTATATCATAGAATGAATTGTTCATGAGCTGTGGATTTCACCATACATCGCTTGCGTTTGCCCCACTCAGTTACTTAACAAAAATAAAAACTAGCTTCCGGTGATGATCATCTTTCTGTTCTGCGAAGAAAACTTATGCACGTTATATTTTGTGACATATTCTATAACAACGCTGTAGGAAAGCAAAAATAAATTTGAACCCTCGCAGGATTTTTCATAAAATGAATCACGTGTGATGTTCACGTTTTTGTTGGCACGTGTGGGGTTTTTTTTCTGAAAGGATTGTTTATGCGACGCGTAAATTAATTTTTTTTTTTTCGAGTTGTTTTTTTTTAACAGATGGTTGCAGGGGCTATGTTTACAATTCTAGATTTGCGCGCCTTTGTGTTACATTTTGACAAAAATAAAAATTATACAGATAAAGTCAGCCTTAGCCTCGGATAGTATACGTCAATAGGCAATCAAAAACGGTGTGATTTTCGTGGTGATAAGTCAAGAAAAAGGATATTCAAAAGTTTATAAACTAATAAAATTAGATTGTGTCTACAGAGTTAGGAAATCTCAAGCATTTGGAGAAATTTGCAAAACAAACCAATTAAAGAAAGTATAATGGATTCTATTTTACATTGCGAGATTTGTAACTGCTTTTATCTCTCTCTCCCCCTTCTCCCTTCGTGTTGGTGAAACAGTTTTTGGACCTATTTTCAAAAGCACCGTTGAAATTTCAGTGGTAGTAAAGTCGAAAGAGAAAAATAGCAAAATAGAAACAAAATCTTGCACCGTATCATGTAGTTTAGTAAACAAGAGATGTCAAATTTCGTGATTGCATTGTTTTGGTTTTGGTTTTTTATCGAAACCAGTTCTTTGTTTGTTTTCAGGTACCGCACCAACTCACCCACCACATCAAAACCTGGGCATCTATACCACTTGCCATTTCAAATGGGTGTAACCATTGAAGGGCTCAGTTGGGTGAGGCTTTGATTGCAAATTTCAAAAGTAAATACAAGAATGTTATTGATCGCCTTGATTCAGGTCCATATTTAATTGCTGAATTGAATAATAAATTCCACTTGTCTGTCTTACTGTACGTTTCTTTTTTTTTTCTATGTGTTATTTACTTGTTTCCTTTAGACGAATTTATTATTATTCTTTTGTACCTCTCGTTCAGATCGTGAAATTTTTTTTTTATTATTTTCTTGATGAAAATTTTCGAGTTTTCTTAGACTCATATAAATATAATACCAAATCACCTTCATTTCATAATCATAATCTCCTTATAATCTTTTTCCTTTCTTTCCTTTTTACTTTTACTTTTTTTTTTATTCTTTCTTTCTTTCTTCTTTCTTTGTTTTTTTATTTCTTAGTTAGTGAGATTTCATTCTTTTATATTCATTCGTTTTCATATCCATCTACATTTGTTTTGATACCCACCAACAATGCAAGTCAAATCTTTCCTTTTCCCATTAGTTGCAGCTTTATTAGCAGAAGCAGCTTCATCATCTGATAAATGTTCATTTTCTAAAACTTCCATCACTGAAGCCACTGGTATTCAAGAATTAAATGCTTGTGAAACTTTGGATGGTACTATTACTGTCAGTGGTAGTGCTATTGGTGCTATTGATTTGAGTTCCGTTAAACAACTTAAAGGTAACTTTTCTATTCTCAATACTCCATCTGTTATCTCATTGAACTTTAACCAATTACAAAACATCACTGGTGCTTTGGTTATTAATAATGCTACTCAATTAAACTCTATTGATTTAACTAGTTTGAGTGATGCCAATGAAATTCAATTGGTTTCTTTGCCATCTTTTGCTATCTTGAACTTGAACACTGGTGTTGACAGTGCTGGTACTATTGTTCTTTCCGATACTGCTTTGACTAACCTTAACGGTTTGTCTCTGTTTAAGACTATTTCCACCATCAACATTAACAACAACAAGAACATTACTAAAATTAACTTTGAAAATTTGGAAACCGTTACCGACTCCATGATTCTTTCATTCAACAATGATGAAGCTTCTGTCAACTTGGATTCTCTTTTATGGGCTGCTAATTTGACTATTCAAGATGTTGAAGACTTTTCTGCTGCTAACTTGACTTCTGTCAATGGTTCTTTGGGATTCTCTTATAACACTTTTGAAAAATTGGAACTTCCAGAATTAACCAATGTTGGATCTTCAATTCAAGTTTTCGCTCATGAAGCTCTTGAAGAACTTTCCATTCCAAAATTGACTACCATTGGTGGTGAAATTAGAATGTTCAACAACACTGAATTAGAAGACATTGAATTCAAAAATTTGACCACTGTTAAAGGTGCTCTTTCCATCACTGGTAGCTACTCCAACTTGACTATGCCAAAATTGAACTTGGTTGCTGGTGATTTCACTGCTAACTCCACTAGTGAAGATTTCGATTGTAAAGAATATGATGATTTACATGATGATGACAAAATCAAGGGACACAACTATGAATGTTCTCATCCAACTAAGGTTAAAGATTCTGAATCTAGTTCAAAGACTTCTACTGGTAGTTCCAAATCAACTGGTAAATCCAGTTCTGGTTCTTCTTCTGATTCCGACTCAAGCTCAAACTCATCTAGTTCTAGTAAAAAGAATGATGCTGCTATGATGACTCCAGGTTTCATGTTGGCTGGTGCTTTGGGTGCTGCTTTGGCTTTAATTTAATCATATACAACGTAATGTTTTTATTCAAATTAAAAGGAAAAGAATTCTGATTTTATTTTTGTTTCTTAATATAGTTTTATATATATATACATATATGTATATTTGTGTTTTTTTTTATTGGTTTATAATTTAATAATAAGAGTTTCTGTGTGTATTAGTTTTTGAATATGAAATTGAAGGGTCTCTAATGGATTGTTTGGTTATGAGAAAATAGTTTAACGCTGGTTGCAAATTTGAAACAATCGTTGAAAGTTTAACTATCACCAAAATTGTCTACTGTGAGAAAAATTACATATTTACAACAATTTGTTTTTTTTTTGTTTGTTTTTCTTTTTTTGCAACACATTTACAACACACTTTTAATCAAGATGGGTAATCGGGCAGAACATATTAGATATAAACAACAATTAAAGAAAGGAATCAATCTTAATTTATTAGTTGTTGGAATCAATGATTTAGGAAAGAAAACATTCATCAACACATTAATCAATCAACCATATTATAAAATTAATTCACCAACTATTAGATCAAGTAGATTAAATACTGCAGAAAGTAATGATTCTAAAACAACAGATTATTTTGATTCATCTGAATTTTCTATCGAAACAAACACTTTTGGTATGTATTAATATTACGATCATGTATTTTCATTTGAACTGTTACTGACTTTTAAATTGTTAAATAGAATATTCACCTGGTTCTATTCCTATTAAATTAAGAGTTTCAGTAACTAATAATTTTGGATTTAATTGTCAGCCAGATGATTCACATGGAGATATTTTATTATCATATATTGAAAATAAACATAGATCTGTATTACATGAAGAAATGAAAATTAATAGAAATCCAAATATTCAAGATTTTAGAATTCATTTAACTTTATATTTTGTACAACATAATATTAAAGGGTTATCAAAATTTGATATTTTAATGATGTCTAAAATTTGTCATAGAGTAAATTTATTACCTATAATTGCTAAACGTGACGGATTAACTAATCATGAATTATCAATTTGTAAAAAAAATATCTTGAAAGATATTATGGTGAATAATATCAAAATTTATAATTTTTTGAGTAATGATGAAAATAATGATGATGGTGGGGAAGATTTTATGACATTATCTTCTAGAGAATATAATTATTTAAATGAATTGGATAGAGTTGTTCCATTTTCTATCGTTGGTTCAAATACTGTTGGTGAAAATACAGGTGCTATTACTAGAATAACTAAATGGGGGTCAATCAATATTGAAGATGAAAATATTTGTGATTTCAAATTGTTGAAAAGTATCATTTTTGAAACTCATTTACAAGAATTTAAAGATGTCACGGTTGAAAAATTGTATGAAAGCTTTCGTATTGAACAATTATTGAAAACTTGATTATCCCTATCAAAACAAAACAAAACAAAAAAAAGTCTAATTGTACTTATTAAAATTGCTTTATATAATCCTGTGTCACTTTCCTTCCTGCTATTACATATCTACTACTTAGTTTATCTTTTTTATATGTTTATTTAAATAATGTCATTGTTGTTGTATGTTTTACCGTTGACAAATTGTAAACCTTCTCCGGCATAACTTGATTTAACTTCAACTAAACCGTCAACATTAGCACCATTATCTTTGACCCATTTGGTACCTCTTTCAAGATAATGACTTCTACAGGTAGTTGGAGTATCATTCTTAGCACCATCAGCATTCTTTAAAGGAGAAAATTCTTCGGTACGATCAACTTCCAAACAACCAAATTTACTCAATTCAACACTTGGGAAAACATCAAAAATGAATTGTTCTAATTTAATACCGTTTGGTTCAGTTGGTTTATAAAATTCACCAGTTTCAGAATTCAAACTTGGGATTTTCTTTTTAGCAATATGGAAAGGTAAAAATTCTTGAGATGAAATCCATTTAGGAACCATTTTAGTCAAGAAATCAACTGAATAATAATGATTGACAATATTAGCAGCTCTTAAGAATAATTTTGATTCATCAGCTGGATCTTTCTTGTTGGCCAATTCTGAAGAAATTTCACTATATTCAATAACACAAGGTCTTTGACTATCTTGATCCAAAACAATTAAACCAACACTTTCATTGGCATCTCTTTTTCTGACAACTTTTGTAGCTAAATCAAAATTCTTTTCAATGGCAAAACCAATAAATACAGGATCAGCAACTTTAACCAAACAATTGTCAACACAATACATATGAATATGTTTAATTTTTTTAGCATTCAAATCATCTAGTATACCATTATCTTTCAAAGCTTTATATAAACCACCATTACCATCTGGAGATTCACAAATGGCATTTTTAGATTGTAACAAAATTTTATTACCTTCCAAATTAAAACATGGTAAAGTACCTTGATTGAAAAAGATAACTTGATTAGATTTCAAACCGAAGTAATTATTCTTGATGAAAAATTCTTCAGTTGCTTTTCTAGTTGGTCCACTAGTCATAATATACCAGTTAATAATTGGTAATTCATTCAATTGAAATTTTTCTTTAGTTAATTCTTCAACTTTCAAAATTTTTTCAGCTTGAATTTGAAATAAAGAATTACCTGAAGGTAAGCCAATATTAAAACAACCTTTTGGATCACTACTTCCTAATCTAGTACCTTGACCACCAGCCATTAATAAAACAGCAACTTCGCCATCAGCAATAGCTTTTAAACCCAAATCATTCCAATTGGTTAAAACATCTTTAGATAAATCCAAAGTAGATGCTGTTTGATCATTTGGTAATTGGGTGAAATTTCTACTAGCTGAGTTACTAGAAGAATATTGAATAGCTTTTTCAACAGTTGAAATCAAATTCGATGGGTTGTCAATACGAGATAATTGATCAATAAAAGATTGTTGTTCTTCTATGGTTAAACTGTCGTAATATTTAAACAACTGATCTTGTTTGGCTTCTTTGAATGAATCTATAATTGGTTGTTGAGAATTAACAGTCATTGTGATATATAATGGTCTTTATAATAGTTCAAGTAGAAAATATTTCGAATAAAAAAATCCACCACCTAAAGAAATTGTTAAAAATACTGCGAGTGTTTATGGATTGATTTGAAAAATAAAAATAAAAGTAAAAAAAACCTTGAATGTATTTGATTCTGAATATGAAATGAAACCAAAGTTTTTAATCTCGAGTTAACGAAAGTGAAATCGGGAGAAGGATGAGAAGGAGGAGGAATGGAAGTAATATAATCAGTGAAATTTGGGGGGGAAGAATTAATTTATATAAATAAGATGAAACTTTTTAGTTGATGTGTTTTTCCCTTCAATTGTTTGGAAGATCGTAAATTTTTTCTTCACCTCTCGCCTCTGTGCGTGGGAGGATGGCGGCGGTGGTGGTAGTCGTGGTAGTCGTGGTGGTAGTGATGGCGGTAGTGGTGGTGTTTTGTTTCTGTTTTTGTTTTTGTTTTTGTTTTCTTTTTTAAAAAAATTAAATTTGAACCTGAACCAAAGAAAAAAAGAAATTTTCATTCTTTTTTTTTCTTGCTTGTACAGTACTTCTATAAATAAATTCACTACTGCTGTTTGGGTGTGAAATGTGATGTAATCAGTGTGGGCACCGTGCACGACTGCAAAAAATAAAAAACCCAGAGAAGGCATAATAAAATAAAATAAAATATAAAAAAAAAGCCAAAAAGTATAAAGAACCCTTTATTTTATTTCACTATTATTTAGTATCAGTAGTATTATTATTTTGTATGATAAGAGAGAAGGTAAAGAGAAGTGATGTTTCATAGTATTGCTTGTAAGCCAATGACCCACGTGACTTGTTGAAACTAATTAAACAACAAAAAAAGACAAAACAAAATCATTCATTTTTCAGTGTTGATTAAATTTCATTCATACGATCACAAAGAAAAGAAAGGGTAAAACGTACAGGTTGAAGAAGAAGAAAAAATTTTCATGTACAATTTTAACACCAGGGGAAGGGGAGGAAGGAATTGAAACAAAGAGAGGTGCAGCAACAGTGAGGAATCTGGTGAAATTTAACCATGCAGTTACTAGATTCAGGTAATTTGAAAATAGTTGATCTTTGCAATGAATTGTTGTTCTGAATCTACTCTAAGGTTATTTTTGTTTTTCTCTTAGGAGTAACTTTTCAATCTCTTTTAAACTTTTACTATGACATACTACCCGTTCAATGTGGTGTCAATGTAGAGCTTATTTTTAAAGCCAACGAATATGGGCAAATTACTAAAGAACGCGTAGTGTGTGGAGAAAATGAAAAAATTTTGCAAGGTTATGATTACGTACTAACATGGACAAAATCACATAGCCGATACTTTCAAGCCTAGATTCATTTCGTTTCGTGGTACACAAATTGAGTTGAGAATAATTCTTAATCAAATTATAGTTGCTGATACGTGGACTTGATCTGATAATACCACAGAATATTTATTATTATTATTATCTATATCCATTCCATGCCTAACGATTTAGCTGTGTTTTGCATGTACATCTCAATGTAATCTTCTAATCCTTTACCTTTACCACCATATCTATCACCTATGACATACTGTCTAAGCCTAACCACATAAAACATCATATCGGAAAATGCAAGAACAACTTTGATTTTGACCAAACTCCAGTAGTCACGGAAACTAACGTGTTTCTCTTGTAACAATGCATTGACCAGCTCTTTCGTGAGTAAGTTGATTCGGTTCACGGGACTACCAAAACTTTGGTTGAGATTCTGGATCATCCTCATCGTACGTGCTAGAAATGGCAAATCAGCAGGGAACTTCTTCTTGTCCCCGATGAAATCTCTAAACAAATCAGAAACGTTCCTATTGTCAGGTTTCAGATCACTGTTGTCATCAGGCATGAGCAACACAGGACGGAGTTGAACCACAGTGGCAAACAAGTCGAGCGATGAGATCCCCCATTTCTTACCTATCTCTTCAATCCCCGGTGTGTCCAACAGGAACAAGTATCTCCAGAGATTACAGTACTCTATTCTGAACGAGTCATTCAATTCAATGTATAATCCATGGTCTAGCAAAACCAACTGTTGTTTTCCCTTACTGTCAAATCTTACCAACAAGTTCCCTGGATGCGGATCACTGTGGATGAACCCATACTTGAATATCTGTGCTCCAAACAACTTGATGTACTTTCTCATAATCTCAGACAAGTCAAACTTCTTGGCAAGGAGCACCTCTTTATGTGTAAGTGGAACACCATCAATCCACTCAGCTGTCAACACCTGCTCAGTGGTGAACTCAGGGAAATTCTTTGGAATATACACCGAGTCATCAATCGTTGGATCAGCATGAACAAACGCTTGCAACTTTTCAGAATTGTACATCTCGTGTTTGAAATTCGTCTCCTCGGTGATCTTCTCACTGATATACTTGGTGAACATACTCAATGGGATATCAAACACCTTCTCGTACACACGACTAATGAACCTGTACACCCAGAGGTCCACTGGCAATTGTCTGCTGATGTAATTATGCTGTACCTTCACCGCCACTTCTTCTCCATTCTTCAACTTGGCATAATGCACTTGTGCTATACTAGCACTGGCAATGGGTTCATGGTTGATCATTTCAAACACCGTGGATTCATAATCGTCGCCCAAGTTCTTCTTCAACACAGTGTCAACTTGCTTCCAGTCCTGAACAGGTGCCTGATCGTACATCATGGGGAATTTCCTTTGGTATGGTTCAGGGAACAATTTACCTTGATTGGCAATGGCCTGTCCTAGCTTGATGAATATTCCCTTGTTGGTAACTAATAAATTCAACAATTTATCACTGGCGATTTCATGAAGATCGTCGATACTGCGATACGACTTGGAGTTGAACCCATACTCGTACGCAATCCATAATAACACATACAATGCTCTGGTTGATCTAGTGATGATGGATGAATAGTAGTATTTATCAATCAAATAAACACTTCCAAGTCCGGTGGTGACAAGTGCCGTGGGGTAAACCACATATCGTCGGAAATTATTTGTTCGTGTGGTTGTTCTAGTAGTGGTTGATACATGACGGGTGGATGTGAATTGTAAAGGTCTACGGATGGTATTTCTAATCATAAAGGAGTGGTGAATGTTATCAATTGCAAGTTATACAAGAATCAACCTCCCTCGTGAATAAGGGCAAAATTCAAAGCAAGCAAAAAAAAAATTTATCTCCAGATTTCACCGATCGCAACGAGACAAGTCACGTGGGGAACTTGAGTTTAAATAGACACATTTGTGAGACAAGCTAGTGAGCATGGAAGATGATAGTTGGTTTATGTAGTTAGTAGTTTGACTTTGTTTTAAAAAAACAACTTTACATGTTAATAGTTAACTAGTTTGTGGACAAGTGTTTCAAATTTTTAGTTCATCATTGGACCCACAAGTCCCGTATCGGACATATCGATCACAAAAAGATCCCAGTAGAAAAATTGGTGCCAATTTTGAACAACTAATTAATCAAATCACAATCTAAAAAATCAGTTAAAAAACATTCAAGAAATAAATTATGGGTAATTTTTTAAGTAAACTATTCTGTTGTCGTACATATCATTTTGATGATACCATTAATACGAATTATCCGGAAGAAGAAATTAATCCTCGTGTTCATATTCGTGGTGTTGGTTTTGGTCTTCAATTTCCACCAAGATCGAATCAAAGCCGAAATTGGAAAAGATCAACTACTCACTGAAATAAAATATAATGAACATGATGCTACATATATTCATAAATTATTCCTTAATGAATATCCTATTGAGACTGTGTTAGATCTACCACTTAATCAAAGATGTGATTTGTTTTTTGATTTTATGCTAAAACATGAAAAATCATGGGTCATTGATCCTAAAGAGAAATATGATATTGATTTTAAAAGTGAAGGTTTTAAAGAATATGCCATGAAATTTGGAATCAAATTAAGTAAAGAATATAAAAAGAAATATGGAAAACATGATGATAAGAGTTCCCATGAACAATTACTAAATTCCAATATTGAATATGAATATTACATGTATCAATCTCTGATAAATGAAATTGCAATCATGCATAGACTTACAATGATTAGAATTTATAATAAATGTATGAGTCAAACCCAGAATTCTATTACAATTGAGGAAAAACTATATCCATGGTTATCAAAACAGTTTCCAAAATATGAAAATTGGAATGGTGAATTGAAAACTCCGAAAATGAACCCAGATGAAACAGTTTTGACTCAGTTTCAACAGAAAAGTTCAGGAAAAGGTGTTGTTGTTACAATTGCTGAAAAACATGTTGATGATATGATAAATTTAATACATTTACTTCGTGCTTTGAAAAATAAACTTCCCATTGAAATAATTTACACTGAGTTGTCAAATGAATCCAAATCTAGAATATCAAAAGCTGCAAGAGATGATTATATGAATTTCCCAACACAAGACATTTGGTTTGTTGATGTTAATCCAGCAATTTTAGAAGAGCATAGATCAATATTTGAGAAATTTGATTATAAACTTCTATCTATATTGTTCAACTCCTTTGAAGAATTTATCCTTCTTGATGCAGATACAGTACTTTTCAAATCTCCTAGTTATTTCTTTAACATTAAAGGATATAAAAATACGGGAGCATTTTTCTTCAAAGATCGTGGTTTTCTTCATCGTCGATCACTTGAAGATGGTAAATTATTTGCAAGTTTTAGTCCATCTATTTTTGATACAGCAATGTTTGATATTCCACGATTAACTAATCATACATTAAGTAATCCTTATTTCAAAGGATTGACTCATTTTCAAGAATCTGGTGTGGTTGTAATTAACAAGAAGAAACATTTCCAGTCATTACTAATGATTATTCAATTGACATTTATACATCCAATAAGTATGAAAGTTTGGGGTGATAAAGAGCTATATTGGATGGGGTTTGCACTTAATGGCGATGAAAATTATGCATTTAATGATAATTTTGCTGGTGTGGTGGGTCTGTTAACTCCGGAAAGTGAAAGAATTCGTCCAGATGGGAAAAATTTCAATGGTAAAGAAATTTGTTCATCCCATCCAGGTCATATTAGTTCAGAAGATGGATCATTATTATGGATGAATACAGGATTTAAATATTGTGGGAAGAAAGTATCAAGTTATGATGAAGAAGCAGAAAAGAATAAGAAAACAAACTTATGGAAACATCTTAAAACAGGTGAAGATTTTAAGAATTTTTATAATAGTCCTGTGAAAATAACCCATGCAATTATTCCACCATTGGATGATGAACTTAAAGAAAGGGAAAATAGTGATGGTGAACCTGATAAAGGATGGTATTGGCCACAAAAATTTTGTAAGAGTTATGTATGGTGTGGTTATACTAGCATTGGTGGAGATAATGATACTTTGGAAGGTGATTTAATCAGTTTCACTGATAAAGAAGTGAACTTCTATGAGAAATTAGGAAATATATGGATGGGATTAGAAGAATAAATAGGCGATCGTTGGTGTATATTTTTTACAATATTAATAGACATGAAATATCCTTAAAGGATATATATATATATATATATATATTCATACAACATTTGAATCACTTCTCGTGGAAATGTAATTCATTCATATACATCTTCTTGTGTTTGACATGGTAGATACTGTAGATAAACCACCGCCGCACTGGATTCCCAAAAAAAAAAACTATTGATGTTTTTGTTACCATCTAACAAGATTCAAGGGTGAATTGAACAAAACCAATGCAATTACTTGATTTACCAGAAGAAGTTCTCGAGTTGATTTTCCAGTATATACCCAATGTTGAATTGAATAATATAAAGGAGATTCCTGAGATTAAACAATATGTCTTGTATCAATTATATTCAGTGGTAATTATAGGCAGTCAATTACCTAGGACAAAGGTTTCTGGAATGTATCAATTGAAATATATGTTCCCATCGACTTCAACGGGTTCTTCATTTATTCCTAGATTTGAAAATAATAATGATTTAATTAAATTTATGAAAGAAAACCCACGTATTATTCCGAAAGTGGTATTTTTTGAGTATCCACGAGATCTTTTAAATCTTAATGAATCAAATCCTGAAATTTTGCAAAATTGTAAAATTAGATTTCTTTTGGAAAATATTGATATCGAAAATGGTACTTTTGAAAAATTGAAACAATTGGAATATCCTATTGATAAATTATTAGCTTTTGGAAGTATATTTGATTTGAGGTATCATATGGAAAATAATGATTGGTTCAATCGGATTAACATCATTGATATACATGGAGACGTTGAAGATATCAAAAGTTGTACTAACCAATCTAGATTTAATAGTTTAACAGAACTAACAATTACCCAATTAAATGAAGACCAAATAAAATATATTCCAAGAGGTGTGAAAAAGTTAACATTTACTCTGTACTTTACTATGAATGAATATTTACAAGATTTACCAAACTATCTTGAATTGTTAAAGATTCGTTTTGTAACTGATGAGGGGTTTGAACTTTGTTGTGATGTTAGCTATTTAGAGAATTTGAAGAGTTTAATGTTTGAAGAATTTGTTGGACTGTGGAACCTTCCGTCAAGTATTAAAAAACTAGAACTAGTTGGATGCATGGTGAGTCTTGATAATGTAAACGAAATGTGTCCATATTTAACTGACTTCTTTTATGATAGTCTGGAAATAGATAGTAAGAGAATATCTTATGTTCTTCAGGAATTACCAACAAGTTTAACTAGATTAAGTTTCAGAGTTGAAAACTTACAATACATGGTTTTCCACAATCAATTGAAAAATGGTCTAACAGATGAATTGAAAAGACAAGTGATAGACTCTAAATTAGTGGTTGATTTTTTCCCAACATCATTAACAAAGTTACATCTTTATGGATCTCCATTAGAAAGTTATTATGATGAAAGTTTTCTTCTAAAATTTGATAATATGATAATTGATCTAAACAAATTGGGGAAATTACGGGAATTATGGCTTCAGTGTGTGACTGAATTTTCACAGATAAAGAATCTTCCACAATCGTTAAACAACCTTATTCTCAAACAAACTACTGGAGTGAACTTCAAAGAATTTAAACATTTAGAAAACTTGGACAGTTTGGAGATTAGCTTGAATCGGAATTTTCAACCAATCGCTCTAGATTCAACAAATATCAAATACTTGAAATTAACCTGTAATGCAATCAAACACGTATCACCTTCAAATCTAATATTACCTCCCAGTCTTCATGAACTTGTTATTTCCAATAGTGGTGTTGAGTCTATTAATAGTCAATATGTGTTTCCACATCAATTACAGGTTTTATCATTGGACTTTAACCGATTGGATCATTTACCAAAACTACCAACATATTTGAAAACATTGAGTTTAGCAAGTAACAAATTTGGATCCAAGGGGTTGTTTCCCGTTTTACCTAAATCGATAGAAATTTTAGATATTTCTGAAAATGAATTAACAAAACAACTGCTTGTCAAATTTAATTTGAAAAATTGTACAAATTTGAAAATTCTAAACTTATCTGGGAACCAAAACATTCAGTGTCTTCTGCTTGATATTCTTCCCAAATCTTTGATACATTTATATTTGTACAAGATAGGGTTGACTGAGTTCATCGGAAACTTTGGAAATTTCCCAAGACTTGAAGTATTGGTTCTTTCCCATAATATGTTAGGTGAATTTTTAAATAAGAATACACCTCAAATTATGAACTTATTTGGAAATGGTATCAAGGAAATATTATTGGATAGTAATGGATTATCACAAGAGTGCATGGAATCAATCATGAGCTTGTATTCTTCGAAACAAGGAATCCAATGATTCAAATAGATGGATTTAGTATCAGAGTTGTTGATATTAATATCCATAAGTGACTACTTGATGAGAATACTAACTACTTCTATTCATATATATAGATATATATCTTTGATTCATTAATTCATATCAATAATGACAAGTGGTAGCGATGTTGTTGAAAAATTTCTTATTCCGATGCGAATTTGACCAAAAATTTTGATTTTCATGAATTTTTTTTTTTTTTTTTACGTGAAAGATGGAGGGAAGTCTATGATTAATTCAATAAGCAACAACATAGTTTAGATCATCTACCAGGGGGAAAATGTTATCACTATCGAGGTTGATATTACGTAGACAATCAACTATTCAACTATCTCGAAATTTACGAATATCTACAAAACTATGTTCAGAACATAATTTCACACCTTTAGAACAACAAGTGGAAGGACAAGGACAAGGACAAGAAGCAATAACTAATAAATCAAACAAAAGAGTTTATTTAACGCCTGAACAAATTAGAAAGAAGAAGAAAAAGAAGAAGCAAGTTAAAAAATCATCAAAATTACAAGAGAATAAGCCTCAAGAGAATAATCCTCAAGAATTTAATGTATTATTAAATGAATTAAGAGAACCAGAAAATAATTCAAATGATTTAAAAGTAGAAGACGTTATCAATACCATTGATTCTTTTAGACCTATTGAAAATGAAATTGGGAAAAAAGCATTTGAAATGATTACTAATCGTTTAAATCGATCTTTTAATAAGCATCAATTACTTGATTATTTGGATTTTCTTGAAAAAAATGATCCTGATATTATGAGTGTTGTTGTTTCAGATATTAAACGATTACCTAAAAAATCATTAATTGAAAAAGTTATACAAGATATTTGGAATATTAATATATCAGATAAAGTAATAATTGAAGAAGTTTTGGAAACTATGCAATATCAATTAAAACCTTATGAAAAATTCTTGTTGGATTCTCGTAGATCTAATGTTATTTCAAATATGAAAAAATGTAATGTTAAACCTATTCTTGAATCAAATAAATTAAGAATTTCAGGTACTGAAAGTGATTTAAATTTTGTTGATAGAGAATTTAAAAAGATTTTAAATGATATCAAACATGAAGAATTGGATATTAGTAAATTTAAATCAGAAAAGAATCTAATGTTAAATAAAATTCAATATATTGCCAATGTATATTTTGAAAAAAAGGGAAGTGGTGGAATTTATGAAATGTATTCAAGATTTCCGGCTAATATAGAGTTAGCTAAAAGATTATTAACTTGGTCGGTTGATAAGAATCCTCATATTAAAGATGAAGTATTTGAAATTGAGAATCTTTCTCAAATGGAATTTATATCGTACAAAAATGATGATACTTTACCATGGTATGGAAAAGGTTTTGATTATTTTAGATTGATGAAGAAAGACAACAAGCCAATGAGTGAATTAGTTTTTGATAAATATGATACCATGAGTAAATATTTTGTGAATCAAGATGACGTTGTCGGTTTAAAAGATTCAAGAATGTTTTTAATTCCAGAACAAAATCAAGAGTCTGTTCCAGAAGAAGAAATATTTAGTGAACGTGAAATTAATGTATTAGTGGAAGATGAATTTGCTACACTGATGGAAGAAGTATTAAAAAAATATGATACTGATACTATCAAAAAATATTTACCCAAGGATGATCAATCTAAATTTAAACATCTCTTCCCAGAATTGTCAAGGATTCTTGCCAATCAAGAAAAGGCAAAGCGTGTTGATAAAGAACCACGTGAAGCTTTAGAAGATTTAGAAGAATTGCGTAAAGATTTGGATTCACTTTCAACTGATGATGTTGATATTAGTGAATTTCCAAACATTGCTAAATTGGTTGAAGATTTCGAAGCAGCTGATTCTAATACTTCTCCTGGTGATATGGAAAGCTTAAGAAAGGAATTGAATAACTTGATTATACCAGATGCAAATGAGTCTGATTTGCTTGAAGATCTGACATCTGATAATCCAGAGGCACAATCTGTTGAAGAACCAAATAATGTTGAAACCCCTGGTCCATTATCATCTGTACAAATGGACAAATTATACCAACAATTGACAGATCTTTCCTATGCATCAAACTTGGAAGGCGTTGATAAAAATAGCATTTTAAGTTCGGCATTCACAGTACAATTTGGAACATTGTTATTAAAACAAAAGAAAGCGAAACCAAATGTATTATTCCCAACTGCTAAAACAGTCAACTCGGAATCCCAATTTGAATTTGATGGAACAGTACCATATATGAATGATTTGGTCACATCATTACCTTTGATACAACCTAATCACGATAGACCATTTACTGAAAGTATTCTGATTAGATTATCACCATCAAAGTTTAAAGTACAAGATGGCACAAATTTTATGGATAATGAATTTGGAAATTTCCCACCAGTTGAAATACAATGTGAATTTGATAATACTGGTGTATTACAATTGGATACTTTACAGATAATTTCTCTTGAAGCTATCAAAAATGTATCTATTGGTGTACCAACAATTGGTTCTGATTTGAAAATTTCTCGTATGATCCTTGGTGATTTATTGAAACAAGATAAAGATGATACATTGCCTAGATTAGATGTTCAACCAGGTTTGGCTGAATTTCTTGAACGTTCACAATTAAAGGTCTCGGGATCTACACCAATTAGAATAGAACCAAATTTGGTATTGAATATTAATGGGAAGAAAGTTACTTATGAATACTTGAACTTTTCTCGTAAATCTGAATTGAATTTCGAGTATAATGGAAGACAAGTAAACTACAGTATCATTAATGAAGGTGTTCATGGAGGTATAAGAAATGAACTTGTCATTGGTGAAGGAGAACTTTCAAGAGATGAATTTGAACAACTAATAAATGACTCCATTCAATTAGTTAACGAAATAAATTAAATAACCTTGTATATATATTATTATTATTATTATTATTATTATTCAAAACATGCACTTATTCCATTTTAAGGTTGTTATTTAATAGTATAATTCATGTTTATAGATTAACAATAAAAATGCATTAATCAAATATCTACTTCTTTTCTTCTAAAGTTTTAATATGTTTTTCCAAATTAGAAATTGAGTTTTGTAAAGCAATAATATCTGAAACAACAACAGTATTTGATAAATTATATTGATCTAACAAATAGTAATAAGATAAAGAACCAGTAGTAGTAACACCCAATAAGAATCCAATGAATCCACCTCTAAAAGCACCAACTTTCTTAGGACGAACGGCAGCGGTTGTTGTGGCTGTTTGTGTAGAATAAGAACGAATTGAAGTTCTTAATAATTGACGTGAAGTTGCGGAAAACATTTTCTGTGAATAGTTAATGAAATTGATATTGGGGGAGGGAGGAAATAATAACTTGTGGGAAAGCAAATTGGTTGGTTGAGAATGATTCTCTTTTTTGATTTTTCTTCTTTGATTTTTTTTTTCTGTTGATTCTCTTTCTCATGTCTCATTTCTCATTTCTCAATTCCCGGGATCGTTCTCGTGAGTTTCTATTCATCATCATCATCATGAGATAGACAGACAGACCATGAGACTTTATTGATGTTTTCTAGAGTTGAAGTTATGTTAAAATAGCATGGCATGTGATCAGAATAAAGTAGAGTAGAGTAGAGTGATGGTATTGTATTGAACTAGAATTGTTATTTAAGCAGTTCAGCTTGTTTTGCAGGGTTTTGATTGAATTTTTGCAATAAAATTTCAGTAAAATATCCAGGGTATTTACCATCATTCAAAGTACTTTATAATATCACTTATATTATATAGCAAACTTTATTAAACAGTAATAAGCTGTTAGAAAATCACCAAAGTAAACCAATCTTCTCAAAAGTGGCAAAATTTATTCTTGTTTGTCAACTCATAAGAGGTGTAGTTGCATGCTCCAACTACAAGTACTCATCATATAGCTATTCAAAAAATTTTTAAGACACTTATTTACCAGTCAAAATACTAATTTATATCATTAGACCTGTCCCATAATTATTAGGATTGAATGAAAATTCATGGGATCTAGCTATTCATGAATAAAAAATTCCAAGTCACGTGATTAAATTCACTATATCGTAATCCATACTTGAAAACACATTAGAACTTTTGCGAAAATAATCTCTAAGTTTAATGAACTGTTATAATGATATTTGATATTTGCATACCGTTTATAGTTGTTTTGCAATGGCATCTAACATATATTATTATTAAGTGGTATTACCAATTGGTATCACGTGCACCAATAAGTCGTGTGAGCCATGACGAGAATTGAATTGTAACATTAAAATTAAAAATAACGGCGACGCAAAATTTAAAGAGAGAAAGAAAAACAAAAAAAAAATCTTCTAACCAAACATAAACTTGAAAGCAATTTGATTGACAGTATTCTTTTCATTCACAAGTTAGCTACTACTACTACTACTACTACTACTATTTACCACAGCCGATATTAATCAAATTCAAATAGGTTTAACTCTGCTGTGTCAACAAGAAGAGAGAGGAAGAAGAAGAAATATCTGTAAATCGTTCTAGTATATATACGTATTTATTATAGTACTTTTTTTTATTTAATCATCTACAATTTTTAATTCTTTCATTAAGAAAGAAGAAGAATAAGAGAATACAGAGTAATAAGAATGGAACAAGAAACTAGACAACGTCCTGTTCGAGCAAATCGAGGAGAGAAGTTAAAACGTTATTTAGAAGAAGAAAAGGAAATATCGTCATTCCAGCAAAAGAAGCATAAACTACAGGAAGACAACAACCTGGATTCAAATGACGATGTTAATGGAAATCAAGAACCAGAAAAAAATACAACTACCAGCACTAAATCAGGAGAAGTTGATGATGAATTATACAACGATAATGGAGAAGAAGAAGAAGAAGAAGATGATGATGACGAAGAAGGAGAAGAAGAGAATAAAGATAAAGCAGATGAAGAAGTTAGATGTTTACCATGTGGGGCCACAACAGAAAATTACAACGAAGATGAGGATACTTTAGGTGATATGGTACAATGTGATAAATGTAAAACTTGGCAACATGCAAAATGTATGGGTTATAAAACAAAAAGATCAATACCAGAAGTTCATAACTGTGATGTATGTACAGGGAAACCAGTTACCCCAATAAGACCAAAGACAAAACCAAAGAAAAAGAATGATGATCAAGAAGAAGCTAAAAAGGGTAATGGAATTTCTTCATTAAAAGATGAAAATAGAATTAGTACAGCAAAAGCATTTTGTAATTATTTTAAAAAGAGATTTGCCAATAGAGCTGAGGGTGAATTAACTGCATTGGATAAGTTAAGTGATGAACAAAGAGATCAAAAAGCTAATGAGCTAGCTAGAGAAATTGAAAGCTTAATTTTCGAAACCTACAAAGGTGCATCTTATACTTCAGAAGGTAGAAGAATATTATTTGTTCTTAAGAAGCATTTTATGAATGAAATTGTTGAAGGTACCGTAACATTTAAAGATGTCTTGCATAAAACTCCCCAAGAAATCAACGAAGATATTGCCAAGATTGAGCAACAGAATAGGGAAAACATCAAGAACATTATCTTGAGAGAGAATGATACGTCTCAAATTATAAGAAGAACACATAAAGGTGATATTATCAAGGAGAATGAATTTATACAACCAAATACTATCGACGAAAGTTTAGCAGCCAGAAAAGTTGATCATCGAAAATTCTCCGATGATATACTTAATCCAGGTCATCTCATTTCCCATACTGCCAACGAGTCGAATAGTTATCAGAATCTTAACCCAAGAATTGTTGATGAGGATTCCGAGAGTGAACATGAATGTGAAGAAGGAGATGAAAATGAAGATGAAATTACCAATAAGGGAAATAATAGAGAAAATTCAAAATCAACAGATACTTTAAGTGATTTGGAATTAGGCAAAGGAAACAGCAATGGTAAAGATGAAGATGATGACGATTTACTACCATTTTTATCAGGTGGTGAAGACTCACTTGAGAATATACTAGTTGAAAAAATAAAAGTTTGGACTGGTAGAATAACTTTCCCTGAATTTGCTACTTTTAATGCAGTTGGTGAGTTTTATGCATGTACTGATGAATCAAAAAGAGATAAAGATACTGTGATTAAAGTTTCTAAAGAAATATTGAATTTACCGGAATATGTTGTACAAGGCAAACTTGATCGAAATGTTGCAGATAATTATTTAAACAAAGTTATTAATTCAAGAGATTTATTCATAGTTGAAATTTCTAACAACGAGAATGTAAGTGATAAGCAATATTTAAGATTATATGAATTTTTATTACATAAAAATAAAGTTGGTGTATTAGGTATGAGATTAAAATTTGTCAAAGATTCATATTTGATGCCTATTGATTTTAGAGATGAAAGATTACCAAATTACTTACAACCATTCAAGAAAGATCTTAGAATTGGATTATATGCTGTTTTTGTAGTTCAAAGAAATTATACCCCAATTTCTTCATCATCAAGAGATAGTGAATACATTCCAAGAGAACATATTTCATCAGTACCAACATATCATCCACCACCTCAATACAGACAACAACGACAACAACGACAACAACAACAACAACAACAATTTCAAAATTTGAATCAAACAAATGGTTCTGATAATCAAGGATCAACATCTAATCTTGAAGATATTTTAAAACTGCTAAGTTAAATAAGTGGAGTATTCTTTACTTATTTAAGTATTTGTAATAACTTTTGTATTATTATCATGTAAATTTTCAAATCATATACAAGATGACGACTTTTGTAAGTTACCTTTTACTATGAAAATATGTATTCTCTACAGGAGTAGATGATAATTCAATTGATATCTCTCATTTATAACACATTGTTGAATAAGTGCCTTTTGATTTGTTTTATAGTATTAAATATTGATTAATAATAATAGTAACACATAATTAAAAAAAAAAATAAACCTATGAATATACAAATTAAATATATAATTTATACATTTTTCATTTGTCTTCTCTTTATTTATCTTTTTTTTTTGCAAATATAGCTCTAAATTCAGGAAATTTCAAAGGAGTTCATTATTGTCAACTCCAAACTGTAACTCCACCAAATTCTACTTTTCTTCTAGAATTATCATAATCATTTTCATTATGATGAGATCTTCTCCTTAAAGAAATTTCATGCAAATAACTAGAATCAGCATATCTAGATACTTTTTTAAGTATTCCTTTTTTAGGTGCATATTTATTTTTATGTACCATTCTTTTATGCCTGTGAACATCTGGTATTCTATTAAAAGGAGATGAAGCTTCCATGGGTTGATCCCAAGTAGGTTCATTACGATAAGATTCATATTGATCTGGCATGTTATGGTATTTAGAATTATTGTGAGGTTTAGAAAATCTATTATCATTAGAGTAGCCGCTGTGACTATGTGAGTTGGTATAACTTGTTGCTGTAGTACGGGAATTGACCGTATTAGAAGGACGGTGGTTTGATTTTGGAATATTATTAATATCATGTTGAAATCTAGGGTGGGGTGCATTTTTAAATTCTTTCACAGTCCTGGATTTTAAAACATTATTAGCCTCAGGGATATCATTGACCTCTAGAACATTAGAAGTCTCTGGAACATTAGAAATCTCTGGAACATTATTAGCTTCAGCAGCTCTATTGACCTCTGTGACATTATTAGGCTCTGGGCTATTATTAGGCTCTGGACCATTATTAGGTTCTGGACCATTATTAGGCTCTGGACCATTATTAGGCTCTGGGCTATTATTAGGCTCTGGACCATTATTAGGCTCTGGGATATTATTAGGTTCTGGACCATCATTAGTATTTGGAACATCATTAATATTTGGAGCATTAATATTTGGAGCATTAACCTCTGGAGCATTGACCTCTGGAGCATTAACCTCTGGAGCATTAACCTCTGGAGCATTGACCTCTGGAGCATTAACCTCTGGAGCATTAACCTCTGGAGCGTTATGAACCTCCGGAACACATTCAACTAGTGATCTTATTTTAAATTCAGAAGCAATGCTTACTTCGTCAATAGGTGCTACATCTGGTGAAATACTACGACTAGAACCACCACTCTCATTATCTGAATCTACTTCACAATTTAACAAATCTTCCTTATCTTGCAATAGTTGTCTCATAATAGCTCTCTTCTTTTGGGCTTTTCTTTTACGAGTTCTTGTTAATCCTTTAAGTTTCAGTTCTCCATCGAGATCCATCAACACTCGTTTCACATATTTAATACGATTTTCAATTTCTACTAATTTTTTTGCTTGTTCACGAAGTGTAAATGGTGTTGTCAATATTTCCGATTTCACAGACGAATTGTTGGTGGATATGGTAGCTTGTTTCTTATTGGGAACCTTTAGTGTAACCATAAAAGTTGGAGGTGACTGTAGTTTTAAAGTGTCATTTAAAGGAGATGGAGGTGATTCTGGAGGAGTCTTTAATGGTAATTTGAAGGTGACCAAAAAAGTAGGTGGAGCTTTTGGTTTGGAGATACCACTAGTTTTTTTAAAAGCACGATATTTACTCAGTTTGAATAACGTTCCAAGAACAGGTCTTGCAGTTAAAGGTACATCTGAATCCAGTGAATCATTCTTCTCTTCTCGTGATATGGTAGTGGATTGTTGTGCCTGTGGTTGTGCCTGTGGTTGTGCCTGTGGTTGTGCCTGTGGTTGTGCCTGTGGTTGTGCCTGTGGTTGTGCCTGTGGTTGTGCCTGTGGTTGTGCCTGTGGTTGTGCCTGTGGTTGTGCCTGTGGTTGTGCCTGTGGTTGTGCCTGTGGTTGTGCCTGTGGTTGTGCCTGTGGTTGTGCCTGTGGTTGTACTTGTGGTTGTGCCTGTTGTTGTACCTGTGGTTGATGTTCACGGTGGTGAGCTTGTGGATTAGTCGAATCATCCTCCAAATCTGATCTATGTGTGATCTTTCGTTCAACTTTTGAATCTATTTGATCGTCTGATACCATTCTTCTTGGTCCTACAGGTCTTGCAACCAGCAATGACTTTTGACTATCAGCCAGATTTTTACGAGGTGATGATGATGATGGTGGTGATCGTGGTTCTGCATAGTCAATTGATAATGAATTTTGCATCACTTGACGATAAAGCTTTTCTTGAAAAGGATTGTATGAATCCCGTATTTTATAATTTAAATGAGATACTGAGCTAGGATCAGGTGGTCGAATCATCCACAAATTATTTTTGGTATACATGTAATTCTCATATATACGATAATTTTTGGGAATAATTTTGGGAAACTGAACACCATTTGCAAAGATATAATCATCTTGACGATATTGGTGATTATGTGATTGAACATTTGAATCATGTTTCCCTTTCCCTTTCCCTTTCCCATGTGGTTTTCTAGGGGAATGATCGATATGAGCATAGTTGTAGTTATCATAATGTTGATCAACATCATCATCATCATAATATAGATCATCCTCATTTATATCATCATCATAATAGTGGTCATCAGGATAATGACCACCACTACTATTCTTTGTAATGAACGAGGATTGTTCTTTATTATGTGCGTGATTTAACAGTCTAGATCTAGAATTTCCAGTATTATCATAGTCGCGATCATTATGATACGGCACATCAATCAAGTCCTGGCGTCCCATGATACATAAATAAATATGTATTACTGATTAATAGAATTTTTTCTATAATATTGATATTGATACTGAAATTGAAATTGAAATTTATTAGTTAATCAATTAAAAAAAAGGGTTATCATGTAACAGTACTGGTAATAATAATAATAATAATAATAAAATTTTCTTTTCTTGAATTTCCGATGTGAAGTGATTATTATTATTACTATTATTATTATTATTATCTATGGTAGTGCAAATCGGTCCAATTGTTGTTACGCATTCCCCCCCTCTCTCTCTCTCCTCCATTTTGGTCTGTTACACTTTCTTCAGAATCGTGACTAGTATCACGTGATAAAATTACATCTATATACTCCTATTCAATTGCTTTTCATCTTCATTATGAGCTAGTGCCAATATTATGTGTTCTACACAGACACATATATAAGATCAGTCAAATTAATATTACACATTTATGATCGTTATGAATCTTCCATCCCACATACGATAACGCGTCAGGAATTGATGTTAATCACACACATTCCAAGTTTTGAATCTCTTTTTATCTCTAGCCAATTTTTTTCTTTTTCAATTTTTTCTTTTTTTATTTTTGAATTGTTTGTTTGTTTGTCACGTTATTTCACATCAAAGATAACAAGTTTTGTTGTTTAGTTCATATGCAAATAGTACTATGGAGACTCAGGTAGATAGTCATTCATTACCAAATTCCTCAGAGTCACAAGTCAAATCTAGTCTAAGTTCAGATTCACTAATATTCAGACCTACTAAACATAGAATCACACCTATAATATTACCCGATGATGATAACGACTACGACAATGATAATGATGATGACAATGAAAATATAACAATCCCAACAATTGAAGATACAAAAAACAACGAATCAAAATTATCAAAAGGTCAAGAAGAAAACGAAGAAGAAGAAATAACAGAAATCGATGGGGAACAAGTGAAAAACTCTGCTAGTCCGTTTCTGAAACAATTGAATGAAATGTTAAATAATAATGATCAAGAATATAAGGCCCGTCAGAAGTTCCTTGCATCATATTCTCAAGACACACAAGTAATAGGAGACACACAAGTGATAGGAGACACACAAGTGATAGGAGACACACAAGTGATAGGGGATACACAAGAGATAAAAAAGGTGCCCGTCCAACATAAGAGTAGGTCAAAAGAAAAGCGTGCAATTTTGGCAGATACACAAGTTATTGACAATACAACGAGACTTCAGAACACTCAAGTAATAGAGAACAAAGTAATAATTGATGATACACAAAGGATACCAAAAAGGGATACACAATCAACACCCGAGATTGATAACAATATTGCAAATAAAAAACGATTCCCACTTGATAGTGATAGCATAGAAGATACACAACCGGATATTGACATGGATACTCAACGTATACCAAAGTTCTTACCAGACACACAGCCCATAAAGAAAAGATCAGCAGATGATCGTATTTTAATAGGTGCTGTCGAGGAGACCCAACAGGATACACAAATTGGTGGTTCATTCCAACTAGAATTAGAGAGTCAAGAACCTACTAGAGTCATGGGGGAATCACAACCTACACAAAAAGTCACAGCACCCAGTGATACACAGGTAATCCTGAAACCTGTAAACAGATCTAATGCTGATAATTCCAAGTCTCAACCACAAGTATTGAATACTCAAGAATTTTCCAATTTATCACTCAGTGAATCACCAGAGAAGGACGATATAGAAGAAATACATACAGATAATGATGAAGAAGAAAATACCAAAGACGAAGTTATGAGCTATGATGATTCAGTTTCCAATCACCGGTTGAAAAGAAGAATACCCAATAGTCCACGAAAGCTCAAACGTCGTAACACTGAAACTTTAACCACATCAAACCACCTCAGTTCATCTACACCAAATATTTTCAAAAATGAAGTATTACGACAACATTCAGTTCCATTAGTTTTGGCATCCCCGATTGGTATTCATAAAGCATCTTCATCTCCATTGAAATATAAATCAATTCCAGAAGAAGAAAAGAGTATTCGTACAGATAGAATTGAAGGTGATACAAGCAATATAGATATCGAGCAGTTCCCATCATCACCTAGCAAGCTTACAAAGATCCTGTTTGACGCCGAACACGAACCATCTGAATTGGATGAATTAGATTTTGATTACTCCAAACAGAAAGATAAAATACAAGATGTTACTCAAGTTGATGACGATGATGATGATGATGACATAGAAATTGTTGAAGTTTCCAGTATAGCCAAAAAGAACAACAATGATGATCTAGATAGTTTTATTAATGATGATGAAGAAGAAGACAATGATGATCCATTTGATGAAACATTTGAGGAAGGTCCACTGGATGAACCTATCATCCCAAAACCAAGAACAAGAAACATAATAGATTCTCAATCAAGAACCACTACAGAAGACGACTCACTTATTGATGAAAGCACTGAACCTGATGTTTTACGTGCAGAAGTGTCTGAAATATTGACTGAAGCAGATATAATCAATCATGAAAGTGTTTGGGCTATATATACATTAAAAATGTATGCCGGGATGTTAGTTGCCAAGTATATTGACAATCTGAATGTGGATTTTATTGAAGGAACATATAGTATTAAGAATACTGATTTGAATTTGTTAGATATCAGAATTGGAGACACATTGAATATTAGACACGATCGTCACAAGTACATTGTTACGGGACTATCAATTGTAAATTCTTTTCCTGGAATTAGATGTATGAGAGGTTATAATGTTGTACACTTACAGAGACACCCAAGAAATAAAAGTAGAAATGCAAAAGAAATCACTGTTCCTTTATCAGAATGTTTTATGGAGTTGAGTGATTGGGCCAAACATCAACAAAGATTTAAATTAATCATTGATCAACGTGATGTATTCTCAAAAGAAATATTACCTGCTACATCCATAAAGTCAGGTACATTATCAAGATACTCTAGTGATATAAAACCTGAATCTATTGAATCACAAGCATTTCAAGGTATGCTTTTCTATATGACCAACATTGAAGGTGAACGGAAAGAAGCCCTTAAGCAAACAATTGAAAGCAATGGTGGGATATTATGGGATAAAGATCTATATGAATTATTTCAATTCAAAAAATCCAAGGAAAAATTGTATTTAGATAGTGAAAAACTAGGTGATTTCAAATTCATTGCTTTATTAACAAATGGTCATTGTCGAAAAGCAAAATATATTCAAACTTTGGCATTGGGATGGCCTATAATTCTGGAAAAATTTATTGATGACACAATTGCAAATTCAAATAATATTCACAATTGGTATAATTATTTACTTCCTTCTGGGTTTTCAGCAAAATTGAATACTATAAAGAGTAGTGATGTGTTTAAATTTAGAAACAATTTTCATAATGGGAATCTTATCAAAGATCAATTGAGATTAAATAATAATCTACTCCAAGATTTCAATGTATTAGTGTTGCTGAATAAATGTGCCAATTTTGAATTAATGGAAACGTGCAGGTTTGTTTTTTATTCGTTTGGAGTTAAGTCGTTAGAATATTATACTAAAGCAGATCAAATCATTTCTGGTATTAAAAATCTTGACAACTTGATGATTTTTGATGAGAGTAATAAGATTGAACAGGTATTAACTAATTGGGAAAACAAAGCAAATAAAAAGAGCAAATCAAAGTTAATTTCTGTAAAACTAATCGATTGGGAATGGGTAGTTCAATGTGTAATCAATGAAACATTGCTAGAGTCAAAGACATTGTCAATTCATATTTAAATAGTTTTTATATGTTTATTTACTTTTTTTTTTTTTTTTTTTGTTCATTATTTATTTACAATTATACAAGTAATTTTTATGCTCTACCCAATACTCTATTCATCAACATTGAAAATGAAGCTTTAACTAATGGCCAGCCATTGTCATTTTTAACAGCATCACCGTTTTCTTCTAATCTTCTCAACAAATATTCTTTTGTTTCTAATGGTGGACCCCAAGCAACATATTTAATAACGTTACCAATTTTGTTATTTTCAATTAAATCATAAGTAACAGAATCAGCCATTCCTAATAATTGACCCAAGACAACATTAGTTTTATTCTTGTTAAGTTTATTTTCATCATTATAAACTTTACCACTAGCCAATCTTAAACTTTCACCATTATGAGAAGCAACAACTAAATGACCAATAGTAGATTCATTAGATTCTTGTTTTAAAATTGAATCAATACAATAAGTAATACCATTATTATAGTTGTTATCAGTATCTTGTTTAGTTTTATGAATAACAGTTGATCTATTTTTTTCAGAATGAATATAAGCACCACGAACCAATTTCAAACCTAATCTATAACCATTTTTATTTGCCAATTCTTCTTCTTTAGCCAATAATTTAGAAGAATCAGTTAAATACATTTGTAAAGTACCAACAATAGAAACTGGATTATTCAATTTGTTAAATTTAGAATATAATCTTCTTTGTAATTCATAAACACCTTCTTGTAATTCATATTTTTCAGCATCAACAACAGCAACAACAAATGGAGAACATCTTTCTGGATATTCTTTAGCTAATTTAATATTTGATTCATAAATAGTTTGACAAACAACTGCGGCTTTTTCAACTAAATCTTCAAATTCTTGTTTTTTAGTAGTATTAAAATTTCTTAAAACATTAGCAGCATCTTTAGCAAAACCAGTTGGTTTAATAGCAACATAACCAGGTGGAATATCATTAATATTAGAAGCTTGATTAATCATTTTAATAGTATGTGGAACTAAAATATTTTCAATACTTTTAGCAGTTTCTTCAACAATATAATTTGGATCAACATTATCATTACCATCACATGCTTCAATAGTTAAAGAAATCATCATGTTATTAATACCTCTTTCATGTAATCTTAAACCCGTTTTTTGAACTTCATCAATAGTTTCACCACCACAATAAATTCTATAAACTAATGCTTTAATAAGAAACATTGGAACATAAGGGAATAATTTAATACATAATTGTAAAATTGGTTTATTTAAAGTACATAAACCAATCATGAAAAAAGACATCAATTCTTTATTGTCAAATGCTTTTAAATATTCAGTAGATGAAAGTTTTGAACCAAGTGGTTGAGATACCAATGGTGATGATGATGATGATGATGATGCAGATGAGGAAGGAATAGATGAAGATGGAGTTGGAACTTGGGGTATAACATTATTAATAGTTGTGTTTTGTTTGTTTGGGGTATCATGGAAACCACGTAATTGTTGGTATTTCATCATTGTTGCTGCTGTCGGTATGACAGTGGAGTATTTTATTGATTTTAAAGATTGTTTAGTAGATAATAATAATCTGAGAGACATATTTTTTTGGGATTGATAAATCTGATTGACAGATAAAAAGGAATGAATAAATGAAAAAGAATTAAAAAACCAAAAAAAAATTCTACAAGGGAATAAGAGAAATCGTAATTGTATTTATAGACCAGAAAATGTGGGACATGATCTCTCATCATCAATATCCGAGCTTATTGTGATTGCAGTCTAAAATGGAATAAAATAAAATGTCAGGTAGCATTGATTTACCTTAACAGTCATTTGCTTTTTCATTTTTTGTTTCCCCGATCAGTTCAAATCCAGGAAGGTTATGACAAGCGAGCCTCACATTACATTTATTATTTGGCGCCATGTCACTCTAAAAATACAAAATTGTTCCATCCACACGACTTTTCCTCACTAGGAGTCTTTTCTAAAAAGGAATAACACAAGCGAGCACACTCTGTCCCGCTATCACAGATATGGGATAATAGAAGCGCCATTTTTGCAATGCAGTTGATTTATTACCATCTCTTACAAATGGGTAATCACCAGTTGGATATTCATATCTATGGGTTGTGTATCACCATACGGTATAGCATAATCAGGGTTATCTCGCTTGTTATCTCATATTATTAAACCACCACCACAAGTAAAGATTACATTTAAGGATAGTTTAGATATCAAGATAAGAAATAATTTTTCGTTAATGGCAATTGAAAGAGAGTGTGCGGGTGACTAAAACCACGTGACGCAGATTACTTGTCTCGCTGTTGATATCCCAACCTACCACCGTAAGGCATCACAAATATGTATATAAACATGGGGATCATTTTTTTTTTTTAATTGCACCAAGTCAAGTGTCAGAAGTGTACCTTATTGCCGTTTGTCTCCCCACAATTATCGGAGTTGCTTTTCTTTTTCTTTTTCATTTATTTTCAGAGGGATGGGATGGGTTCATTTTGGGAATTAAGCGATCATTCCAAAAGAAGAATAACTACACGAACATTAAAGGCTACTTGGCTTATGTGTCTTAGTGTTTTTTCTATTATTATTATTGCTATTTAGTTTCTCTCTATACATTCCTCTATGCGATTAGTTTATTCATTTGTTCAATAGTATAATCTAAAACATATGTTTGTTCTACCATATCATCAAGTCTGGAATAATGACGTTCATTGTAAGGCACAATACTATCTGTGATTTTTGTTAATCCTGGGATTTCTGTCAATTTATCAGCACCAAACTTGTTTAAAACCACATTCAATAATTTTTGACTGATTTCAAAAAATTTAAAGTTAACATTCCAATCACGGATTTTCTTAAATAATCTGATTAATTGTTCATCATTTAATAATCCAATTGCTTCTTCTAATTTGAAAGAACCAATAGTAGAATCTTGATCTTCATTGGTTTCAATACAAGATTTAACAACATTATATAATCTCATTGAATGATCTAAACTTAATGCTAACAAGAATGCATTACTCCAATCTTTATTTCTAATGAAATTACTTAAACTCTGTTCTTGTTCAACTTTCTCCTTGGCTTGTTGTTCTCTTTGTTTGATTTCTTCATCAGTATTATCTTTCCATTGACTTACTTTACCATCGGCATCAGCAGTAACAAATTCTTCACCATCATTTTTCACATCCATGGCCCATATTCTTTGATCATGATTATCTAATGATTTTATTATTTCTCCGAGTTTATAATCCCAGATTTTCACTAAACCATCAGCACCACATGATAATAATTGTGGATGGTCTTTGTTAAAGAATTTAACACGTTGAACTGAATTGGTATGTCCTTCTAATGTCTTTTTACATGTGAAATCTAATAATGACCAAACTTTAATTGTTTTATCACCACTTCCTGTAACTACCAATTTGTCGAATTTATAGAAATTAATATCCCATAAACCACGTTTATGACCTTTCAACACACCAACTGTTTCACCAGTTTCAACTTGCCAAATTTTGGCTAATTTATCATAAGAAGCAGTGGCAAAAAATTCATCATTTGGTGCAACATCAATAGAATTGATATCTTTATCATGAGCACGTCTTGTAAATTCAGAAGTTTTAACAACTGAATCTTGAGAATTTGGAATTTTCCATTTCTTAATAGTTAAATCATTAGAACCAGTAATTAAAAACTTTGGTTCATCAGAAGATTTGGATAAACTAATAGCAGTAACAGAACCTGCATGACCTTGAAATCTAGCAAAAGATTCAAAATCTTCAGTTTCTTCATTCCATTTCCATAATCTTGCTTCATTATCTTTAGATGCAGTGGCGATCCATTTACCATCATTTGAAACATCAATAGCATTCAAAATATCAGTATGTCCTTCGTATAATTTCAATTCTAATGGTTTGGTAGGATCAACAATACGTAATGCTGGAGAATTAGTTGCCATTGCTAATAGGTTGAATTCTGGACCAGCGTATTTAATATCAGCAATAATACCTTGATTACCAGCAATTCTTTTAACAATTGAAAACTCAACAATGTCATTACCTTCTGGAATAGAATCTAGTAAATCTAATTCAATTAATGTTTGATCACTAATAACCAAGTATAAATTATTATCTTGCATTTTTATTACATCAATGATTAACAATTCTTCACTAGTTTTCAATGGAGTTGGGGATTTTCCAACCAAATCTCCTGTTTGCATATCCCAAACTTTTAAAATATTTTCCAGACCAGCAGTATAAAAAAATTGCTTTTCATCCAACACAACAAATCCAGCAGCTTCAATTTGTTCATTAACAGGGAATGTGTTTACAGTTTTGAAATTCTTAGTATTATAAAGAATAACAACATTATCTCTACCACCAGATAAAAATAATTCGCCTGATTTACTAAATCCAACCCCTCTAACTGCTGCATTATGATCTTTCAATGTGAAAATACTTTTTCTTTTAATTAAATCCCAAATTTTAACTGTTCCCATAGTATCACCACTTGATAATTTCCAATCTTGAGAATTTAATTCACCATAAAAACTTAATGAACAAACAGTAGTACCATGTCCTTTTAATGAATGTGTAACATATCCATTTTCAATATCCCAAACAGTAATAACCCCATCTGATCCACCAAAGGCAAATAAACTAGATGTAGAATCAACTGCTGATATATATACTGGTGATGGTAATTTGAAATTCTTGGTGATTTGTCCTTTAGTCAAATCAAATATTCTTAATTGTTGAGATTGGGAAACTAAACCAAGATGAGATCCATTAGGTGTCATTATTAAACTTGTAATTACTTCTCCATCTCCATCAATTTTATGTACTATTTCATTGGTGAATAAATTTGTAATAATCACATCTTCATTTAATGGTGTAGCTAAGAATTCCCCATTTGAAGTAGAAATACTTGCACTTGTACCTCCAACATATATTGGATTTATATCTTCAAATGTATATGTAGTCTTTAATTCATCCATTTTGTTTTCCTAGTTGGTTGATAATGGTCTATCAGGATAACGGTGATGAATTTTTTTTTTTTTTTTTTTGAGTGTATATTTTTTTTTCTTCAGATGAGCTGCGCATGTCTATTGAAAAATCTACGATGCTACCAAATGCAACTACATATATCTCTATTATATCTATATCCATTCCATGCCTAACGATTTAGCTGTGTTTTGCATGTACATCTCAATGTAATCTTCTAATCCTTTACCTTTACCACCATATCTATCACCTATGACATACTGTCTAAGCCTAACCACATAAAACATCATATCGGAAAACGCTAAAACAACCTTGATTTTGATCAAACTCCAGTAGTCACGGAAACTAACGTGTTTCTCTTGTAACAATGCATTGACCAGCTCTTTCGTGAGTAAGTTGATTCGGTTCACGGGACTACCAAAACTTTGGTTGAGATTCTGGATCATCCTCATCGTACGTGCTAGAAATGGCAAATCAGCAGGGAACTTCTTCTTGTCCCCGATGAAATCTCTAAACAAATCAGAAACGTTCCTATTGTCAGGTTTCAGATCACTGTTGTCATCAGGCATGAGCAACACAGGACGGAGTTGAACCACAGTGGCAAACAAGTCGAGCGATGAGATCCCCCATTTCTTACCTATCTCTTCAATCCCCGGTGTGTCCAACAGGAACAAGTATCTCCAGAGATTACAGTACTCTATTCTGAACAAGTCATTCAATTCAATGTATAATCCATGGTCTAGCAAAACCAACTGTTGTTTTCCCTTACTGTCAAATCTTACCAACAAGTTCCCTGGATGCGGATCACTGTGGATGAACCCATACTTGAATATCTGTGCTCCAAACAACTTGATGTACTTTCTCATGATCTCAGACAAGTCAAACTTCTTGGCAAGGAGCACCTCTTTATGTGTAAGTGGAACACCATCAATCCACTCAGCTGTCAACACCTGCTCAGTGGTGAACTCAGGGAAATTCTTTGGAATATACACCGAGTCATCAATCGTTGGATCAGCATGAACAAACGCTTGCAACTTTTCAGAATTGTACATCTCGTGTTTGAAATTCGTCTCCTCGGTGATCTTCTCACTGATATACTTGGTGAACATACTCAATGGGATATCAAACACCTTCTCGTACACACGACTAATGAACCTGTACACCCAGAGGTCCACTGGCAATTGTCTGCTGATGTAATTATGCTGTACCTTCACCGCCACTTCTTCTCCATTCTTCAACTTGGCATAATGCACTTGTGCTATACTAGCACTGGCAATGGGTTCATGGTTGATCATTTCAAACACCGTGGATTCATAATCGTCGCCCAAGTTCTTCTTCAACACAGTGTCAACTTGCTTCCAGTCCTGAACAGGTGCCTGATCGTACATCATGGGGAATTTCCTTTGGTATGGTTCAGGGAACAATTTACCTTGATTGGCAATGGCCTGTCCTAGCTTGATGAATATTCCCTTGTTGGTAACTAATAAATTCAACAATTTATCACTGGCGATTTCATGAAGATCGTCGATACTGCGATACGACTTGGAGTTGAACCCATACTCGTACGCAATCCATAATAACACATACAATGCTCTGGTTGATCTAGTGATGATGGATGAATAGTAGTATTTATCAATCAAATAAACACTTCCAAGTCCGGTGGTGACAAGTGCCGTGGGGTAAACCACATATCGTCGGAAATTATTTGTTCGTGTGGTTGTTCTAGTAGTGGTTGATACATGACGGGTGGATGTGAATTGTAAAGGTCTACGGATGGTATTTCTAATCATAAAGGAGTGGTGAATGTTATCAATTGCAAGTTATACAAGAATCAACCTCCCTCGTGAATAAGGGCAAAATTCAAAGGAAACAAACAAAAAAATTTATCTCCAGATTTCACCGATCGCAACGAGACAAGTCACGTGGGGAACTTGAGTTTAAATAGACACATTTGTGAGACAAGCTAGTGAACATGGAAGATGATAGTTGGTGGTTGTATGTGATTGTTAAGAACAAACAGTTCTAGACGTTTCATAATTGTGGACAAGAACACTAAACATGCTTCCATGAATCGCCGTTCCTACAAATGCCGGTTCGGAGTTATCGATCACAAAAGTGTTCAAGACTTGGCAAATGCATAACCATAGCAGAATTGGTAATCTAAAAAATCAACAAATAAATTTTATTCAACTTTGGGGATATGCTTAAAAAAAAAGTTGTCGAGATTTCAAGATGAATGATTTTCTTTCTAATTTTATAACCAATATCAATGATTCCTAAAGTTTGGAAACCACGGAGGAAAAGAACAAATATACTACTTTTTATAGCAACAATAGTAGTATTATTCAATATTCACCAACTTGGATTAGCTCACAAGCATGAAAGTGTACCGATTTCATTAAAAGACATAAGCAGTAAACATAATGCATCATCAATACATCATAAATTTCTAGCCAAATATCCCTTTGAGTCAGTTATTGATCTTTCATTGAACCAAAGATGTGATTTATTTTTTCAATTTTTATTTGAAAGTAATAAAAGATGGATGCTTGATCCTATGCAACATTATGAAGTTGATTATCAAGGTGAAGAGTATAATGAATTTATATTGAGAAATGCATTTAGATTAACTCTTGAATTTCAGGAGAAATATGGTAATGATTTCCCTGAAGATGAATTTGGAGAAAAAGTTGGGGAATATATGAAGAATGAATTTTATAAACAAGAATCTTTGACAAATCAAGCTTCAATTAAAAATCAAATTTCAATTTATAGATTATTTAATCGATGTTATATGTCACCTAATGAAGTTTCAACTGAAAAAGAAAACAAGAGCAAAAGACGTGTGATATCTGTGGAGCACAGAGTGAATCCATGGTTATCTAAAAAGTTCCCAGTTTATGAAAAATGGGATGGTTCTGTTCGAAAGTTGAAAATGAAGACTGAAGATTTAGTTTTAAATCAGTACAAGAGTATAAGTTCTGGCAAAGGGATGGTAGTAACAATATCTGAGAAACACGTTGAAGATACCATTAGCTTAATTCATATACTTCGTGGGTTGAAGAATGATCTTCCTATGGAAATCATCTACACTGGATTGTCACCAAAATCTAAAAAGAAACTAATCAATGCTGCTAGAGAAGAATATCATGATTTACCTCCACAAGAAATTTGGTTTGTTGATATTAGTCCTGCAATTGCCAACGGATATAGATTTCTTTTTGAAAAATTTGACTTCAAATTATTATCAATGTTGTTTAATTCTTATGAAGAATTTATCCTTCTTGATGCAGATACCGTTCCTTTCAAACTGCCAAGTTATTTTTTCAATATGAATGGTTATAAACAAACAGGAGCATTTTTTTTTAAAGATAGAGGTGTTCTTATTCCTCGTGTCGCTCAAGACGGTGAGTTCATTTCTTCATTGGGTCCATCGGATTTAGAAACAACTTTATTTGGAATACCACAAATGACCCAACATACATTAGGCAATCCATTCTTTAGAGGATTGGTACATTATCAAGAATCTGGATTGTTGGTGATTAACAAAAACTTACATTTCCAATCCATATTGATGGTCATTCAATTGATATTTATGCGTCCCGTAGCCCGTAAAAGTATGGGTGATAAAGAGCTATATTGGATGGGGTTTTCACTTAATGGTGATGAAAATTATACATTTAATGATAATTTTGCTGCGGCTGTGGGTCAGTTAACTCCGGAAGGAGATAGGATTCGTCCAGATGGGAAGAAATTTAATTCTAAAGAAATTTGTTCATCACATCCAGGTCATATAAGTTCAGAAGACGGGTCATTATTATGGATGAACACAGGATTTAAAGTGTGTAACAAAATCATGTCAAGTTATGATGATCAGGCTGATAAAAATGAAATTAATAATATATGGAAACATATAAAAACAGGTGAAGATTTTAAGAATTTTTATAATAGTCCCGTGAAAATAACCCATGCAATTCTACCACCATTAGATGAAGAATACAGATTAAGATATAGTTTAGAACGAGAACCATCAGATGGTTGGTCATGTCCAAAGGAATTTTGTGAAAATTACATGTGGTGTGGTTATTCTAGTATTGGAGGAGAAAAGAATACATTAGAAGGAAGAGTGATTACATTTGATGAAGAAGAAGTAAAGTTGTTTAAATATTTGGGAGATTTATGGACTGAACTGCAATAGGAAATACATAATGTTATATATCAGTAATAATAGTCGTTTTAATGTTCACATTATTTGCTATGGGGTAATAATTTCGTATATTTGTAAATTGATTAAAAGTCTGATGTATAGGCAAACTAAATTGAATAACCAGGTAGAGTTAGTAAACAGTCTGCTTTAGAGTATTGGATGTAATTTGCTTTTTACAATAGGATGAATGTCCATCCACTTTCATTGACTAGCTCTTAAAGTCACTACTATGTAATTTATTTTGTTTGAGCAGAGTTTATTGTCTAAACAGGTCTAAATATTACTTTCAGAGAATTATACCTCTAAGAAAGAGAGCAAATAAAAGGAACATAAGTATCCTTGAATTAAACCAATTTGTTGTAATTTGTGATTGGACAATACTACAATAATAGTAAGATCATTTGCACCTTTTATCATCTTTTAAATGATAAATTAGTATACTTCTAATTTAATGCAAAACAAAGGAAAAGTAAATAATAAACAATCTCGTAGATTCTATAATTTTTTGTTGTTCCCAAAAAGTGGTTACAATAGTCGTGTACAGTGCAATACATAAAGGTTTTTAGTACAGGCGTAGATCTTTGATTTTACGGATGATAAATTTGCACCCTTCAGCTTACTAGCTAGCTTTATCTTGATGTAAGTTTACAATACCTTGTCTTACTTTGGGATTCAAACTAAGAGCAAATTTAATTAAATTTATATTACTATTGACAATCATTTTTTTTTTCTTTTCAGTCTTTCCCGTTTTTATTATATATCCATAATACCATTCGACAAATTAAAATAAGAATCGAATATTGTTCGAGGCAGCATTTGAATACCAGAATATTATTATTGAATTTTTACTTATTTGATTTCTTTCTTTTAAAAAATTTTTAAGCCTTTTTCATGAGCATTTATGTGAGTTCTTCAAGAGTTTCAAGACCCACTTTTTCATACTTGGTAAGAAAAATATCCAATTAAAATATATTATTATGTTTATATAATTTGAATCACAATTTTAAAAATTCCTTTTGATTAATTCCATAAAAATTAAATTTTAAAAATTAATCATCATGAATATAAACGGATTTTCCTTACTTCTTTTCTTTATACTTTATTAAATTTTAAACGTCTCGTTTTGTTTATTGTTTAATTCGATAGTTTGATTGTGAAAAATATCGTGATATATAAACCCAAAGAACGATTCATCACACTAATATTAGAAATACCAGCCAGTAAAACAAGTAAAAATAATCATTTTACTGAATTTAAAACAAGGTTGACTTTTCAAATATATTTAAATAGAGAGAAATCTATTGAATATTTGCCATATTCATAGTCATTATTCCTTACACCCGTGTTTCCTATTACACCATCATGTTTAGAATGTGTTTCACTGGTAGAAATATTTTTGCAATTAGAAAGCATCCATTATTAATGATTGTTATTTTTGGACCATTATGGATTTTATGTCTTTTATTCATCATAACCTACAATTTTTCCAGAATTAATGAACTTTACATTGATAATCCAAACTATTCTATCTACAATATTTATGACAATTACAAATATAGTAATCAGGAGGTGTCTAATGCAAAAGAAAATTCAATTAAGAAAAACCAAGAATACTTCAAGAATAGTACTACATTTTTGAGTATGGTTGATTATATGTTTCCAAATGCCACTGCAGAGAATGATTTTAATTCAGATATTTATAACAAGATTTTCCATCATCATGATATGGATACTATTTTGGGTACTTTGTCATTTAAACAAAGATGTGATTTATATTTTAAGAATGTATTCATTGATAATATGAACTGGGCATTTAATCCAGAACGTAGTTATGAAATCAAAGCAGAAGGAAACGATTTTGAAAAATATGTTAAAGAAAATAAAGCAATGTTGGAGGAGAAATTTGTTCCTGATGAAAAGACACTTGATAAAACTACAATAAACACACAATTTATTGATTTCACAAAGAGTGAATATATAAATCATAAAACTTTGAAACATGAAAAATATATGGCTAACCACCTAAGTCTATTTAGAATTTTCAACAAATGTTATGTTTCAAATGATGAAATTTCACAAATTGAAAGACTAAAATCATTTTTAACTGAACAATACAAACTAATTCATAATTTGAAATCAAATATCCCAAATTTTAGTCCAACTGAACAAGAAAATTTAGTTAATCTGCTCACTTATTCTCCTGCTTCTTTTGAAAGTAGAGTTTATCCTTGGATTTCTAAAGAATATCCAGTTTATGAAAGATACACGGGTAAGATTTTTGATCAACCACCTAATTATTATTTACTATTAGGAGATCCAGTTCAAAAAACCATAAACAATATAAAAAAACCCAAAGTCACTAGTAATGATCCATTTGTCAAACAGTTTAAGAATATGTGTAATGGTAGAGGGATTGTTTTAACTATTGGCGAGCAACATGTGGAATCAACAGTTAATTTGATCCATTTGTTACGTGCTTTACAGAATCATTTACCCATTCAAATAGTATATTATGATGATATTAGTGACGATTCTAAAAGGAAAATCGTAACAGCTGCTCAAGAAGAATTCAGCGATTTGCCTGAATCATTCCGTAAAGTATCGTATATGTTTGGTGATGATTATCTTGATAATAATGGTAAAGGATTAGTACCACAAGAAGTTTGGTTTGTCAACGCATACAATGCAATTCAAAAACACTACCGTGGGAAATTTTCAAGATTTGGTAATAAATTACTTGCTGCATTTTTTAATTCATTTGATGAATTTATGTTGATTGATGCTGACACTGTAATGATGAAATCCCCAGAATACTTTTTCAATTTGAAAGGATATTTAAAAACAGGTACATTCTTCTTTAGAGATAGAGCTGTGCATAAAAGAGGAATTGGCGATGGAGAATTAATCGAAAGAATGGCGCCTAATATGATTGATTCTATTATGTTTGATATGCCATTAATTACCAACTATACGAGAAACAACGACTACTTCCGTGGGGTGCAACATTACATGGAATCGGGATTACTTTTAATTGACAAGAATCGTCACTATAATAGTTTGTTGACTATCATTGAAGTCAACCTCATCCAAAGGTTACGTAAATTATCATATGGGGACAAGGAACTAATTTGGATGGGGTTTGCAATTAATGGTGACGAGAACTATATTTTCAATGGAAATGCTGCTGGGGCAATTGGTGAGCTTACTGCACCAGATGACAGACTTCGACCAGATGGCACACGACATCATTCTGAAGAAATCTGTGCTAATCACCCTGGTCATGTTTCATCAGAGGATAATCATAGTTTGTTATGGATTAATTCAGGGTTTAGGTTCTGTCATCAATCAGATGAAGTTGATTTTAAAGAAGAAGCTGAAACTCAAACAAGATTAAAATTTCTTAAAACTTCAGAAGCTTTTAAAACCTTTTATTATGCACCTTTAAGAATAACTCATGCTATTGTTCCTCCATTGTCACCAGATTTAGAAATTAGAAGAAATAAAGAAGATGAACCAACCAGTGGTTGGTTATGGGAAAGAGATTATTGTAAACGTTATATGTGGTGTGCTTATTCAAGTATTGGTGGTAAAGTGAGAGACATGACCAAAGAGGACAATATATTGGAGGGTTTGTTTGTGCAATTTACGGAAGAAGAAACAAATTGGTTTAATTACTTGGGCGATATTTGGATAGGCACAGAGTAAATGTGGATTTTTAGACTATTTTACTGTCATGCTATATTTTAAAGACCTTTTACATAGAGATTAATAGTAGTGGTATATTATTATTGGCATTATAGATCTTTTCATCTCATTTGCTCGTAGTCTAAGATGATTACAAATTACCAAAGTTAAAAAGAAAGAAGTGGAGTTACAGCTGAGTTATATTTTTAGAACATTTGAATAGTGGGCAGTTACGAAGAAATTATGCAGAGTATATACAATGCATTCTCCAGAAATCAGAGATTGTTGAAGTTGCTCTCTATTATACAAAGGGTTTTGTACTCTTCACAGTATTTCATTTTCACAATGTATGTAATCAGGAACCAACAATTAGTTTCTAATTTAAGATGATAAACTACCAAGTGAAACAATGTACATTAGACACTTAGTAAAAAGCAACAAGAACAATTGAACATGTTGTGAAGTAACTTGTATTGTTTAATGATAGCAATCAAACCTCGATTCATCGAGTAATTGTAGTCCGAGTTTAAATTCAATCAAGGTTAAGCGTCTTGTGAGTGTTCTTCCAGAATGTGGTAATTACAGAAAGTTGTATAACTATGCGAAGTATTGATCAATAAGCTTTTACCAGTCCATTATATCTTTCGTTTATCAAGATTCAATTTGCTTATTTGCATCTGCCGTTATGAGATGAGAATGCTGGTCATTTGTTGAAAATTTACACACCGTGTATACTATCATTTGATTTACCCCATTTCTGGATCATCACAATGATGATGAGGAAGTTAATGATGGTGAATGATGAATGATGATTCAGTTTTATGTATACATTACTTCTTTGCTCGTAAATAATATCCCACTTGCCCCTCATCCTGCCCCTCCTTGAAATCTTCACGGATAATTTGCAATTCTTTTTTTTTATTTTCTTGGCACAGATTGATGATTAACAATTCAAGATTTTGTGTAATGTAACTGGTCGTGCACAAAGGGCAAGAAACGTGTGTGTATAATCTTCTTGCACGTTGCATGTGTGTGTGTGTGTTTAATAAATACTAACAATAGAGTTAATGTAGATAAATAACAACAACTTTAGAAGTTCGTAGTGTATCATTGTAGTAATTATATCGATTCTACATCTGAAACGACAAATGAAAAGAAAATAAAATAAGCTGAAGAAAAAGCAAACAAAGTATTTGTCTCCCTTTTGCGCTCCCCCCCTTTATTACCAAATGAGTAAACGTGTGTATTACACGTGCTCTACTAATGATTCTCTTTTGGTACTATAACAATAATAATAATACTAGTAGTTATAGTAGTAATATGATTGTCATAAATAAATAATCACACACTGAACTTAGTGAAACATAAGCTTAAGGAAAATTAATTAGTGTAAAGAACCTGCATTTACTTGCGCACACACTAACGACACCATGCAACGTGGGTAGCTGAGACAAAAAAAAAAGAAAGGAAAAGTCGTGCGTTTACAAAAATAAGGAGAAGATATGTATGTACCACAACGTAAATCAGAATTACGTAACAATCAAATCGAGGCAGTACCATGATGATGACAATACTGAAGAAGATGAAGATAACCTAATATTCATTGTGATTATTGACCCTTGAGTCACAGCAATTTTAACCATCTTCTTTTTTTTTTAAAAAAAATAAAAGATTGATATAAATCAATTTATTAATCTCAAGAGTGAAGAAGAAGGACGAAACAAACAAGCAAAAGTTGGATATGAGTTGATGTGTCGAGGATTATTTTATTTTAGATTAAGCATAATTTGACTTCCTCTTGGGCGATCAAACAGTGTGTGTGTGTGTATGTGTGGATTTAATAAGGGGGAGAGAGACAGACACATACATACATAGAGAGAGAAAAGGAAAGACACAAGCGATTGAAGTCAATCTTGTACTGGATATAATTTTCTTATAATCGTCTAGATTCTCCTTATTATAATTACCACAAACATACGTTTACTTATCCACACATGGTTTGTTGATAAGCGAATTTAATAATATCCGTTTTACATTGTTTATTGTTCAAAAATTGTTGATAATTTTTCTATTATTATAATCTTTACTTTTCTTATTTATTTTTAGATTCAGGTTTTTTTTGCATTCCCTTTATTATTTGTTTATTTATTCATTCACAAAATATACATGGATGCACATATTCATAAATTAAAACAAGCCATTATGGGATTTAGCCCTGTTGCTGAGTAAAGTTCATTTTACATAATATTTATTTTAGTTGAAAAACGAATTTCTAATCCTGATGCCATTTCTTTTTGAATAAAGCCTGTATAATTAAATATTTTTAGAATCAGTAACTCCTATGAAAGTTCTAAAAGGGATGTAAAAGTAATAAAACCCCATTCATTTAAATTTTTCTTTCAATAATTTCTTTCATCATCGTCTTCTTTTTCTTCTTTCTATAATTGAGTTTACTCGACTTTCGTTATTATCTAAGCCAACTTATAATTTCATTTATTAGCTTTCAATTGAGGCATTTTTCCAACTGAATTTAATAAGAATCAAGAGGTTTTGATACCAGTGTAACACAACATCAAAGGTACGGACAAGTAAATTCCTTTAGTCTTTTTTTAAAAATATTTCTCATATTAATATAACTATAAGGTTGGGATACTTCGAGTTCAAAAAAAAAGCATTCATTGATTTTCATTTTTACTTATTAATTAGATTGTTTCTTGTTTCTTGTTTCTTGAATCTTGGTTCTTTAATTATACTTCCATTGACTACAATTCGTTTATTCTTGAATCGAAGATTCTTCATTTGCATTTTAGTTTGATCAAGGGGGAAAGTTTATAATCAATTCTTAGGTTTTTCATATCCATTTAGCAAAAATTTTCCAAAAACTTACGGTGATAGCATTTGCATAATATTACATTCAATAATTATAGTCACCACCACTAACACTTCAAATTCATCTGTATTGTCATGCTTAGAAAAATCGCTGCAGTTAGAAAACGACTGAGATTATTCATTTATATCGGTGGATCATTATGGATGTTTTTCATTTTATATTTTATTAATTCTAATTTCTCCGGTATGAATGGTACTCCTATTGATAAGTCAACTTATTCAATTTATAATCTTTACGACAATTATAATTATTATAGTCAAGATTCTTCATCAGACACAAATAAAACTTTATCAGATTTACCAGAAGTTCATTTTACTAATCATACTACTTTCTTATCCATGGTTGAGAATCTCCTTGGTGGTGTTACTAAGCAAAATGATAGTGTTTCCGATATTTATGAAAATATTTTTAAACATCATGATATAGACACTATTTTGGGTACTTTGTCATTCAAGCAAAGATGTGATTTATACTTCAAGAATGTCTTCAGTGATAATGTTAATTGGATCTTTAATCCGGAACATAATTATGACATTAAGAATGACGGAGATGATTTTAAAAACTATCTTGAAGAGAACCAACAAATACTCAAGGAGAAATTTGCACCTAAAGAGAAAACCATTGCAAAGGATAAAGTTGAACAATCCTTTACTGATTTTGCCAAAGATGAATATGTTGAATATAAAACAAAGTATAATCAACAGTTAATAACTAACCACTTAAGTATATTCAGAATTTTCAACAAATGTTATGTTACCAGTGATGAAGTTTCACAAAATGACAAAATGAATACATTTATATCAAAACAACAAAAATTAGTACATGAATTGAATCCTGATATTCCAAGATTTGGTTTAACCGAGCAAGAAGAACTAGTGGATTTGCTTACCAGTTCCCCATCAACATTTGAGAATAGAGTTTATCCATGGATTTCTAAACAATATCCTGTTTATGAACGTTTTACTGGAAAAGTTTCTCATGAACCACCAAATTACTATAAATTACTTGGTGATCCATTGCAAAAAACCACAAAGAATATCAAGTATAAAAGAATGAATAATAATGAAGAACCATTTGTTAAAAGATTCAAGAATAAATGTAATGGTAAAGGAATTGTTTTAACTATTGGAGATCAACATGTTGAACATACAGTCAGTTTAATTCATTTGTTAAGAGCATTGGATAATCGTTTACCAATACAGATTGTGTATTATGATGATATTAATGAAGAGTCTAAAAGGAGAATAGTGACTGCTGCTCAAGAACAATTCAATGTATTACCTGAATCATTCCGTAAAGTATCATATATGTTTGGCGATGATTATCTTGATAATAATGGTAAAGGACTAGTGCCACAAGAAGTTTGGTTTGTTAATGCATACAATGCAATTCAAAAACACTACCGTGGGAAATTTTCAAGATTTGGTAATAAATTACTTGCTGCATTTTTTAATTCATTTGATGAATTTATGTTGATTGATGCTGACACTGTAATGATGAAATCCCCAGAATACTTTTTCAATTTGAAAGGATATTTAAAAACAGGTACATTCTTCTTTAGAGATAGAGCTGTGCATAAAAGAGGAATTGGCGATGGAGAATTAATCGAAAGAATGGCGCCTAATATGATTGATTCTATTATGTTTGATATGCCATTAATTACCAACTATACGAGAAACAACGACTACTTCCGTGGGGTGCAACATTACATGGAATCGGGATTACTTTTAATTGACAAGAATCGTCACTATAATAGTTTGTTGACTATAATTGAAGTCAACCTCATCCAAAGGTTACGTAAATTATCATATGGGGACAAGGAACTAATTTGGATGGGGTTTGCAATTAATGGTGACGAGAACTATATTTTCAATGGAAATGCTGCTGGGGCAATTGGTGAGCTTACTGCACCAGATGATAGACTTCGACCAGATGGCACACGACATCATTCTGAAGAAATCTGTGCTAATCACCCTGGTCATGTTTCATCAGAGGATAATCATAGTTTGTTATGGATTAATTCAGGGTTTAGGTTCTGTCATCAATCAGATGAAGTTGATTTTAAAGAAGAAGCTGAAACTCAAACAAGATTAAAATTTCTTAAAACTTCAGAAGCTTTCAAGACTTTCTATTACGCACCTTTAAGAATAACTCATGCTATTGTACCTCCATTATCACCAGATTTAGAAATCAGACGAAACAAAGAAGATGAACCAACCAGTGGTTGGTTATGGGAAAAAGATTATTGTAAACGTTATATGTGGTGTGCTTATTCAAGTATTGGTGGTAAACAAAAAGATAAAACTAAAAAAGATAATACTTTGGAAGGTTTACTTGTAAGTTTTGATGATGAAGAAATCAATTTATTTAATTATTTGGGTGACATTTGGGTAGGTGTTGAATAATTCTCTCAAAAGGATATTCAAATGAATGGTTTATAGAATTAATAAATATATATTCAAATTTTTGAAAGTATCAAATTCATTGCGTATAGTAGCGCTCTGTCTTTTAATATGTAATCTTGATTACGTAAACTTGTGTATCTATCTATAGTGCACATGGTAGCGCATGCCAGAGGATTTAATCATCAGAATTGTTTGCTGTAATATGAATACATAATCTATGATCAATAATACTGGGAGAAAAAGAGATAGATAACCTCTCTTTAGTTGATTGCTGTTGAGTTTAGTCGTCGAGGATAATAACATCACATCACATGTACATCTTTAATATGTTCATGCTCACCTCGTATACATGTAGGAGTATATTTTTCATATATATATATAAAATAACACACTCTACGTACTTCCGTTCAGGAACTGATGTTATTCTAGATGAATCATATTACGTGAGTAGTCAGAGTAATAAATCGAATAATTAGTTTACATATTTCAAATACACATACATGATAAAAACACAAACTGAACAAAATAACCTCTCCAAAATGAACTGAAAAGAAACTAATATACAAAACAAACAAACAAATAA